GACAAAAAAATTGATACGAATCGTTCGTTTATCCGAGTTAATTTGTTGAATGAGATAAAGGGGTAAGTACCTGAAAAATGAGAACAAATTGTCATTGCACTTGGACAATTTTTCGACACTGATTTTATGGTATTAATCGACATTCGATTTTTGGTACTGATTTACTCTTTCACTTCTCAATAAGAAAAAAAAATTCATATGAAACGTTCATTTATCCGCGTTAATTTGATGAATAAATTAAATATTAATCGGTCTTCAATTTTCGGTACTGACTGATTCTTTAATTTCTTTATAACAGAATAAAAATTGAATACGAATCATTCTTTTATCCGACTTAATTTGTTGAGTAAATTAGTGGGGTAAGTACCTGCAAGATGAAAACAACTTGTCATTGCACTTAGACAATTTTTTAACGCTGATTTATTGTATTAATCAATATCCGGTTTTCGATACTAATTTAGTCTTTGATTTCTCTATAAAAGAAAAAAAGATTGATACAAATTGTTCATTTATCCGCGTTAATTTGATGAAAAAATTAGATATTGAACGGTCTTTGATTTTCGGTAGTGATTTATTTTCTCATTGTTTTATAAGACAAAAAAAATTGATACGAATCGTTCGTTTATCCGAGTTAATTTGTTGAATAAGATTAGAGAGGTAAGTACCTGAAAAATGAGAACAAATTGTCATTGCACTTGGACAATTTTTTGACACTGATTTATGGTATTAATCGATATTCGATTTTCGGTACTGATTTACTCTTTCATTTCTCTATAAGAAAAAAAAATTCATACGAAATGTTCATTTATTCACGTTAATTTGATGAATAAATTAAATATTGATCGGTCTTCAATTTTCGATACTGACTGATTCTCAATTCAATCAATACAATTTTCTAACGCTGATTTATAGTATTAATCAATATCCGGTTTTCGATACTGATTTAGTCTATGATTTCTCTATAAAAGAAAAAAAGATTGATACAAATTGTTCATTTATCCGTGTTAATTTGATGAAAAAATTAGATATTGAACGGTCTTTGATTTTTGATATTGATTTATTTTCTCATTGTTTTACAAGACAAAAAAATTGATACGAATCGTTCGTTTATCCGAGTTAATTTGTTGAATGAGATAAAGGGGTAAGTACCTGAAAAATGAGAACAAATTGTCATTGCACTTGGACAATTTTTCAACACTGATTTTATGGTATTAATCGACATTCGATTTTTGGTACTGATTTACTCTTTCACTTCTCAATAAGAAAAAAAAATTCATACGAAACGTTCATTTATCCGCGTTAATTTGATGAATAAATTAAATATTAATCGGTCTTCAATTTTCGGTACTGACTGATTCTTTAATTTCTTTATAACAGAATAAAAATTGAATACGAATCATTCTTTTATCCGACTTAATTTGTTGAGTAAATTAGTGGGGTAAGTACCTGCAAGATGAAAACAACTTGTTATTGCACTTAGACAATTTTTTAACGCTGATTTATTATATTAATCAATATCCGGTTTTCGATACTAATTTAGTCTTTGATTTCTCTATAAAAGAAAAAAAGATCGATACCAATTGTTCATTTATCCGCGTTAATTTAATGAAAAAATTAGATATTGAACGGTCTTTGATTTTCGGTAGTGATTTATTTTCTCATTGTTTTACAAGACAAAAAAATTGATACGAATCGTTCGTTTATCCGAGTTAATTTGTTGAATGAGATTAGAGGGGTAAGTACCTGAAAAATGAGAACAAATTGTCATTGCACTTGGACAATTTTTTGACACTGATTTATGGTATTAATCGGTATTCGATTTTTGGTACTGATTTACTCTTTCACTTCTCAATAAGAAAAAAAATTCATACGAAACGTTCATTTATCCGCGTTAATTTAATGAATAAATTAAATATTGATCAGTCTTCAATTTTCGGTACTGACTGATTCTTTAATTTCTTTATAACAGAATAAAAATTGAATACGAATCGTTCTTTTATCCGACTCAATTTATTGAGTAAATTAGTGGGGTAAGTACCTGCAAGATGAAAACAACTTGTCATTGCACTTAGACAATTTTTTAACGCCGATTTATTGTATTAATCAATATCCGGTTTTCGATACTAATTTAGTCTTTGATTTCTCTATAAAAGAAAAAAAGATTGATACAAATTGTTCATTTATCCGCGTTAATTTGATGAAAAAATTAGATATTGAACGGTCTTTGATTTTTGATATTGATTTATTTTCTCATTGTTTTACAAGACAAAAAAATTGATACGAATCGTTCGTTTATCCGAGTTAATTTGTTGAATGAGATTAGAGGGGTAAGTACCTGAAAAATGAGAACAAATTGTCATTGCACTTAGACAATTTTTTGACACTCATTTATGGTATTAATCGGTATTCGATTTTTGGTACTGATTTACTCTTTCACTTCTCAATAAGAAAAAAAATTCATACGAAACGTTCATTTATCCGCGTTAATTTAATGAATAAATTAAATATTGATCAGTCTTCAATTTTCGGTACTGACTGATTCTTTAATTTCTTTATAACAGAATAAAAATTGAATACGAATCGTTCTTTTATCCGACTCAATTTATTGAGTAAATTAGTGGGGTAAGTACCTGCAAGATGAAAACAACTTGTCATTGCACTTAGACAATTTTTTAACGCTGATTTATTGTATTAATCAATATCCGGTTTTCGATACTGATTTAGTCTTTGATTTCTCTATAAAAGAAAAAAAGATTGATACAAATTGTTCATTTATCCGCGTTAATTTGATGAAAAAATTAGATATTGAACGGTCTTTGATTTTCGGTAGTGATTTATTTTCTCATTGTTTTACAAGACAAAAAAATTGATACGAATCGTTCGTTTATCCGAGTTAATTTGTTGAATGAGATTAGAGGGGTAAGTACCTGAAAAATGAGAACAAATTGTCATTGCACTTGGACAATTTTTTGACACTGATTTATGGTATTAATCGACATTCGATTTTTGGTACTGATTTACTCTTTCACTTCTCAATAAGAAAAAAAAATTCATACGAAACGTTCATTTATCCGCGTTAATTTGATGAATAAATTAAATATTGATCGGTCTCCAATTTTCGGTACTGACTGATTCTTTAATTTCTTTATAACAGAATAAAAATTGAATACGAATCGTTCTTTTATCCGACTTAATTTGTTGAGTAAATTAGTGGAGTAAGTACCTGCAAGATGAAAACAACTTGTCATTGCACTTAGACAATTTTTTAACGCTGATTTATTGTATTAATCAATATCCGGTTTTCGATACTGATTTAGTCTTTGATTTCTCTATAAAAGAAAAAAAGATTGATACAAATTGTTCATTTATCCGCGTTAATTTGATGAAAAAATTAGATATTGAACGGTCTTTGATTTTCGGTATTGATTTATTTTCTCATTGTTTTACAAGACAAAAAAATTTATACGAATCGTTCGTTTATCCGAGTTAATTTGTTAAATGAGATTAGAGGGGTAAGTACCTGAAAAATGAGAACAAATTGTCATTGCACTTGGACAATTTTCTGACACTGATTTATGGTATTAATCGGTATTCGATTTTCGATACTGATTTACTGTTTCATTGCTCTATAAGAAAAGGAAAAATTGATACGAATCGTTCATTTATCCGCGTTAATTTTTTTTTTTTATTAAATATAAGTGGTCTATGGGACGATTAAATATTCGAATACATGTTGCCGTATCAAAGTCTCCTCTATAATAAACGATTTGACACGTCTGGGGACGCATGATGTATCATTGCCCGCATCCCATTCCCTTCGTCCTACTTTTCTGTATAAAATGTCGAATTGAAACGTATTAAAAAGTATTGAAATTTTGAATATGTCTGATTTCTGAATCTTTGTGATCCGAAGAAAAGGATTGAAAAGTATTAGTTTCCATTAAATTTTACTGCGCTAAATGCGAAACGGTCTCTTTCACCCGAGTGCCTCACCAGGGAAATTTCTCTGGTACGCTAAATCCCGTAAGGTCATCAGTCTTTGTAGTATATCTCGTCGGTGCATAAGGTTTATATTACCTGTACATACATATTTTGAAACATTTTCTTTGGATATTATATCAAACGGATTTTGCGTGTCACGTAATATCCTTCGGACTACACGGACATTATTATTTTGATCAATTTGATTTCTTTGGTATTCATTGAATTATCCAGAACGCGCCATGTTGAACGACTCAATTGTCGTGTGAAATGTTTCGATTTTTACAAATTCATATAAAATTTTTCATTTTTCACTGATTCACAGAAGTCTTTCACTTTTTATTAGTTCACGCTAGGGAAAAGATTCATGATCGCTGCCCTGAGCAACTGCAACGCTTTTCGAATCATCTATGTCAGCGCGCTTTTACTCCTCAGATTTCTGTCATTAATAACTCGATAATTATTGCGAATCTCGCAAAATGGTATGGGACTTTTATGTTTGTCTCAACCCAATCTACCCTCACACTTCGGGTTGGCAGCTAATTACCGGACACTTCGTATGATCTTCATGATATTAATCATACACAATGTCAATTCTTTTTTTTTTTGCACATGTTAACATGTTAATTCATGTTATAAACGCGTAACAATGTGCGAGACCGTGCTTGTTAAATATGCTATTATGGTTGTAGCACGGACATAAACCGCCTAAAAATGGATGTAGCACGGACTGCCACCATATGCAGGTTTTACCGCCAAAACCTGAAAGTGAATGTAGTATCGTAGTTCCCCTCTCAAAATGGATGCAGATGGCGTCTTTTCCCAGTGCGGAAAGTCTGATAAAAGTAATCAGTGGCTGCGGTCAGAAAACACAGCAGCTGCACAATGGTTGAGTAAAATCAGCGGTACACGGTGCTTGTCCTCATGCTGAATTGCTTGCTGGATGAAAATACTGCGTTCTGATTGGTGCATTTCCGAAGATGGATGGAAATGTACCAATCAGAACGCAGTATTTTCATTCAGCAAGCAATCCAGCGCAAAAACAAGCACCGTATGCCGCTGGCTTAATTTGTCAACGTTATTGGCTGAGTGGATGTTTTGGTCTTAAGGATTTAACAATAAAGATCAATAGTCACTAACTGCTCAGTGAGCGCTGTTTTTGGATATAATCATTATTAGGAAACGTAATTTTTACAAGAAAGCAGCATCATGGCTGTTCCTAGACTTTTTTTTAATACTAGTTTACAGAACTGTAGCCTAATGCTACTACAGAGATTGTCCCATGTTGGAAAGTGTAGCAGAATTTTGCTAAAAGTTTTACGTAAAAATAATTATCCGGTGCATCAGGTACACTATGAAATATATATATGTATATGTGTTAGGAACAAGATTCTGATATTTTACAATTGTAAGTTCTACTATGCATCTTTCTTGTTTATTCTTTTTTCCAGCAAGTGTCGATTATATATTTTTCTCATTTTAAACAAGAAACATTTATAATATCAGTGCTTGTATGAATTAATATATTTAAATAATACTTTGTATAAGGTAAACAATGTAAGAATTAGAAAACTGTCATGGATATTATCACCATTTATTTCAATGGGAGTATGGGGATTTATAAGGAACACAAATAAACAAAATAGTAATATTGAAACCCAGATTTTAGGGAGAGAAATTCTTCTTGATAGGGCAGATGCACTTTTTAATCAAGGAAATTATAAAGAGATATATGATATCTTATCAAATCATAAGGTAATCAATATTTTCATAATTATCTGTTATATGACTAAATATATATATAATATTTTCCATTTTTATTTTGTAAATTTTGTATATAGGATAGTAAGGATGTTGAGATTTTATGGCGTCTATGCAGAGCTATTTATAAGATATCCAAAGTAGCTAGTGATGTTGAAGCACAAAAGTTGATTCATGAAGGATATGACTTAATAAGTACTGCACTGGACATTCAAAAAGATCACCATGCTGTTCATAAATGGATGGCTATTTTCCTTGATAGTAAAGGTATTCTTGAAGGTACAAAAGCACATATAAGAGAATTACAAAATATTAAAAAACATTTGTTGGTAAGTTATTTAACAAATTTATTTAAATATAAATGTTTGCAAGTAAAATGAAATATACAATTTTGTAGATATATGTACGAAACATAATTGAATATTGTATTATAGTCATGTGATTTATATTGTAGGAAGCGTCAAAATTAAATCCAGCTGACGCAACAACATTTTACATGCTTGGATGTTGGTGCTATGAGATTTCAAATTTGACATGGTATCAACGTAAAATAGCATCCATTATATTTGGTGAACCACCTACTTCAACCTTTGAAGAAGCATTAATGTACTATGAAAAAGCTGAAAAAGTTGATCCAAATTTCTATAGTCACAATTTATTAATGCTAGGGAAAACATATCTTAAACTAAAGCGTAAGGAAGATGCAATAAAATACTTGCAAAAAGTTCTTTTATTTCCTGCAGAAAATGATGACGATCAAAAAGCAAAACAAGAAGCACAGAGAATATTGAGTAACATTTGTTTATAAAAAAAAATTTTAATATTTTTTATATCATTTTATCCACAGAGAAAAGACAATATATTATTTGTTTATGTATACAAGCAGACATACTTTTTTGTGTATGTACTAAAGGAAGTTAGAACTTTTTATTCAATAACCAATTATAAAATTATATATACATCGATATTTTTTTTTCATAGGTTTATATTGATCTAAATATATGTGTATAATATAAATAAAATAAATATGAAAGAGGCGGGCTTGCCCCTCTGGTTTGCATGAAACTTTAGTATATTATGTATTTTAATCAGCAAAACACAAATCAGAAAGTAAAAAGTCGTTCCCAAGTGAGAGGAAGAATTATGAAGTGTTAAAAAGTGATACTTTCTGAGATCAGAAAATCGGTCGGACTGGCGATATGCAGCAACATGAAGATTATCTGTAACCATATGCGCATACTCCGTGGTGATATGCGCATGCGAAAAGCACGAGTCTGAACGCATGTATGTATGAAATCTTTGCCTTATGTACAAAGTTTACGAGTGCGTTCCGTTTCACGCATATGCGCGCATTTATCTATAGTTTATGTCACGTATCTATAAAAAATGCGCGCATATGGGTGAGACGGAACGCACTCTAAGATTGTTAGAATTAAGCGGGAAGCACACATTCTTGCATAAAGGCATAATACACAATGTGCAAAGAAATCAACCAATTAGAATCTTTATTTCTATTGCCATGCTGGAAATTAAAGACTCTAATTGGTTCATTTTCTTATGTGTTGTGTATTATGCCTTTATGCAAAAGTGTATGCTTCTCGCTTTAGATTGAAACAAAAACTGAATTTAGTATATGTATGTAGTAACGTAAGACGTTTACTTTACGCAGAGGCTTTGCTAATTTGTTCAGGATGTTATCTTAGTATACTTCCTAAGTAACATTCGAGAGATTTTAACTTGCTTATTGTTTATTAAAAAGTTATTAAAAAGTTTCATAAAGCCTATTTTTTCACAGTATACATTATTGTTATTTTAATATACTTCCTATGTAACATTCAATATACATGTAATATATACATGTATAATAACTTTTGAATAAGCAATGAGCAATGGCTAAAACTTTTTGAATGTCATACCGATAATGTAGAGAATCATGTGAAAGTGTGATATATATAAAATATATATGTATGTATTAAACATGTAAACATATATATTTTAAAGTGATTATTAAACGAGGAAACAATTTTAATGATAATATGATGCCCCAGCTGATTTCTTATACAGCGACGGGCCTGAGTACACCGCGATTATCGCCCCGGCCGTTGAGCGTGCAGCGAGGGGGAGACGGTAGGCGTCACCTACTGAATTTCGACCGAAATGTGCAGATCGTGTCCAGCTCTGAGATATCGGATCGTCGATACGTCGGACGTCGAATGCAGTGTGAATTCTCCATAAAATTATTTTTACGTTTGATTTAAGCTCCAAGGAGCTTGAAAATTATTTTATTACGCACTATTTTTGTAATAGAACAAGATAAGTTTATTTATTTATAATTTATTGTATTACAAAGATTATATTGCAAAGATTTATGTTCAGTTAATAACTTGATATTATTTATAACAAATGTATATATACCAGAGAAATATATATACAGCTCATTTATAATTGGAAATGATAAAATTTCTATATAGGCACACACACGTACACAAGTACGACTATACTAGACGTCCTATGATTCTCTCAACAATGTCTTTGCGCTGTCCTAAATTTGTTTTGAAAATATCCTAAAAGCGTTCCGAAAACATCATCGTTCACTCCTGAATATGACGCAAATATTATAAAGGTGTCCTGTAAATCCGATTCACAGAACGTCCCGAGGATGTCCTTAGTACCTCACATTAGACATCTTTGTACTCTCCTGAATATTCGTCCTGTGGCTGTCCCGAGGACGTATTTTCCTCGTGCTTTTCTGAGTATGTCCTGAGTGGGACATCCTTTGGACATCCTCAGGACGTCCCATGGATATAACCATGGATATCCCCACCTAATCCCAGGACGTCCTGGGACATATTCAGGATAATCCTAAAGACGTCATGTGCTACTTGGGAAGAGTCGAATAGACATTGAATCGACATCGATAAGCCATCAAAGACGTCTAAAAGACGTTGAATTGACGTCTATTCAATTTCCCATTTCTCCCTGGATAGTGCTCGTAATTCAAGTACAACTCTTTTTTTAGAAAGAGAAAAAGAACGTGCGATATTCTTGTGATTCAAATATATTTCCTTTTTTAGAAAAAAAGAAAAACAAAAAGGAAAAAGAAAATGGAGTTCTGATTTGATAAGGAAAGTAAATAAAGAGAGAAATTTGCACACATAATATACAGAGTGTCTCAAAAATACCGGACCCCTCGGATAACTGCACAATCAAATTTTCATAAAAAAACTTTAAATACAAAAGTTGTAGGAAATCAAGTAATGGATTTGATGATGACCTTGAATTTGACCTTGGCCTTGACTTTCAAGATTATTTGGAGGTCAACTTGAAAAATTTGAATAGGAAACCCTACTTTTTATTACACTGTTTTTTTTCTACCAATTAATTTGAACAACTTTTGTCTAAAATATTTTTTTATTTGCCTAATATCTTTTGAAATATTTGAGGAAAACTTGATAACTTTTTCAATATTTAACTTACGCTAACTATATATGTCGGAAGAAAAAATGGTACTAGATTTTCTTGCTTTATTTAATCTCAAGAATATATTGTTACAATAGCGCCCTGACTTTTGTTAACTTACTAACTTTTGGAAATTTCAAAATCATCAAATTAACAAAAATCACGACACTATTGTAACAATATATTCTTGAGACTAAATAAGGCAAGAAAGTTTAGTACCACTTTTTCTTCCAACAAATAGTTAGCGAGATATTGTTAAATATTGAAAAAGTTATCAAGTTTTCCTCAAATATCTAAAAAATATTAGGCAAATAAAAAAATGTTTTAGACAAAAGTTGTTCAAATTAATTGGTAGAAAACAACAGTGTAATTAAAAATAGGAGTTCCCATTTAAATTTTTCAAGTTGACCTCCAAATGACCTTGAAGGTCATGGCTAAGGTCAAATTCAAGGTCACCATCAAGTCCGTTATTCGATTTCCTACAACTTTTGTATTTAAAGTTTTTCATAAAAATTTGATCCTGCAAAGTTATCCAGGAAGTCCGATATTTTTGAGACACCCTATATAACCGCACATTACACCCACACACACACCCACACCCACACACATATTCCCATAAATAACACAAGATATCCCAGTATCATCCTAAATACGTTCAAAATAGTTAGAGAGTGCTCCAAAATAAATAAACTTAAGCATATTCTTAATAATCTCACAATATAATATAGGACATTTTATGTATTATATGAATTTTGATTATACAGGATGAGGAAAAAGTACCGGAATAGTGAAATATCTCGAAAGCATTTTAGAGAAAAATGTTTCGGACAAAAGTTGTATGATTTCAAAGGGGACATAAAATAGCTATATCATTTTATTTACAAATGGCAGCACTTTCGAGATATTCACTGATCATTACTTTTTTTAAATGGAAACCCAATTTTTTATTACATCGTCTTTTTCTACTAATTAATTTAAACAACTTTTGTCGGAAACATATTTTTATTTGCCTAATTTTTGAAATATTTAAGAAAACTTCTTCAATATTTGATTTACAATATCTCGCTAATTATTTATCAGAAGAAAAAGGTACTAGACTTTTTTACTCTCAAGATTTAGTCATTCTCAATTTAGTCTCAAAAATATATTATTACAATAGCGCCTGACTTTTATTAACTTACTAACTTTTGAAAATTTCAAAATTAAATTAACAAATGTCAAGCTATTATAACAATATATTCTTAAGACCAAATAAAGCAAAAAAGTCTAATACCACTTTTTCTTCCGACAAATAGTTAGCGAGATATCGTAAATTAAATATTGAGAAAGTTATCAAGTTTTCCTTAAATATCCCAAAACATATTAGGCAAATAAAAAATGTTTCAGACAAAAGTTGCTCAAATTAATTGGTAGAAAAAGATGTAATAAAAAATTGGTATTTCCTTTTGAGGAAAGTAATGACCAGTAAATATCTCAAAAGTGCTGCCATTTGTAAACAAAATGATATAGTTATTTTATGTCCCCCTTGAAATCATACAACTTTTGTTCAAAACATTTTTTTCTAAAATACTTGGTTTTCGAGACTGTTCCTGTACTTTTTCCTCACCCCATGTAATTAAGCATAAAATGAAGCAATTGCTATAATGCAGATAATTGCAAAAATAAAAATAACCGCTGAATGCTATTTATATTGCGTTAATTTGTAATAGGAAGAAATCCAATACTAATTTATCTGATAAGTAGTCTATTGTGAATAGTGTGAAAATTCAAAAAGCAAGAAGAATTGAGCTATTTGTATATCTACTTATTCCGAAATTGTCGGATATCTTTTTCGAAATTTTTCGTTTCGAAATAATGATTATTACTATACTTTTACTGCTTAAAAATATGATACAAGATAAGAGTCATAATAGACACAGCTTCATAGATTTCTCCAGTTTTATTGAAAAATAGTTAATAAAAACATAAATTACGCGAGTAATGTCTTACTATAATATTTATATTTTGATCGTACCTTTTCTTCGATCGCGATAACAGAAAATACTGCAATTTTTTTTATTACAATTAATAATAAACCATTGTAGTCGAGTCGCGTAAAAAATTGTTGGGGGAAAACACTAAGTAATTTACAGTTGAACAAATAAACTACAATCCCGAAGTTTCGAAAGGAAAAGAAAATACAATATAACAATAATATTAATAGTCTTGTTTTATATAATATTGACAATATGTATATTAAGTGAGAGTACCGCGTGTGACAATGCGACCTTATATATATGGAAGAGAATTGAATCAATTTTACTCGCGATTTGTGCTGTGGATCGAACTGTCGCATGCGGTACGAATTACATTCAATACGAACTATTGCATGGCACATTTGCTGAAAAAAAACTTTCCATAGCTGCGTACTTTCCTTTATTCGTTTACTGCGCCCGTGTTTAAATGCCCGCATATTTAGTCCGTCTGATAGACTGTAGACCAATAATTTATTACACAACCAATCGCTTGTGCGATCGATGTTAATATAAATTTCGACTCGTCGAAATATGAGATACCTAAAGCTCTCTTGCTTGTCACCTGGTACGCACTAACCATTCTCTTCTTCGCTCGCTATTACATTTTTACAATTTACAAATATAATTTGATACATCATCTTCGAAAAATACATTCGCGCCACACACGTTTATCACCATTCCGCTCCTTTAGAGAATATTCCTTTTTTTTCTAATAAATCTAGAAACAGGTTAAAAACTTAAACAGTTCAAGCTTTAAACAATGATATCAATAATGACGACAATAATAATATAATAGTAATAAGTTTGTTTCCAAAGGACTTCTGAACTATTACATACTGATACAATAAATTAGAATGAAAGAAAATATATTTGTTTCACTCTGACTTATTGCACTAGTTCAGAAGTTATTCGAAAACAAACAGATCTAATAATTAGATTTATAATAAGCACAAACGTGTCACGTAATGTAACGGGATGGTATTTAATGTACAGTAAAATTATCGATGAATATCACGCTAGCATAAAATACTTATCAGCTATTGGAAAGAATCTGATCTTAACGTATAATGTGAATATATATTTTTCTTTCCCGTAATTTACGCCAAATGTGATCAAGCTCCGATATTTTAAAATATTCTACAAATAAGTATTGGTCAGTAAACACAAAAATAGTTGTGTTTTTCTAAAGCGAGCAACACTTCGTTTTGTTCATTGTTACTTAAAAATTACTTCGATGTGTATTTGTCCCTGTACAAAAAAACTATTAATGATATTGTCATATGTAAATTGATAATAACTGATTATTCTCACATAAATAATCTATCACTCACATTTCTATGGTTCAGATTTGCAAATTCTTAAATAAATACTTTTTTATATTGACAAAAAATGTTAATGAAATATCACTATGCATCATATCGTGACAAATTTTAGATAGATATCATTGATTTTTAGAAATTGTCAAAATAAAATATTAAGATAATGCATGCGAACTCATCTATACATATATCATTGTAATATGGAAGAGAATTACATATTTGTTATTCTTATGTTGCACTGGAAGAAACACTTACTCAACATACTAATGCGAATGACCAATGTAGAAACGTGACGCATTAGAAATATACCAAATACACGAAAACGTATACATTAAAAATGTTTTTATATGTAAATATATTAAATCTCGCAATTCATAGAAAATGTTTCAAAAATATTGCATTTATCATAGAGCCTTGTTTTGAAATAACTTGAACTCGTATTACATTTTTACAACTTATTATTTTAAGAATAATAAGTACAAATAATACTTATTATTCTTATATCTCGCGTAATTCTGCATATTCTTGCGCGCACATAGACACACACACACATACACACGACGCATACACACAACAAACAAATAAAAGACAAAATTTAGGATAAGCAATCGACGTAAACTCTATCAAATTATTCTAAACAATACATAAATGCTGTAAATTGCCCCGTCAAATAATTACAGTTGCAACAGATATTCAGAAAAATAATGTAGTACTTTCTATTCACTACACAGAATATAAATTTCGCGATTTGATAAAACGTGATGTAAATATGATACAGAAAGTAGTGACGCTTAATACGTCATATCACTGTAATATGTTAACATATTTCAGATCTCATTACATTGGAGCTTAACATTACATATAAGATTATCACGATATAAAGACTAAGCTCTAGGTGCCTATATTCACATGGATATCAGTTTTCACTATTATTATTATGCTATCATTTATACGCTATTATAATGGCAAAATTTGGGCTAGAAGTAACTTCTATATTAAATGTGAATATGTTACATATGTTCGATATATTTATATGTGAACCTTTTACTAAATATATATGTATGTGTGTGTGTTCCATATGTAGCGTATATGTACAATATTTATAACTATATAAATATATAATATTGTGTATACAAGAGAGTAAGATGTCTTTGAATTCATAGTTCAAAGGCATATTTATTCGGAATCGTGAAAAAAATTCAAAATAATTTATTAAATTGTGTTAAACAGTGTATCAAATTTGATAGAGAAATTTTTGAGCTTTTGTAAAGCTTTAAACAATAAAGAATAAACAATAAGGAATAAAGAACATTACACAATATTTCAAATCATGTTTACTTCAATTCATGTTTTCTCACAAAAACAACTTTAATATCTTGCAATTTTAAAACCGTTCTAATTCGAATATATATTTATTAGGCATTTCCCATCTGTTTTCACATACTAAAGTCATTATATATTAGTTTTAGCATTGAGTTTAGAAACACCTTGTATATACCTACATATGCGTGCGTGTGTATGCGCGCGCGTGCGTGTGTGTGTGTGTATATCTGTATAGCGTGTGGTGTGTATACAACCACACACATATATACGTCATAATATAGCTTACCTCTACAACTCTCTCTATGATCTCTTAATTACGCTCTTAGTTTGATCTCTTCTTTCTCACTCACACACATGCATACATATACAGTATATAATTTTTACAATAAGACTTATCACCATTTTCGCAATAAAACATTTGATTGGTATCTGAATGGGCACACAAATGTTCACGCATCGGGTGTATCAATGGACCCGTATAAATGTATTTCGTGCACTTTGTATCAAATGTAAACAGTTGTCACAATAGCACTAAGACGACATGTTGCTCACCTGCATGTTGCAAGGTACCGTTTGGGAATTTTTTTCAGTATTCTGTATAGGCACCTGTGAATCAGAAGGATTAGCAGCCTCCTTAAACGTAAGTACGTTAGGAGTACTTGCAATTGTTGACGATGGCAATGTTGCTTTCGATTTCACTTTTATTTTAGCTTGTTGCTCCATACTGTCTATCTCAGCCCAAATACTCCTCACTTCCTTAAAAAGCTAACAAAAGATTCATCTTTATTTAACAGGTCTTTTTTCTCATTATTATTAGTATAATATAATATAATAAAGTATTAGTATAATATAATATAATAAATATACTGTGTTAGCCAAAAAGTAATGTTGGAACAAGTAATTATGCAGAATCCAAACACCATATCTGAAAACTATATCATTATATTGTATCAAGTTGATGCAAATGATTCTCAATGCTGGATTTCGATATTCCTAATATTTTAACAATTTCTTATGTGCCAAAACGTATTATAACTCTTGTGCTATTCGTTATCAATCTTGATAGGTCTGCCAGAATATTTATCATCAGTAAAATTAAAATCTCCATCACAAAACTTTTTGAGCCATCTTTGCACCATTCTTTTATTCACAGCACATATTATCACCATGCATATCAGAAATCTTTTTGTTTATATTGCGTTTTTATCTTTACGAAAATAAAAAAAAAGCAAATTTCAAAAGAAAATACATCTTCTCATTGTTCATCTTCAAATCAAAATAAGCATTAAAAAAACTTAATCAAATAAAATGAATTTTTTTTTAATTACACGTTAAAATCTTAGCTTTTAGACTATACATATAGACTATAAGTTTTATAAGTTACGAATAGTCTTTTGTTTTAAAAACAGCAGAAAAGTTTCTTACGGAAAAATCCGACATTATTTATTGGCCAACTCAATAGTAGTATTATTAATATAATATAGTATATTGTAGAATTTACGATAATAATGAAATATACTTACCTGATTCAACCATGCTTCGTCTGCTAATAATTCATTTAATATTATTGTAGTGTCCTTATGCGGATCTGCTACCCTTTTTTCAGTCACTCTTCCCGCGCATTCCAAAAACATCAAATATTTTTGATGAGCAACTTTATTGTACAATGCTACTTTCGTTTGGCAAATGCGACAAAATAGAAAATCCTAAAAAAAATGAAATAAGAATAATTGAAGGTTATTAGATTTCGTTTGGTTTCATCCGACTGTGTGTGTGTGTGTGTGTATGTGTGTAATTGCATTATACCTTTTCATAAGATACTTTTGGATCAGGTTGTGAACCTTCCAACGTAGTGCCATTATATGGTTGTCCATAAAGCAGAACTCTCGCATAGATTTTAGTCTGCTGACAACCAGCACAATACTTTCCTTTATGTTCCGGTAGGTCCTTAAGCACATTGAGACACGGCCATGTCGATATCGCCGTTACAATATTCTGTTTCCATTTCGTTGTGGACAGAAGACGACGCTTCCTTTCGTCGGTCACGTCATCGACAGTTTTCACATTTGACAAGAAATAATCATCTAAACAATAAAAACATAAGTGTAAATATAAGTACCATGGCACACGTCATTTAAGAATATATTTATTATATAATTTTGTTTCACCTTGTTCTTGGAAGATCTCGGTAAGAAAATTGGAATCCAAAGCTTGCGAAATTAATGTTTGTATATATACTTCGAAATTATCTTGATATTTCTCAGTATCTTTCATAGACTTATCGATACTTTCGCTACAGCGAGACAGAAATTAATATTACAAAATTTTACAGTTTATTGAGAGCTTCAAAATATATTGTTATATAAATATTCACCTGTCATCGATAATCATCTCGTCTCTCAAGAATTCCACAATAGTTTCTATTTTGCCTTGTTGTAAAAATTTGACTGGTACTTGTTGATATATGTGACGATTCTGTGGAGCCCATCCAGAATACTGTAAAACAACATATGTACATTCAACAATAAAAAATAATGGTATATACTTAACTATATCTAACTATATATTTAATTACCTGTATTATTTATTTACCTTTTTTGATTTTTTTCTAATTTGATTAGACTTACCGTAGATATGTTTCTATATAAAGTTTTTCCGTTGGATTTGAATGGTTCATATTTCTGAAGTAACGTTTTGCCATCTATCCTCCAAAGAGGAGGATATTCTTCGTCCAAATCCGTTTTAATTACGACAAATTCGCCAGACTAAAAAGTAGAAAAGAATATGGCAAATATTTATCTTTAGAGGAACACTTCGGAACGACTCTGATTTTTACATATATTGTAAAAATCATACCTCTAAGTAACCTCCACCATACAAAAATCAGCGGTCAGTCAAAAACAACATTCTAAAGAAAAAATATGAATCTTATAAGCCATGTAAAGCATATGCTGATATTTTTTCGTACGATTCATGATACATCCTATCTTGCGTACAGGAAGATAGTAAAAGAATATATATCTATTAAATCTTCACTTTACTTTAAATTGATAAGTTTACAGTATATTAAAAAAATGGGTACTGAAAATATTAGCAAAATTCCTATGTAATGAAAATGAGTAATAAGTATTAATTTTTTTTACTCACGTAGGTAAAATTATTTTATTCATTGGTTTGTTAAATTTGTTCATAAATACTAAATAAGTTAATTAACCATAAGTAAAGGAATAATAAATTTCAATAATAAATGTAACATTTCTCATATATTTATACTTATCACTATTTTGTTTATAACTTTTATTATACTTTATTTTATTATATTTTATTATAGTTTATAAACAATTGCTGCCGATTTTTTTATAGTGAAGATTATTTAGAAGTGTGATTTTTACAATATATATCAAAATCAGAGTCGTTCTGAGGTATTCCTCTAAAGGTGAATATTTACCAAGAATTGTATTACTTTCTATTTTATATGATGTTAACTTTTATTAACAGATATTATTAGCTTCTTGTATAGAAATATATATATGTGTGTTATCCTCTTATAAATTTTAATTAGAATGAAATTGAAGATTACCGCATCTTCCGAGTTGCCTACTGAATGCTGCATGCAAGAATATATATATCAGAAAATTTTTATTCATAAGATAAATATGCTATAAAGATGAGGGTGGTAGTATGAATTCTGCCTATGATAGATTATTACTCATTGTATCTCTTTTTTGTTAAAAGATTAGAAGATTAGAACGTAGAAGTTATTATTAGTTCAGACTCTCCAAAAGAGGAGCAGATTCCGGACTGAAAACCTTTCTATTTACTTGGGCCCTGGAAAAGTTGAGCCAAGCAGTCTCTAACTATAATATCCAATTTTCTTCCTGCTTAAACAGTAGAAAATAAATTCTGACTTTAATACTTGCAAACTCACCATCAAATTAGTTCTAGTTCACAAGTTATAGTTGAAAACTAAAATTCCGCAAAAAATACCTATATTTACTTATCAATATATTGATGTTTTGCCATGATACAATATCGCACGGTATATTGACATTTTATCAATGTTTTCCTCTTGTCTTCGACTTATAAGAAAATTTACATACAAATAATAAATTTATTATAAAACATGTTATTCGGAAACGGGGGGGAGGGAGGGGGGGGGGGGAGAGAGAGAGAGAGAGAGAGAGAGAGAGAGAGAGAGAGAGAGAGAGAGAGAGAGAGAGAGAGAGAGAGAGAGAGAGAGAGAGAGAGAATGAATATTCATTGGTAAAACGTGTTCCAAGATTAAATTTTTTTATTACATATATATAAAAATTACGCGTATAAAAAGAGAAAAATGAAAAAATTTAATTTTTTATAAAAATACCGATATCAACAAAATATCAATATATATATATCGATATTATCTAAATTGATGTTTATCGCATATTGATATTAATTTTGGATATTAAATATCAGTATCACTTTTAACAATGTAGATCTCTATCGAAAATAATATGTTAAGTGAATTTCGTATATCTGTATATTATTCTTTTCACGAAAAGGTAAAAAAGATGTCAAGTTCACATATTCACTTATACGAATGATACTATATTTTACAAAAAAAATTATATCAAATCAAGTGAAAATAATTCCTAGAAAAACAGTAACGTTAGGCAATTGTATTAAACAAAAGTAAACCAATTACATAGTAGCAGTAACGTTTTATATAAAATAAAGTTAGTACTCTCGTAAATATATACTAAATATTTGGTTTTCTTTTTTAGGGACTTTTTTAGGGACAAGAAGTTTTAGAAAAGAAATGAGATTGAAAAAACACACATACATAAAACATAGGACTTGCTGTGTTTGAGTTGCATTAAAATATAATATGTCATAAACTGTATATATTATATCTTGTCTTAATTATATTAAAACATTTTATAGATTTAGGACGAAAGTCGATATTTCTAAAAATTTCTATATTTAAGTGCACTCTAGGCACGACAAGTATTTTTGTATTTCGGTTTTGTTTTTTGAAACTTGTCATTGAAAAAATTTTAAAATTAAACTATTTTTGGTCTGTTTTTGTTTTTTGAATATTAATTTTTAAAATAATATAATCTATAAACAAAATCTGTATAACAAAAATCAATAATCGTATCGTAATTGTAATTAAAGCAACTTTTATGATGTGAATAAATGGATCGATAATATTAAAAATTTCTATATATATTCCTAGATATGTTCAAACTTATAAATTTTTTATTTCCCTCTTCCCTACCTACGGCTGTCATCTCATGGAACAAAAGAAAGAACGCAGATGACTAAATCGATCATAAGGACGATGTAATCGAGCACTTTACACTAAAATCTCTTTTCATAAAGTATATAGGGCAAAAATAATATTTTATTTTTCTTATGTAATTAAACCCTATGTGTATATATGTGTGTATATGTGTGCGTGTGTGCGTATGCGTGTGCGTGTGTGTATGTTATATAAAATATATATTAAATTATATATTATATAAATTACCTTAAATGGAGAAATATCGATATCCTCGTCACTCACAGATGCAATTAGTTTTTCGTCAATTTTACAAGAAATTTTGGAAGAATTATAAGAATTCTTTAAAGACACTTCATGCTTCCTTTTAGTTGATTTTTTTGTAACAATAATTTCCCCGGACGAATATCCATCTTCTTCCAAGATCTTCCTGATCTTCTTCGTGATGACCGGTCTCGCACGTTTTTTTCTTTTTTCTTCTTCGTCTCCAGCCAATTTTACGGCAGGCGTCCATGCTGGATCGGAATCAGAGTCAACCTGTTCCTCATCATTGTCAAAATAGTCTATACCCTGTTGTCGGTCCAAGAATTGTTTCACCGAAGTTTTTTCTTTTGCCTTTCTTCTCGAGGTTTCGCGTCTTGGAGGAAGGAGTAAAGGATCCACTATACAAAAAAAGAAAAGAAAAATATGTACTGTTACAGTCATAAAATGCTAATTTACGAACATTTATGTGCATTCCGAAAATACGTTCTATTACCTTCTTCAACCTTTTTTGATACTTTTTTGTCGTTAGGACTATTCACAACCGCTTCTGCTGCCGCTGCAGCTGCTCTTCTTTTCCTATCTGTGGGTCCGCCAGGTTTAATGGGTCTCCCTTTCCTAGATTTCTGACCTTCTGGTTTGATGGCGACAACTTCAGTATTAGCTGTGTTATTTGTGCTCTGTATTTTTTTCTCAGTTTTTTTTGGTGGAAATAGAAAATCATCATCGCTAGTAAATCCGTCGTCACTCGAGTCGAAATTTTGCTTCTTCCTTTCTTTCGGTAACGGGAAATATCTAGGATCATTAGCGTAATCTATTGCTGGTGTCTCCTTGAGCGAAGTTAATTTCTCTTGAAGTTTCACAGTTTCACCGTTCGTTGAAGCTTCTGCGGGTTTACTTGGCTCAACCGGTATGTATGGCTTTGACCTATTCCACGCTGCTTTCCTGCCACCGCGTATAGCAGGTGGTGGTGAAGGATCCCTCTCACCTTGCAGAAATTTCAAGTAACTCGTCATGAAACCCACATTATGATCCTTATTGGGTCGTTTGAAGTCCTTATTTATTTGATTCATAGTTGGCATTAGCTGCTGATCTTGTTGAAGAAAACCTAGCTCTTCCTCGATATTAGGAACAATTACTTTAGGTTGGTCATTTCTAACTTCTTGATTGTAATTAGAGTTTTGATTCGTAGCGCTCTCACCGAATCCTATTGGCGTTATGTCGACCGAAGACTGAAACTCGTGTGGATGATGTGGGTGGTGACCTGTCGGGATATGGAAAGTGGGAAAATATGGGATAGGCGGCGGTGCATGATGATGCGACACCATCAACGGCTGATGTTGATGAGCTGGAGTGCCAACAAAGTTACTCGTGTGGTGTAACGATGACTGAGAACTGAAAGCACCAGATGCAGTAGGAAACATCTTAGCTGGCGGGTGTGGTAAGTTCCATCGTTCAAAATCGAAATAACCGTTTTGTTGTTGTTGATTCGCATTATGGTGAGCTGGCGGAGGTATTCTACTAAGGTATTCCGTCATCGTTGTAGTGCTCGTGAGTTCATTTAGCGACGTCCCATGTCCACCTTTCTCCAAACTTTTTTTCTTTTTATTGGCATTGTCAACTTTACGTCGTTCCTCGACCTGTTTTTGTTGTTCTGTTGTACTAGTCGGAGTAGTAACGGCAACATGCTGCTGTATATGACAGGGACCTTGTAACGTTTGCAAATTTTTCACGATACTCATAGGATCTCCTCTACAACTGCTCAAGTCTTGCAACGCCACCTGATTAGTCTCAAAATACGGTTGTTGTCTGTCCGATACATTCACAAGCCGTTGTACTTGCTGCTGAACTGGTAAATTTTGTGCATTTATATCGGTATTTGCACCGGCGTATACAGCGACGAATTTCCTATTACTATTTGTTTGCCGATTATCAGTCTCCCAACAAACTTGTTGTTTCTGTGCTTGTGCAAAATCTTGCTGTTGTTGCTGCTGCCTGTCGTAAGTTTTATTCTCTGTGTTGTACGTGGCTTTATTGTTTTCCGTGGTACCCAGTGCTCGAGTAATTACTGACGAGTAAGCAACCTGTCCTTGCGATGCTGATCTAGAAACAGTAACATCCAAAGGTGATGGTGGAGTGACTTGTTGTTGAATTCCGCTTTTGTATGGCGCGCTGCTGGCACATTGGTTACCGTTGTTTTCAGCATGCTGCTGTAACGGAGAAGGTGATGACATTGTCGCCATTGGACTGTTATACATGGGATACGCTGGACTTGGAACATGACCCAACGGACTAGCTTGCGAATGAGCTTGCAAAGGACTCGGTCGTCGTGGAACGACGACGCCACAATCAGGTCCATTCTGACTTGCTGTATTAGAAGAATACGCGGAATCCGTCGAAGTCACAGATTTCGATCTGCCTGCATGATGATATTCTGTATCATTCGTTGATCCCGTCAAATAATGTCTGTAAGATGCAGTTTGCTGCTGCTGCTGCTGCTGTTGCTGTTGTTGCTGTTGTTGCTGTTGTTGTTGTTGCTGCTGCTGATTTAATACATGAAACGTTTGCTGCTGTTGTTGTTGCTGTTGAGGATGTGATTGTAAATTACCATTAGATGACGTTCTTTGATTACCCGTAAGCTTGCCGTTAGTATTGTTACAATTTGCGGTATTATTCGCAGCGTAATTCAAGCCACGACTGTCCATAATGGAGAAGCTAATCGGTGATGATTGATTGTTATCATGTCCCTGTGGCTCGTTTCTTCGATGCTCGATGTGGCTTCCCAATTCCGGATATATCTTTGTCTGCGCCTTAGTCTGGATACTCTGTTGCGTGGCAGCTGTCGTTTTGTTAGGCAGCGATGTGAAGTTGCTATTGCGCGCTCCTTGTTTGTCTTGAATTTGTGATGCGCCCGACCGTACGGAATTGTTCAAAAAGATCGTCGCCGATGTGGTAGATCTAGAAGGCGGTTGCGGTATCCTATACTCTTTGCCAGAAGTATTGTTTGGCGTCGACACAATACACGATTGCTGATGAAGAGACGCCTGTACTTTTCCATTACCAGACGATTGATTCCCATTGCCCACTGTATAACTGTTCGTTAGGGTGTCGGAAGTAAACGTCGTCGGAACTTGCTGAAAAAACGTTTGACTGCTACTGACTTGCGACGTAGAAACTACGGATTTTGTGTTTATAGTACTAGGTGATTGAGATCTTACATTGACTGACTTCTTTGTGTCTGGACAACCGGACGCCTTGAAATCTGTACCACACGCAGATGGGCTGGTTAACTGAGAATTGATGTTGTTTATAGTTTGCGTCGTGTTGAAATGAGCGTTGAAATTATTCTCATAGACGGTGCTGTTAGGCTTTGTAGATGGCGGTCCCGGGGATGAAGGTACAACACTTTCGTGTGGTAAAATGCCAAAAGGGCTAGGAAGTTGTGAATTATTCTGATGCGTCCATGCTAATGTCGATGTTGTAGGTGATGTTGATGCACCTTGCTGTTCAAAGAACGTAGCTTGATGCGCTGAACTATAATTCTCCCTCAATGCAGGAATATCGGACTCCGTTGTAGTGTTCTGTTTCGTCACGGATACTGCTTGCACTTGAGCAAGAGCTTGCCTATGTTGGGTAACATAATGTGCCTGCTTGGAGTTAGGATGATGGAACAGGGGGGAAAAGACGTCATAACCCACAGGGGATGGAGATAAAAACCCCCCTGGGTTAAAAGGAGATGGTTGACCCGCCAGAGTTACTGTTGTATGGGCCGCTTGTAACAGTAACTGTGATGTCGTTGTCGATGGCACTGTTTGTGTAGGAGCCGTTGCTAAATGATGAGATACGAAGTCACCTGTTGTAGTTGATGTAGTTTGAAATGTACCACTGCTGCTGCTGGCGGTGAGACGATTATATGATGCATACCATGAACCAACGGGATCCATTACCCAAGCTTGGCACTATAGTGCCTTGCTTGGTATAGGCTCAGCAGATTCTCTCTGTTTAGAATGTTGAAGATACACTTCGAGATACTCATAACATAACTTTATTTGTCACAACTTTAATATGTCTATATGTTTAAACTTTTGTACAAAATCAGAAACACTAAAAACACTTCCAATGAATGCACACAGTCATGAAAAGTACAACCAACAACTGGGACTAGTTGTATGATAATGAAGGATCTCCATTTTTCTCTGAAAAATAATACAAAACTCAATGCTTGACTTTTTCCATATTAAATAATAAACAATGTTTATCTGTGATTATATCAAAACTCTATTAATACACACTGATGGTGTGTACATATATATGTATATATATGTATATATATATATATATTTGATATATATATATGTATACACACATATACATACAATTAGTATATACATACATATACATAATTTATTTATACATATATGTGTATATATAATTTAAATATTTTTAATATAGTCATAAGGAAATTAAAAATGTTTATAATAAGACTGCTGTGCTCTACAAAGTGGTCAATATCACACAAGCAATGAGACTATGTTTAAAACTCAATAGACACTAAAATAATAAACAAAATATAGATTACGCCGCAGCCACTATGACAATCTTTTCTGCAATTGCGTTTTCGTTAATGATCATAAAGTGATCATGCAATCAGTGTATTTCGTTTACAACGATCCGAGGTACAATTGTGCACCAACAAAAATACACTTGCATGATCATACAGATATAATATAAATTCATTGATTTGCTTACGTTCTATACAAAATCTGCGACGTTATGTGGACACCTGAGCCAGCGGACAAAAGTGTTTGTTCGCGAGATCTAGACGTGTCCCGGCAACGAAGCGTCGTCTCTTAGCATATCAAGGTCGTGACGCTGACTGTTCCTCAGTCGCTATGTATGATGATCGACACGGCTGTTGCATGCAGGTGTCCGATGAAGAAGACAGCCGGATGACCACCGCATACTAGTTGCAGGAACAATATCCGTTGCTTCGCGACCACAAGAACGACAACGCTGATCTCACTCAAAAACGCGCAACTTTTGACGTACGTGTCATACGGGTTTGATGGAACAGCGACGGCGGTGTGGAGTGTCGTGCTGCTTGTCGGAAAGCCGGGTTATGCGAAGTTGTCGTAATGAATAACACTGTAAATATGGCTACACGAGTACGAAGAACGCAGTGAACGCGCGACACGCGATACACGGGCGGCACCAGCAGCACCACCACCACCACCACTGAGCTGCGAGCTGTTAGGCTCACATGATTGAGAAAAGCGGCGAGCATTATCACGCGGCTGATCGCCGCCTACACCACCTAGGATACGCACACGCGTCGTAACGGTTCAATCTCGCGCATCGAGCTCATTTATTTATATTGTCACCGCTGTGGTCGCATTTATGTGCGCCGTGCACAATGTCGCCCCGCATTACCCATTACAGGCCGCCATTTTAATCCTGGTCAACAATAGACCATGCCATCTTCCGTCTACGTTCGTAAATCGCACAAGCTCACTGCGCGCGACACACATATGATCTATTCTTTTCTTCTGCATCTCTGCACTGATGCAATAAGTTAAAGTGAAACTAATATATACTTGTCTCACTCGAATTTATTGCACTATTTAGTGCAGCGGTGCAGAGGAAAAGAACAGACCTATAGGCTGCGTTCCGATATTCACTGTCAGCACTAAAAATCTATAGTATACGTGACGCAAACTATGTATTTTCAGTACTGGCAGTGAATATCGGAACGCAGCCATACAATACCAACAACGAATACCGAATTCGCGGGATTTTTGAATTACAAACAAAATATTTCGTGTGTTCAATTTCGTTTGATCGCGCTGTATATTTACGAAAAAAAATATATTTCAAATTATTACTGCGACACTTTGCGCTTTAGGATTTTACATATGTTTCGCTTCGTACGTTCAGCTTGGTGAGAAAACAAGACTTCTGTAGAAAACAAGACTTCTGTAGAAAATAGAAATAGACACGAAATTTAGCTACAACCTGTTGACTGTTACATTGAATTGATTTCTTTGATCATGCTACAGAATTCATATTAAAGTTCTCGTTTAAAAGCTTTTGTTTTAAAATGTATATAAAATAACTGTAGAATGAAAAATATGGTAATGAAGATCGAGTCGATATTGAAAATCGTATAATCACAATGATAACATTTATTATATATATATATATATTTGTGTGTATATATATATCAATGTATATATATATATATATATATATATATATACATGTACATACATATAATTATAATGTAAGAATATATTTATAATTATTACTCTAGCAATGATCATAATAATTATAATAGCATAACACGCAAATCGCCCATCACTGCTTGAAATAGGTATTACCTATTTTTATAATTGTTAAATTATTGCTATAATAGAGACTGAGTAGGGAGGCAGTTTGCGCGAATTGCCTTACCCAGTAGCACAAGGGAAAATAGGATTCAACAATTAAGACACTTAGTTGAGTATATCGTAGATATCATACAAAGTATACCAATGCCACTGTCCTTAGTAAATAAATAATAATAGGAGATTGGGAATTTTTTTCTCCAAAATGTCTCCCAGAGACATACCTAGAGATTTTCTCGAAATTACATATCAACTTGATAACACACGACTACCAAGAATTTATACTTGAATACTCCATTTATCACGGAAACAAACAATAAAGAGATCAAAACCTAAGAAAATTGCGAACAATTCTCTTATTAAGAAATTGACACTTGAATCACAATAGATCGTCATTACGAAGGCATTATGAAGATGAGAAAAAATACATATTAACAAGCTTGAGAAAGAGACTGCACAGTAGCGGTATCACAGTTATTTTGATATCATACAATATTTCCAGTCGTCCACTTTCTAACTGACATATTGAACTCAAAATAGTTGCATATTATAGATGTTAGATAATTATATGCAACTACATTGTTTTTACTTTTTTTCACAAGAATTTATAAACATTTCTTTTCAGAGCATAAACAAATACCTTGCAAATATTTGTGTTCTCAATGAACGCATTCTCATGCACTCAACTTATTATATATAGGGTGAGGCACTTAAAACAATCTATCTTTATAATTTTTTTATTTGTAATGATGAAAACGGATATTTTGGATACAATTTGTTTAGTTTCATGAAAAAAATACGATGATGTCTTAGTCGTAATTCGAAAAATCAAGTTTCAAAGTTACCATTTTTTTTTTTTATGAAATATTATGTCTATTTTTTAATAGAGCATCTTAAGAGCATCGTACGATAAACTATATTCTCAAAGTTAATTATAAACAAATAGTTATTTAAAAAACTAAATGAGACAAATTGATTATGTTTATTTACCTTGATACATGTCATTAAAAATGTTCAAAAGTGATTTTGAGCAAATGTATGCTCTAAAATAATTCATACGTTATCAAGCATATTACAAAATGTAAACAAACATTAAAATGTCAACATTAATAAAGGCATGAGAAGGCATATAGAAACTTATTTTGTCATAAGATTCAAAATGCAGTATTTTGCATACCGAATATGCATACTTTAAAGTATGCATCGGTAAAATGCTTTATTAGAAAATAAAAGGTAAAATAAATATAAGCATTTTATTAAAGAAAAATTTGGTGACTTTGGAACTTCATTCACTATTTGATCTATAATCAAAACAATGTCATCACCATACATCCCTTATGAAACTGAACAGATTTCATCTAAAGTATTTATTCCTATCGCTAAAAATAAAAAGAAGTTACTAAAATGACCGGTTTTAAGTGTCTTATCCTATATAGTTTTGCTAGAAGTAAATAAATAAATTACAAACTACATGTATCATAGAAATGATTTTCAATTGACATTATCGGTTGTGATTAAATTTGAATAATAAATTTGCACAAATAGTTCAGAAACAGTTACAAGCAGCTCTAATAATAAATAAACGATACATGTGGCAGAACAGGACGCATGACCTGACGTAGCTTTGGTTTTTTACCTTTTTTTATAAAATACATTCATATTAATATCTAATTACGGTAACATTACAAAATGCAGTACGCATAGAGATGACCAATATTGCTCTGCTTTACTTATGTCTTTGCTTTTAAGGAATTTTAACGAATGGCTACCTCATTTGCATTTTTCGCTGTTGCCATACTGCAAACTTTCTGTATGCAGTATTTAGTAATTGATTGAGATGACTTGTTAAGTGTTGACTAACCGCAGAGAACTCTCTTTGCACGCGATCCTAGAAATGGGATTTGCATCCTATATAAAATCTATAGATATCAGTAAACATATATACACGTTTAACGGATATACACAGTACTTACCTCAAAGGGTTTGAGCTTAGCAGAATGAAATCTATGCAAAGCTTCATGCATTCTGATCGCTTTCTCTTCCAGTTGTGGCGTTGTTGGTGGAAAACTTCGCCAAAAATGCCTCAATAGCTCACATGTACATACGTATATATTACGTAATTCCTTTTCCAAATCCTTTGGTATTAATTCTGTAATATTTGTTTAAATAATTTTACACGCAAAAAATATAGACAACACAAAAGACAATAAACTTGTTTTATTTCGTACTCGTATCAAGAATTTACTTACGTCCAAGACTTTCTTCTCGGAAACCTTTCATTAGAGATCCGCCAGGTGTTAGTTCACCTAAAGCTGATACTGCTGCAGCTGGACTGACTAAAGACGTTGCTGCTTGCCGTGGTAATGTATTACCAAATACCCATCCAGATGCTTCCTTTTTCAAATGATTTAATGTAAGAAGTAGTTCCTCAGAAGTTGGCTCTGTATTTCCAAATCCTGGTACAGGCCCGTGTAAATATCTATCTATGTGTGTCAGTATCAGTGGTGCCTCATTATTTGTATTTGTGTCACAGCTTGTATCGAGATCATCATAAATTATTTTTTCCTGTATCCTAAGCTGTAAAAAATGCTTGAACACATTATATGACTACTCTCAAGTATATTAGTGTGGGTAGTAAATACATAAAGATAGAATAGAATATACTGAACCTTTTTAGCCTTTGGTCCATCACCTGGTTGATTATTTGAGACTTTACTCACAGACGGTGTAGAACCGTTTAACTGTGGCTGATTAATTTGCATAGACTGTTTGGCAGTGCTTGCTTTTAAAACCATTATGCTATGTTGGTTAAATCTTTTGATCATACTCTGATGAACGATATTTCCTGACGTTTTATCAGATTTACTACATCCACTCCCGTAATTTTCATCCAGTGATTGATCCTCAAAAGAAGTAATATCCAACAAAGGATCATTTATTCCAGTCTGCAAGTCCTTTTTAAGTTCTTGATCATCTATTTTGGCACATTCGGTAAAAAGATCTTTGGTCCCAGCATTGATACGATCTCTGTGAAAATAATGTGACTGAAAGAATTTTGTCCAGAAATCAGATTCTGATATTTTGTGAGGCACATTTTCCTGATGTTTCCTTTTAACGGCTGGGTAAGTCTTAAATATACATTCTATCACGTCAACAGTTAAATTATATTTTAATCCGTTGCAACCATCAGTCTGTGGTTTAATATCCGCCTAAAAAAAATCGAAACAGTTGTTTTTGGTAATTTAGTAATAATTTATGTACAAATGGATAAAAATCTAAAAAATAAAAGATGCCTCACCAAAAAAGCACTATTAACACCTATTTCTTGGCGTTGGCTCTTTTTGGCTTGTGTGTATTCGGCAGCATATTGTGACCAAAATTCCTCAGATGATATAACTTGCGTAATAACCAGATCACGATACAATTGAAGTAACCCAGGATGTTCTTGTAAAGTTCTAAAATATATATTTAGATATTATTAATAGCTAACAAATTAGCTCGTTATATCTTTTCCAAATATCGGACAAACATACTAATTTCCTTACCTGTTTTTTTCTTCTAATTCTTTGTTAACTTTTCTTTTAAATTTTGGTAATAGCTGTTGAAGTAATTCTTTTACATCATCACGATCTTTGATTTGAGCTTCTTGCCCATTCCTATTTACAAAGTGAAATGTAGATGATGTACCATCATGTAACACCATCTGTAATTGTATTTTTGACTTTCCCTCTGGTGATATCTTTTGTACTAAAAAAAAAGAAAATAAAATCTTTCAGCTATATTATTCAAGTTATATCTTACTGATTGTCATTGTTGAAGAAAAATGACAACATATATATAAATATGTTTATTTAATATTAATTTACTATTTACACTATTATTTAAAACCTTACATTTAATATCACCATATTTATGGCTAACTGATACAGTATCTTTGTTATCAAGCATCCATGCTATTCGTTCGTTCATCACATACAAAGTACCATCTCCTTTTTTGTAACGCACTTGACTTACTTGCATCAGAACATCCTCTGATGATGTAGTCATGGTATGAATTTTAAGTATATGATTCTTCTAGAAATAATAGACGCAATCCTGAAAAAAATATATTACAAATAAATATAATTTTTCAAGGATACAATGTATTCATCATTCATATTCTTGTATTCATTATTTCAAAAACATGCAAAAATATATTTTAAGCAGAAAAATCATATTGTATATAATACAAGTAAAATAAAGAAGATACATGATTTTTCATATAGAATATTTTATTTATTCTCGATTAATTTTCAAAGCAATATTAACTAATGATGTTGAGTGTCATCACTAAACCGAAATGTGTCTGCAATATTTTAGCGGTATAATTTCTGCGCAGAGTGACAAGCAGAAGAGAGATAACTCTATATAGAGTTCAAGCTACTCGTTACAGCGTCCTTGAATATAACGCAATTACTATTTTGCATCCGAATGCTTTCGACAATTTTTCCGAGAAAAATCACACGAGAAATAAGTGTGTTACAACATGAGAGAAGAAGAGAAAGAGGATTCGCGATGTCGTGGAGTCGGCAGATTCGCGTTGCGGCGCCAACACCGCGACGATGGAGCGCGCCGTAATGTAACCGTGGGTGTCGATTTCTTCGATAAAGCGCACGAAATGCCACAAAAATCGACTCCACGCACATCTCCGTGGATAAAACGCGCATTTCCCGCTCACATAGCGGTAAAATCCAATACGAATACGTGCATTTACCGGTGGCTGAACGCCAGAAATCGCGGAGCAGTGCAGAGGCCCGTCGGGCGGCACGGCCATGTGCAGAAACACACGTTGGTGGACGCATCGCGCGGCGAGGACGGCTACGGACGGACCATCGGTATGAACAATACCATCGACCTACGGCGACTGACGCCACTATGTTGCTCAAGTGACGACGTTGCGCCGCTTCCTGTACCGGGACTCGCCTGTCGTTTTTTATTACATGTCCGTCGTACGTTTAATACACATATACGTACAGCAAGAGTTACTTCTTACATTTAGAAATAAAAAAGATCGGGCGTATTTTTATGGGAATTATTTAAAATTTTCAGAGTAACGATATTGAGCAGAACACCGTTGCTATCACACTGACAATCGCATCTACGCAGACGCGCTCGCATGAGAGCACTGATGCGCGCGAAATTACAAGCGATAGTGATTTTATTCGTATATCATATATGTATATATACATACGTACAAACATGCATACATACATACATACATACATACACACATACGCATACAATATACAAAAGAAGAGGCCATAGAGATCGTTTAGGATACTTTCACAAATTTGAATCGAGAATACAAAAACGACATCGATCTATTTATTTGCAATATATCTACGTATTGAGATAAACTGAATAAATTGTCTCATGGAAAGTACGACTTTAAGTTTACATTATCACGAAAACATATATCCTTAAATGTATTTTGATTGTTTGTATTTCGATAGAAAATTTTCAATTCAAAAATATTAATAAATTACGAATGGTATACAAAAGCAATTCCAATAGTGAAATTGATTAGGTTATGTGGAAGTTACTATAGTAGAGTATCATAAAAGAGTGATTATAGTAAAAATTCTTACAAATTCGCGAAGATTCTGTTAAATAAACTCGCAAGACACGTGTATATTATACAGTATATTACATATGATCTATATATTGTGCACGTTATTGCTGATAATGATAATGTGATCTTATCGAACAATATGTATATACTTTTTAAAAGTTAAGATTACAGATGAGTAATGTAGTTTCCTATTAATACAGATTTTGAATACGTGATACGAAAACCAAAGCAACAGAGAATATGTTTCGGTTCTGGATGTCCACGCGATACCTCCAAGAAGGGTATGAACTCTTTCATGAGATATCACACTGCAGAGGATTATCCAGATATAGGACCTAATTCCTATAACATCTTGGAATCGTTTAACGCAATTAAAACTAGGGTATATATTTGGGAATTATTATTAAATTATTATTATTATATCATTGTTATTATATATTAAATGTATATAATTTCATCTTTTTGTTATGAGCCATGTCCTCATAGCTTTAGTAGGAAGGGGTATAGTGGCATTGCTCAGTTTGCCAGGCCTGTTGCTCATATGGATGATTATCCATCACCATCTGAATATATCATTTCGTTTCCTAAACTTAACAAACTGCAAAAACATCCGTTTGCATCTACCAGTGAAAGAAAAATCTTTGACATTAACAAAATTCCAGGGTACAAGTATAAAAGATACAAGTAAAGAAAACTTATGTGAATAATGTTAATAATGATTTCACTGCAGGCCTGGAATGTATGTCAGTAAGGAAATAAAAGGTGTTGCATTTCAACATAGTTTTGGTGGTAGAGCCACGATGCGACTTGGAGTCGATTTTAAATGTTGCAAACGCACCATGGATATCTGCAAAATGTGTAATAAAAAACCAACAGGTGATTACTGGCACTTGAACAATAAAATCTTTTTATGTAGAATGTGCATGTTAAAGGAATTTCATGAACCAATAAAATTTAAGGGAAAGGAACTACAGTTATTCCGTGTAAGTTTTTGAAGTTATTATAATAATTAGTACAAATTTATACAATATCTATAACCATTTATATGAATAGAAAATAAGAGATTGTTCAAGTATTCACATTCACGAAGGCACTGACGCAAAGATATGGCTAATGCATCCTACTACAGTCAAACAGTGGTTAAGAAGAGAAGCATATCTTTCAACTTATTTGGGAGATTAGAGAAAGCAGACTATGACAGGTTTTTAATTTTATTTCATTCATTATTCATTATTATTCATCTACTATTATTATTATGAGAAAATTTTTACATAGATCTTATTTATTTTTCTCAATGAATATACAATGTATTTTTTTTCTAAATTGATGTCCATTTAGGCACTATACATACACACACACACACACACACACACACACACACACACACATACACACACACAAACACACACACACACACATGTATGTATATATATATATATATATATATATATATACACAAAGTTATATAAAAATATTCACACATGTATATTGTATATGTAGTATATATTTCAAATAATATAACTGTTTAAGTATTTCCCATAATAATACAATGTCAGTGTTTTATATTAGATATAATTACGTATACATTGTCAGTCAACAGGAAAGTTTCGAGTTAAAACAGTTCATAAATGATACTTTTAATACTAAAATATTAAAACCAATTTACACATATCTCTTTAATTAGTTGGGTTATATATTCCTTTAAAGCAAAAGAGAAGGAAATATTAACACGAACTGCAACTCGAAACGTTAAAATGATCCTGTAAAAAACTATTTAAGATATTCTTAACATCAAGATTCCCCCTAAGACCTCCTTTAGACACATACGCACATGCGCGCGCGCACGCACACACGCACACACACACACACGCACATACACTCACAAAATTTTAAGTTTTCGATGTATAATTTAATATTATTACAGTGAAGAATCAGGAACCTAAATATTAATTTATATAAATTCTTTATAGCGTAATTATGTATTACATGAAGAACATATAATTATTATATTATGAAAAATGTATCTAAAAAAAAATATGTATTATATATTTATATATTCTAACTTATGAGTGTTCAAGTATCTGAAAGTTGTAATTGGTTGCTAACAACATCTTCATTTTGTTGTTTCATTACTACTGCTTTAATTTCTTCTACAGGATTACCACCATCAGGCGCTTGTCTCGATATTTCAGGAACAGACGATTTGGATATAGCTAAACAATAATTCTTGGTTTCTACATCAACTTGTTGTATCGATAATTTATCATATGAAGTAGTGATCATCGATTCTGTACTATTACTCGATGTTAAATCATTGTCATTAGATTTATGTATAATAGTCACATCGATGTTACCACTGACATTTCTTGATACTCCTGATGGTGTTGTACGGAGAAGTTCTGTATTCTCTTCTGGTTCCAATAAATTTGTTCGACTTTTTGTTTGCGTATCAAGTGAAAGTACAGCATTGCCCTCCGTTGAATAGTTTGTACCGTGGCCCATTGCTGTGCTGAAACTTCTTGCATATCGATTATCAAGTTGCTCCATAGCTTCTTCTTCCGGTGATATAGCGGACATAGTTTGCAAATCTGGTATTAAGTGTTGATAAAGAAGTGGGTTAACCATACCGTCTAAGTTTCTATAACGTATATTGGTACTTATTAAATATGTTGTTAATTCATCCCACTCTACATCATCATTTTCTTCCGCAACCAATTCTTCCCGTATTACCGTCGATATTTTATTACAAGATTGCGATTCTTCGATTGGTCTAGAAATGCTTTTGTCGACACATACATTGCTCATATTAAAAATTGTTCGATTTGGTACGTCAGAATAAGCATGTTGCGCACTCGTATTATCAGTCTGAGTAGGTACTGAACAAATGTTAATACTACGACTGTTCTTTTTCTTATCTTGTAAATTATTCCGATGCTCTCGTAATTTCGTGAATAGATTTATGATGTCTCTCTTTATTGGCATATCCACTTCTACGGGTGGCTTAGGTGGAAAGTCTAACGAAAGTTTATTCAACAAATGGTTTATATGCATTTTAGTACCTCGTGCTGGATATTCCGCTGGATTGTTATCTAATGGATAATTATATGTCAAATCACATGGATTTTGATACTGATAATGCTTTGGATATTGATTGGAATGCGTATTGGAACTTGAAGAATATCCAGTATTAGTTGCTTCAAGATTTATAATTGTGCTTTGATTGGATATAGACTCAAGATGCAGATTATCATTGTTTTCTATGAAAGAAGAGATTTGTTTTTTGCTAATCACGCCGGTTTGATCATTCTGTAGTTTGCATTCCTTATAAGTTCGTGACGTTTCAGGAGAATGTGTAGCAATCATCACAGATCCAAAAGTTTCGACATTTCTATTGTCAATATACTCATTTTCACTACTTGATTCATTGATCTCAAAATCACTATCAAACTCATCTTCGAAAGCAGTATTTGTAATATCATGTAAACGTGACTGTAAACATTTCGTGATTTCGTTTAGTTCATCCAACTTCTGCCTGTAATATATTGTAAAAATATGTGTACGAAAAATTACAAAGTAGTCGCAGATAAAATAAAGTAATTACACCAGTATTACTTACTTCAAAGACAATGACAAAATAGACATTGAAACATTTTCTAAACTATGACCAATATTTGCTGCATAAGTAGGTTCATCCTGCTTATTATTATCTTGTACATATTTAGTTTGGTTATAGTTTATATATGATGTTTGCTGTCCATTATTTACTTTTGTATTGCCATAAGATATATTGAGTGGATTTGACCAGTTTGCATGTGGTAAATTCTGGTTAATATGTCCAGATAAATTGATAGAGCTAATTGATGAAAATTTCCCATACGATGATAAACTGTCCAAAGGTGTTATATTTATCTAAAAAACAAAGAAATTGAAATAAATAAATAAATAAATGTGTTTATATTTATCATATATTTATATATATATTTTTTTTATACGGGGCTTTTAATATACCCTGTATGTGTGTGTGTGTGTGTGAGGACAATAGTGTGTGTGTGTGTGTGTGTGTATACACATATATAGAAGAGTAGAACGCACACAAAAGCAGGAAATAAAAATTTAGCATAGGATAAGACATATCTCTTTAGAAATTGTTTCTAATATTTACTTTAATTTGTCCATTGCATTTTCCACTAAAATTTATAATATGGAACCATCCAGATACTGTAGGAAATCCTGCCATTAGAACCGAAAGATCGACAGCAGCGAAGCCAATCACTGTATCTTTTTCTAAATTTATTACTGTTGCATTTGAATCAATCAAATGCCAAACTTTAAAAATCAATCTCTTTTCATTCTGAAAAAAGAAATATTTTATATAATCCATATAAATATATATAGAGATATATTGAACATATAATACAAAAATACATACACTTAAAAGTAATTCTGTTGATAACTTTGCATCACATCTCCAATTCCATTTTGGATTGCAATTATGTGCATAAATATTTGTGATCATGTATGAATTCCATTGGCTATTAGGATCAGATTTGGGAGTTAAATTTTGAAAAGTAACATATGTACTTGGCTCCATAGATTCATTTAGTCTTTCAATTTTTGGCAAGTGTAAAGCGCATTCAATTTCTACGACAGCTCGAAAGAAAGGATTATCGTTATTAGTATTTGATTCATCATTTTCTGTATTTCTCTCAATTACGGATGAACTCGAATGATCATTATGAACATCAATATCCTGTTGGTCTGACTCTTCACTGTACTCTGCACCAACACCAACACTCCTATACATTTCGGTAGGTAATTGAAAATTATTTCCCGGGCTGCAACTATCATTATTATCAGAGAGAATATTATTAGTTAATCTATTTAAGCATAACTCTTCTTTATCTATTTTTTCTTCGTCTCCCTCTTGTTCCTCTATTTGATTTATTTCTGTTTGAGCCGATTTATCTATACTTGTTCTGTTAGTACATAATGCACATACATTTGCCAAACTATCGATTGATCCACATGAGACCATATCTTCTTGAAACGGAGGTTTTAATACCTTCCCGTTCTTAAGAACTGAAATATCCGTTTGTATTTTTTGATCCTTACAATTGCTAATAGTTAAATTTCGATCGGGCGTACTATAAATATGATAAGTATAATTATTATCGCGAGTGGATTGCTTTAGACTGTTCGACACTTCAATATTACACCGTGAATTCTCTCGGCTGCTTGTTGCATAGTTTGTCTCATCAGAAATTCGGCATTGACGTCTGCTAGATGTTTGTTGCGTAATAACACTAGCATCTTTTAGACCTCTTGACATCTCTAATAACGCAATTTGTTCTGCAGTACCCAGCGCAACCAACGCAAGCAGTTTACCACAAGATTTTCCACTTATTAAGTCGTTAATATTAACCCAACCATCCACACTTATTACAGGATACTGAAAATAAATATTAAGTAATCGAAAATATTATAATATCTAGTCAAAATATAATATTGACATAATTACTTTCGACAGTAACAAGTGGGGTAAAACAAGTGGGTCTCTGTATGCAATATATAATTGATGTACAGGCAATTTCGCTATTCCCAGCAGATTATCTGTTTCGCCATTATTTTGTCGACCATATATTTCTATAATTATATAATTGTCTCTGATTCTTTCCAATAATTCTGTACCGTGAATTAAAGGTACTAGCTGTAATTAATGTCTTTATGTAAAAATCATATTTATATGATTAGTCATTTTATTATATATAAATAGAAAATACTTACTTGACAAAAATGATAGAATGGGTTTTTTGTATTATTGCAGATTTGACTCGTCGCTTTATCTTCTCGCCAAAATGCTCGACATATTAAATAGGTATTGGATTCCGGTAGATCTTTACCCTCAGCAACATATATTAAACCGTGAAGTAAAATCTAAAATAGAAATGTAAATCTAATAAAATACACACACATATACATACACATAGACACACACATACATATATATATACGCACGCATTCATTCGGTATATTTATTCGGATTATTATGCCATTTAAAAAATTACCTTATCTTTAGTGATAGTTTCTGGATTGTTTGTGCCAACTTTCTTGTTATCTAAATTTCGTTCTTTGTGCTCTGCTATATCTTTTGTAGTGACCAGATCCTTGTTATTACTAGTCAAACACTCAATTCCTTTAGCAGAGACAGGCGAGACTTTACTACTAGACTTGGAAGAATGTGTTCCTATTACACTTCTATATTTATTATTGTTCGTGTTCCCTAAATGCTTTATTTCCAGCACAGGGATATTCTCTTTCGCCGATATTACAGCATCTAATAAAATAATTTTTTAAATTGCTATTTTTATATTTATTTATTAGATTTTTCAATGTTATATATATATATACAAATATATTTTGTCAAAGTTCGATATTAGTCGTTTCATGAATTAATTATGTTTTTATATTTTGGCCAATGTTATCAGCCGTTCTCTCTCTCTCCTCTTCCCCTCCCACCCCTTCCCCTCCCTCTCCCTCCTTCTCTCTTTCTCCCCCTCTCTCTCTCTCTCTCTCTCTCTCTCTCTCTCTCTCTCGCGAAGCTTTTATGAGAAATAATTTTGTTTAATCAGCTATGCCGCAAACTTATATGCACGTAATCAACTTTCGAAATTGAGTTATATTCTTGTTATAAACCTAGATATCTAGTGATTATTTATTTATTTTGAGGGTTCTGGTCCTCCGCTGCGGAACCCTTGATTGATAATATCAAGGGTAAGGAAACGTATACCTAAAATTCTTATTTACTATGTCCAAATAAAGATATTTATATGAAAAAATATTTTAGATCGATAGAACATAGTTGTAAAATCTGAACATTATTTCTCCTTTGAGTCAATTAACAATCATAAAACAATTATAATATAAGGTTAATCCTGTGGAATGATTATATACACGTGCGACTAAGTTTTATATTACAATCATTTTATGATGTTAATTGATTATCAAGAGCAGTATTCAGAATATTTTACAAATATATTCTAGCGATCTAAAATATTCTTTCATACAAATATCTTTTTGTTTGGACATGACATGTATGAATTTCGGATAAACATTTTTCACTTTTGACGTTATCATCCCAGAATTCTACGGAGAAGGAAAGCATATATCTTGATTTATTATTCAATTTATTTATTAAAAACGAAAGATTATATAATACTAGTTTCCCAGAATTGTGCATAATTATTTAGCAAATTATTTGCGAAAATTGCTCGTATGCAGAAACAAAACTATAGGCTACTATAGGATACTATAGGATACTATAGGCAGCGCCAGGAGTAGGCCTGTGGTGTGATTCTTTAACTCGTTATTGGAGTTAACGACAGTTTCGTTACCGTTGCGTAGCTTTTCTACGGTATACAAAAGCTGCGCAACGATAACGAAAGTGTCGTTAACTCCAATAACGAGTTAAAGAATCGCACCACTGGGTGGGCTCTGACCTACCTAAAAATACGCTGGTCCACCCTTTGGCCCACCCTAAAATTTTAGAGAATTTTAATATAATTATGCTGTCCAAGTTTTCAGCTTTTTTATATGAAATTGTTTTAATATTTAAAACTCTACAATTAATTTTAAATTCCATCTTCATAGTTAATTTCTCCCAAAGACAAAACGTAACGATTAGAAACATTAAAATGAATGATAAAATGATATATAATATATAATAAATATGGCCTACTCATATAAACGCTGGCCCACCTATGGCCCACCCGCATGAATAGTTCTGGCGCCGCTTATGCCAGATACATTGTCATAAAGTTACCAAATAATGTGTAAGATCAAAACGTATAAAGAAATTGCAAGTATAGCAAACAATTTGCATACAGATATTTGACTTATGAGCTACATAATATATTGTCGAATGACGAGCAAATGTTAGCAGTATGTTAATTATTTGTACGAGCCTTGTTCATGTATAAGGTGATACATAATTCATTAATTTACGTGCAATATATATAACTAAATATAGTTCACGAATAAAACGTAGACAAATTTTGTTTGAGATTTGAAAATGAGAAAGGATTTGAAAGTATAACAAATGCAAACTTCACACACAAAAATTGTTATTTTGGATTATACCATCAATTAGATAAATTGTTTAGTTATCAATATTATATTAATGTTATAATAATCTCATACCTTCTTATATTGAATATATTAAAATGATGACAGATATGTTAATTTCGTATTAGAATTACTTTTTGTAAATGTTCTATTGTTGAAAAACCAAAATCAGTAATTACGTTTTAGATATGTAGTATATGTTTCCGTTCTTTCTGAGCTTCAACTTAATTAAATGCTATGTTCCATGTGAGCATCAATTAAATACCAACGCAAAAAATTAAAATTATATATACATGGTGTTAAAAAAAAGTTCTAAACTCATAGGATAGTTCTCATAGATATTATATTGAATAAAAAGTGCTAAGATAAGATCAAATAATTAAATATAGATCAAAAAATTATTTCTTTCAGAATTACCAAGTTTTTCAGTTTTAGTAGTATAACAAAAGTAAGTTTAACAAAAGAGTATCGTAAATATATATTACAAAATTTGAAAATATAATATATTAAATATATTGTATTAAATAAACAAGCATATTAAAAAATAATTTGTAAAATAACGTTCAACTCGATCTTTAGACCCCACATTTATAGCAGTAGATTATATGAGTAGATAAATTTATCGCAAGTATTGTCACATATTAGGTTGTTTTATTATTACTTTGATATATACAAAAAGTGTTCTACATGTCCTCCATCCATTTATATATATATATATATATATATATAATATAAACATATACGTACATATATATATACATTAAGCGTGATACTTTTACATCACAGAATTGCGAACTCTTACAAAAATTCCTAGATTTTTTCGAATCAGTTCAGTTTCGTATTCAGTATCCCATATTCCGTATCAATTCAGTATTATATAAGAAGATTCATCTTGAACTTTCTGATATAATATTCTTGTTATTATTTATTGATGAAGAATATATTATATTTCTAATATATCTGTATATAACAACATATTTTATATTAATTGTCAAAGAATATTTAAATAGGTTATTTATCAAAAGATATATTGAGCGGAACAGACCAATTGCATAAATTCTTCGATTGCTCGATTTGAACTTACTGAATTTCTATTTATGGGAATGTATTGAAAACGTAGCATCTTTTTCACCAATAAATGATGTACAAGTATAATAAAGAATCCAAGATATATCCGAACTGTATCCAAAGACTAGGAATTTCTTAAAAAGTTTGTAATTCTATAATATAAAAATGTCAAGTGAGTAAATAAATGGAGAAATAAAATAGGTAAATATGAATGTAGAAATGAATGGAGGACATGTAAGTACTTTTTTGTAAATATCAAAGTAATGATAAAGTAACAATATGGTACAATACTTATTCACACACACATTAAACTTACATTACTAAAATTGAAAAAAATATGCAACTCTAAAGGCATTGATGTCTCGTCCTATGTTTACTAAGTAGTTTTTGCTCAGAAGGAGGATACTTTGCTGTCTCATTTGGATTCGGATACCTCTCTGATATATTGTAGAGTACGGAAAAGTAAGATGTACTTCTTTTAATATGTATTTCTTCCTATATCGGCAGAAAAACATATTTAGAAGATGAAACTGAATCCCGAAATTGGAGACAATCGATTTATTTTGCAGTTTCCGTAGAAATCATGTGATTTATTATAAATGTAACACATACCAAAATATTACTTTTCATGAGAGATGCTAGATATTTTTTATACAAGATTTTCTATTAATTAGATATAAGGATGAACTATTGCCGTCAAATATCTAAAGTTTTGTAAAAATTGCATAATAATCTTAAATTATTCGAAAAAAATATATGTTGTAGGAAAGTCTGAAAATAAATTGACGTATTTCTGCTTTTTAGCGTACAACACATCCTAAAAGGATAACTATTTTATTTTATCCACGCGATATTCTTTTGTCCACTGAAGATATTTTAACAAATATTTTTATATTAGCAATTGAAAATAGAAGTATACTTAAAGGTTAAAACGCGATATCTAGTATATCAAATATATTTTTGAAACTTGGCATATTTGTAGAGTAGCCAAAAATAAAAGACCCATATTTATTATCGGTAATGGCTCAAGTTTAAAGGGTGAAGCCGCCCCTCAAAGTTTCATCCCCTTTATGCTATCTCGATAATTATTGCAGATAAAAAAAACTTTTTAAACAAAAATTGTACAGTTTTTTATGAAAAATAAAATAGGCTTGATTAAAATAAAAAATATTTTTAACAGTTAACAAAATAACCTTGTCAAACTTAATTGTCAATTTATTAAATTCATTATATAGAGAAAAAAGTTAGCATTTTTCATTCTGAATTCATATATATACACTGCTCAAAAGAATTATGGCATAGATAATTTATTGCCTAAAATTGGCCAACTTTGACTGCGATTACTTTGCGAAAAATTATCGTAGACTAATGATTTTTTTTTTCAAAATGAAGCTTGAAGCTCTACTTTACGAATGTATCCATTTTTTGCATGCGTTGCACCCCTGCCCCTGTAACCACTGACATCTGAGGTTATATTTAGTATACTGAAAATTGCAATGTTTGACAGAATGCACGGACGTGGACAATTTTTTTTCGGGGTCGCCGTTTGCATCGTCATAAAGTTCAAATCTTCCCCTTCAATTTGAAAAAAAAATGGAGTCGCTACAATTTTTTTCGCAAAGTTACAGCCCTTCAAAAATATCGTTGTTTTCGGCCTTCGAGCCAAGTGTGCACGCATGTGTGTGTGTGTCCGTGACAGAAGAGATAAGGACCCCGTGGTTCGTCACTTCCATAGTAATTCTTGACTGGTGGCGTGGTATACGTGCGTGTATACATCATACGTGTCGGGTATGCATATGTGTTTATATATATATCTCTCTCTCACACAACACGGGACACACACACACACACGCACTCACACAACATACAACACACGCGCACACACACACACACACACACACACACACATATGCATGCGTATCTATACATACTTACCAATAAATTCTTTCCCAAAATGGATACGATCACAACCCAATTCTACTATCACTTCTAATTCGCCTATTTTAAGGCCTTTGTTAGTAATAGTTATACGCTGATTATTACTTAAGTTTGTGGTATGCGCAATGTCATTAATATTCACGGAACCACATCCTAACTCAGTTGATGATTTTTTATTACAATGTTGGACAAATATCTTAAACTTTAGAGGAAAATTTCTCTGTATAATATATCTTGATATACCATAGACACCTTCATAGTTGAAATGAATCACTGAAAAATATATCACATATTTTAGTTTATATAGAATATCATATATCATATTTTTTATAGAATATTTATATAGTTAGCTGATAACAGGTCACATCACTTTCTTATGATAAATAACATCTCGTATCCAATAATTGAATTTTTTTTTCCTTCTATAATTTTCTCCCCTGTAATTTTCAGGGGATATATTTTCTTATTAGATACAGAATATATTGCAAAACTTATTGAAGGAAAGTGTTACAACCTTTCAATAGCTGACTACATATTATCGCATATTATATGTGAAAAAGTTCTCTCATTATTATCCTGTATTAAAAATATTTTACGTAACAACGTAAATATTTTACCTTGACCCACTTGTTTCTTAGCATATGCCTTCGTGAATTTAACTTCTTTATTAGATTTTATATTCGTTTGTCCTGTAGATCCAAATGTTGTCTCATATTGGACAAAATATGTTAGCGATAACGGTATATCATCTATGGTTAAAAAAAATATAATTAATTTTGAATACTTGCTGCGGATCTCTTGATTGATGATCAGAAGCAACAAAATACACATTCAAAATTTTTAGAAAATATATTAAAATAAAAGAATATGTTTATAAAATAATATTTACAATCGATCAAGTAGATCCATGAAATAGCCTAAATATTTCTCTTTTGCTTCTACAATAAATAAACAGTCATAAAATCAAAGTGACAAAATCATGTAAAATAATAGGTTAAAAAGATGAGTTGCATGTTATGTTAATTTTATTTATTAGATCTATTATTAGGGCAAAAAGAAAATATTTGAATTTTTTTATTGATTTACTCGATTAATTACATATATCATTAATATATCTTTTTATTTCAATATCTTTTTTATTTCAAAGATAGTGCATATTTGTTAGTTTAAAGATAATACTAGATATTACTAGGTGTTCTGAAAATCGTAATACAACAAAAAAGGAAGTCATTTTTCATGCAAAAATAAATCAGAAATACAGAATGAAATTTCTTCATATGAAATTTTGTTTCTGAGAAAATTAGATTTGAAAATATGCTAAATATACATGATCTTGAATAACAATATCATCAATTGAATACCGATTTTTCTATTCATTATAAATAATATAATTTTATAAATATTGTAAACATTATAGTTTTATAATTTAATATAATAAGAAATAATAAATTTTGAGAAATTACTTTATTAATTCAAAAATTGCGAAAAATATTGCCTTTGTTATATACAAACGTTTGCTTGCAAGATCAGAGATTTATAAACTAATGTAATATATTCTAAACTTTCAGTTTTGCGAATGTTTGTGTGATATTATTCCTTAATTGAAGTTGATTTAGATCTTTTCAACTATAAACTATTTCTTTAATATAATTTCATAAACAAAACCAAGTAATATCTGGTGAACATGGCGATTAAATTATTGTTTCACTGTGACTAATCCAATATTTACATCATTCATTTAATAAATTTTTAACTTCTTGATTGAAATATGGTGGAGCATTATCGTGCCGAAAGCTTAATCATTGTTTGATATGCAATATCAATATTTTCTAACAACTGGAATAAAACTTTGCATAAAAAAAATGCAATTGAAATCCTCGTTGGATTATTTGAAAAGAAATGTAACTCAATAATTTAATTGTCGATTATCCTAGTACATACATTAATATTCCGTTTTTCTTGAAAATAGGATTCATAAATAATATAAGAATTTTAAAGTGTTTACCAATATAAATATTCAAAAGTTCATTCGTTATAGATTTTGATCTATCAGACTATAAAATACATAACATAAAGGACCCTGCACAATTCCTTATGTAAATTGGATTTCGGTGGAATTGGCTGAATATTTTATATGTTGTAGATCTTGTCGCTCTGATAAAAAGTTTCCATAGGCATAACCCCCGATAATTGACCATTTGACTTCTACGAGGCGTCAAATATCAAGTGTCTAATATTACAATTTCTTATTTCCAACGAGTAAGATGTATTCCTACTATGATTTACATCAAAAAACTTTTTTTCTGTGTATATTTAAAAATAAAAAGTTATAAAAGTGACGTTGACTTGAAGATGATGACTTGATTTCAGAGATTTTAATGATACTTTTATTTTCTATGTGAACGTGTTTCAATGTATAATACATTAACAACCAAGTGTACCATTCCATTATGTTTCACTTTCTGTTGAGAACATAAAGTACAACTTTTTTAATTAAACTATATTTTAAAGCGTAACAAATCAGAATATTTTTGGTTCATTAAAAATTCTCTTTTTAATCACATGTAATGTCCAGCGAATAATTCCACTGCTATTCGTTTGAATGCAATACTTAACAGATTAGAAAAATCCACATTACCCCGCTATTACACAATACCCGCACTTCCTCTACATTGAATATTTAATATTGACTAAAATGGCAAATAGAAATCAAATGCCTTGTTTTGTTTGTAATCAAACTTCTCGTCCTAATTAGTTAGCTCGATTAAATGGTGACGATAATGCGATAAAACGAGAAATAGCTATGAGAAGGTGCGAAAAAGCTGATAGGTAAGTTGATTTGATGGATGATGCACGCTTGTGTCTTAATTATAAATGAACCGAAAATATTCTGAATTGTTACGCTTTAAAATATAGTTAAATTAAAAAAGTCTTTGTGTTCTCAACAGAAAGTAAAACATAATCGAATGGTACACTTAGTCAATGTATTATACATTGAAACACATGTTTCACATAGAAAATGAAAGTATCACTGAAATCTCTGAAATCAAGTCTTCATCTTCAAGTCAATGTCACCTTTATAGCTCTTTATTTTTAAATATACACAGAAAAAAGATTTTAGATGTAAATCAAAGTAGGAATATATCTTACTCGTTGAAAATAAGAAATTGTGATATTAAACTTTTGATATTTGACGCCTCATAGAAATCAAATGGTCAATTATTGGGGTTTGTACCTATGGGAACTTTTTATCAGAGAGACAAGATCTACAACATATCAAATATTCAGCCAATTTCACCAAAATCCAATTTACATAAGGAATTGTGCAGGGTCCTTTATCATCAATTATCATATTTTTTTTACACTAAATATTTAATGGCAGAAAGCCATTCACATAATACAATCACATTCAGAAGTCCATGAATTTGAATGATATATGAATAAATTTTATTGTCATATAATATATAGTTAACGGTTTTCTTACTAACATTATAATGAGAACTAAGTTACCGTACATTAATTTGGGGATTATTTATGTCCTAAAAAATTCCTCCTTCAAAACTATTGTGCATATATATAGATTACAATCATGATTAAAATAAAGTATAAAGAACTGTATTCAACTAGCGTTTATTCTGTTCTTTGTATTACTTGTTTATCTGAGTCACTTATAATTGAAAGTCGTTTTCTGTAATACTCAGCTGCAGCACAAATATTGTCATCATAAGCTCCTAATACAAGAAACATACTTGTGTATTTGTTTACTGTATCATTTTAACATGTCTACCATTTAACAAATTCCATTTGATAGGAAGATTACATTGTTTATTTTTATAAATACTAATAAATTACTATGTAATAAATTGTTAGTACAATAGAAATAATATCAGACAAATAATGTTTACAAACACAGATGGAAGAAAAAAAGTGATGTAACTATCAATCAAGTGATACTGGTAATTAAGTCCATGAAAAAGAAATTTCAAGTTCAATTTTCTCGAAAATAAAATCTCATAAAAATGTTTTATTATATTATAATACATATTTTGACTTACTTTTACACAAGGAATCACCCCCTTTTTATTTGTACTACATATTTCAGGACACCCTATATATGATTTATAGTAAAGATAAATATATTTGTTTGTTAATTTAAAAATATTACATGATTTATTTAAGCCTAACATGTTTAGATATGTATATTATGAAATTAACATCTAATATTAAAGTCTAATTATAAATTTAAGATGTTTCTTAATCTCATCATAAATCTTGTTAAAGGATATGCATGCGTGCACGTGTATGTGTGTGTTTTCTTATATAAAATAGTAGAGATTCTTAAATTTACATACATTGCAAACATGTAGATTTTGCACGTCTGTAACCTGCAGAACTTAATATAAAGGATTTAATAAAAATCCTTATACTATCTACATGATTTAGAGGATGTATTCCTAAAATGCAACAAGTGATTTATTAGTAAATTATCAAGAATTTAACTTAACTTATTTTATTTTGTAAACCTTTTGACTCAATATAAATTGTATCCTTATCTAATGCATCTTCTATAGAAATGCTTGATTTTATAGGACCTTTGTTTGTTCTAGTATCCATATCATCATATTTACAAGCTATGATTGTTTTAGATGCTAAATCTATCAAGCTTGGAGTTGGAGATGTTGATCTCAATGTATCTAAAGCCCTTTTTTCCTCTATAGAAGTCATTTTATTCCCCAAGATATATTCATAAAGTTTTGCTTCATTTTCTGCTGGAGTATATGAATATGATTCATTGTTCACTGAACTATCACTCAAAGTTAAAGGATCCTCATTATATGTCTCTTTTAATATTGCTCCTCTAAGTCGCTGTGCTCTTGCAACAATCTGGGTGACTAACTTATCTGTTACCATTTCATTGAGTTTCTTCTTAGAATCATGAAATTCTGATCTCTTAAGTATAGATTTATATGTATCAAATGTATTGACCTTCACAGGTTTCACAAGATTTTTTTTAACGTTTATATTCTTATAAGATGGTAATGATATTTCTCTGTTATATTGTAAATTATCAACAGTAGATAATAAATAATTGCTATTTATTTCATTTTTATTAGGTTCATACGTTTTTAATTGCATATTTGGAAGCTTTGCTAAATATAATAATTGTAAAGAAACATGTATCTTCCCTACTTTATCGCCACTGTCACTTAATATTGGAATATACTGAGAATATGATTTATATATAAATATCTTAAATAATTCTCCTATATGTGCTGTTCCAATAACTTTATGGGTTTCTTCTATGATAACCACCAACTCTACTGTTTCACAATTCTTAATATAATCCTTAAAAAGTGCCGCATTAGTTTTTATAGCATATATCTTGGTTGTATCCTTATTTGCCCTTGTTACATTTGTAGTGTTATCTATTGGTCTGGGAAAGAGAGTATGAAAGTTATGTTTTATAATCATATATTATATAACACCAATAGTTATAATATCGAGAAATATCTGATTGATTTTATGTTCTCCATGTAAATATAATTTATACAGTATAACAATATCTATATGAATGCTACTAAATCGATTTTAAGCTGCTGTGTAAACATAATTCTTATTTTGCGTAAAATCGTACAATTACTTAAATCTTAAATGCTACATATATTTGTATGTGATTAGTACAAAATTTGTTTAAAAATGTTCTTATCTGTGTCATGTAATCTGTCCTGTTATCGGAAAACAAAATTTCAACAAAAATCATAAAAATAAATTACCTGAATTGTGCACTATTATGCTCGCCCCACCAAGAAGCTACCACTGTGACAGCTCCAGGACTTCTTTTGATCCAAAATACTTCGTCAATGAGAAACTTCAAACTTCCATGAACTTTGCCTTCAACCAACGGCGGTAGAGACTTACAAAACTTTATCTCCGTATCCATTTGTTGTCCATCAGACGATGTATAACTGGCGTTTCACGAACCTATCATTAAGCTAGCTATCATTAAGCTAGGTTAAAGAGCACTCTGAGCTATACGAATAGAATGTCTCCCTTTCTCTTTCGCTCTCTCTCTCGCTCTCACTTTCTCTTACTCTCTCTCTCTTTCTCTCTCTCTCTCTCTTTCTCTCTTTCTTTCACTCTTCCTAAGGTCTATTCTTTTCCTCTGCACCGTTGCACTAGTGCAATAAGTCGAGTGAGACTATTGGTTTGTTCTTTTCTGCTGCACTGCAGAACTAGTGCAATAAGTTAGAATGAGATAACTATATTTTTTCTCACTTTAACTTATTGCACCAGTTCAGTAGTGCAGCTAAAAAGAACAGATCCTATGGGTCTGTTCTTTATAGCTGCACTGCTGAACTGGTGCAATAAGTTAAACTGAGACAACTATATTTTTTCTCACTCTAATTTATTGCACTAGTTCAGTAGTGCAGATATAAAGAACAGATCCAAGTATATATTTGTCTCACTTTAACTTATTGCACCAGTGCAGCGGTGCAGAAGAAAAGAACAGACCAAATGGCTGTGTTCCAAAATTCACTGCCAGTACTGAAAATACATAGTTTGTGTCACGTATATTATAAATTTTCAATGCTGGCATCCGTGTCACACGAATAGACTGAGTCGGCTATGGTGTGTGCGTGGTGGGGGAGATCAGTAAAGAACCGTGGACACTGGTGTCATGAAGCCTGTTCGTTTTATCTACATTGCTGATTGCATTAAGTTAAAGTGAGACAAACGTAGGTTTTCTCACTTCAACTTGTTGCACCAGTTCAGCAGTGCAGACAAAACGAACAGGCCTATTAGTTCATGTGCACGGTTGTATGTACAGAGAACGCTTCGCCCTTGGCTCGGCTAGAGTCCCTATAGTAAGAGTCTGGCCAATGTTCTAGTTGGATACAACTACACCTGTACTGCACCTACTGTAATCTCGGTTTTTACGCGTGCGCATGCAAGTAATAACATAACATCATTTCATCTTGGAAAAAACTTCCAACACAATAAGAGGACTATATATAAAAATATTTATAAAAATATTTTAAAAATGACTAGTTGTTGCGTACCGGGATGCAGAAATAGAAGCGAAAATGGCTTCTATATGAAACATTTTCCAATAAGTAAAAAACAAAAAATTATATGGTTGAAACAAATTGGAAGAGAAAACTGGAAACCGAAACAATATTCAGCAATTTGTGAGGTAAGCATGTAATTATATCAAATAATAAACAAAACATGTTTCTCATCTAATTGTATTTGTAGGTTCATTTTACCAAAGAAATGTGGGAAAAACCGCGACAGGATGGTTCCAAAAAATTAAAAGCACAAGCAGTGCCAACAAGTTTTCCTCATACAAAAGTAATGTCGGAATCTTTCGATGGAAAAATAAAGAAGTTAAAATATAATAAAAATAACGATGAAAATAATTAAATTATTATTAATAAATATTATTATTAAAATGTTATCGCGTAAAAATATTATTTTTTGTTAACAATACGACGTTTAATTATTTCTTAGAAATGAATTATGTAATTGTACATTATTTGCCTTATATTAAGCAAAGCAATTATAACATTGTTAATTTCCTTATTGAAAAAATGAAAGATATTGAATGTACTGCATTAAAAACATGTCACAATTTATTCCACAAAATTAAAATTCATTTCATTAATTTTAAAATAAGAAAAAGTCACACTGGAAAATTAGAAAAACCTGTTTTTAATAGTAAAACCATGGCTATGCATTCCGTTATTAGATAAAATTTAATAATCATGTTATTACATATGTAATGTTTTTTTAACTTTATGTAATATCAAAATTTAATAATAAAAAAATTGCAAAAATATATTTTAATTTTCCTTTTCCTGTTACTGCTATTCAAATATCCCGCATACTTTGCTATCACTAATTGGTGGCGCCATTTCGTATCCAGCCAATCAAAAATTGGACCACATTGGCCAGACTCTTACTATAAGGACTCTAGGCTCGGCTAGAGACCCTCTAATAGAGAGTCTAGACCTCCACCACCACCAATAGATACCAGGGGTTCGGTGTAATTGGTTCACGAACCGGTGGCCTGAAAATGGCGGCACCAATAGGAAACCTTACTTACTTAGCGCGAACGGGTAGATAATTTGAATATCAGGTAAGGTTAATATTACATTTGTCGTACAACAATCTTTTCGAATACGTTGATTGGTTAACAAATAGAATATTTCTAGGATTGCTTCGCGTACGCCAATCAATGGCTGCATTCAGCAGACTCAACAGTTGGACAACATTACTATATTTTCCACTGAATTTCGCTCCTGATTGGTAAATACTTCTGGGTCTATGAAGAATCTAAAAGAATGCTCCAATCACAGACAATAATCATTAAGCGCTCTCTGATCACTTTGTTCTACTGAACGCGGCCAATGGCTGTATTCAGCAGACTCACAGTTGGACAACATTACTAGATTTTCCACTGAATCTCGCTCCTGATTGGTAAATACTTCTGGGTCTATGAAGAATCTAAAAGAATGCTCCAATCACAGACAATAATCACTAAGCGCTCTCTGATCACTTTGTTCTACTGAACGCGGCCATTGATTAGAACCTCTGTTCTATACTCATGAAAGTCATTTGAGTTTGTCTGTCTAAATGTAAACTACAGTTAATGAAATGTACATCTCTCTTTTATGTATATGTTATGTACACTCGTGAACTAAAAGGTATGTGCACCGATTTTTTGTTGACTTCGGAACGCGCTCCAACTTGAGGAGAAAGACAACCACTGCTTCATACGTTAGCACTGTCACTTATTACAATTCAATTCAATTCAATAAATGGCTCTGGGCAAAATAGAGTACTGTTCCAACGCCACTCTCACGGTGTAGATAGATTAAATTCTGTAAGGCTATTTTCCAGTAGTATGAAGGTAAAAGAAAAACAGGGACAGCGCGTACGCAGTTCCCACGATCAAAAAATATGCGTAGTTACAGGTACCACATCCAACCGCCAACGGAGGCGAACAAAAGACTTTGTCACTTATTACGAGAGCAGAAGGATGGCATATACGAGTCAAATAAGTAGTGATTGTGGCGTAGATACAAATGTCTTGGAGACTTTGAGTTATAATTGAAGAAATGAAGAAAACAAATAGTGATTGTGAAGAAAAGTGACAAAAGGCTTCATACAATTTGTAAAACAGTATATTAAAGGAGAGTATTAATTATCTAATAATATTTTAAGTGAAAAATATTTTTAAATTTGAGTGTAAGTTAAAAAAGTTATAAACCATAATTTCTTTAATGTTAATAATTTTATAGCTATAAATTTGCCATCGACGTTAAATGAATATGTATGTAATGCTATCATTTACATAGGTGGAAAATTATGTTTTTGCACTCATAAAAAATAAGCAGCAGACCAAGTCGAGTGATATTTTTTTAACAAAATACTCATATCACTCAACTTAGTCTGCTGCTTACTTCTGCTGAACACAATAATATAATTCCTCATCTATGGAAATAATAGCATTATATATATATTCATTCAACGTCGATGACAAATTTATTAACATTAAAGAAATTATGGTTTATAACTTTTTTAACTTACACTCAAGTTTAAAAATATTTTTCACTTAAAATATTATTAGATAATTAATACTCTCCTTTAATATGCTGTTTTACAAATTTTATGAAGCCTTTTGCCACTTTTCTTCACAATCACTATTTGTTTTCTTCATTTCTTCAATTATAACTCAGTCTCCAAGACATTTATGTCTATGCCACAATCACTACTTATTTGACACTCGTATATGCCATCCTTCTGCTCCCGTAATAAAGCTAAGACTCCATGCATGCGGTGAACTGCGGCAAACGGTTGCGGTGACCAATCAGGAGGGAGGCGCAAGTCCGGTTGCGGCAAGCTCCGGCATGCGTCTGTCTCCTGATTGGTCACCGCAACCGTTTGCCGCAGCTCACCGCATGCATGGAGTCTTAGCTTTAGTGACAACGCTGACGTATGAAGCAGTGATTGTCTTTCTCCTCAAGTTGGAGCGCGTTCCGAAGTCAACAAAAAATCGGTGCACATACCTTTTAGTTCACGAGTGTACGTCTTACATTTTCACTTTCTCAATTTCTATAATTTTCTCGCAAACATAAATATTCTTACCAAGTAGCAACGTAATATAATATAGTTTTATACAATTATATATAATTTTATAAAAAGTATTTAACTGTTTCATTACTGTTATATTATACACTTATATATAAATGAATAATGTTATGTAACAGTAATTTTAAATGAAAATAACAGTTGTATTACTCATTGTATGCCAATCATGTTGTTATATTATTGCTAGTTATTCTAACAATATAAATATTTAGGGGATGTCCTGAGAACATTTTAACATTCTAGAAATATCCTTGGGGCATTCCTAGGTCATGTGCTCTCGGTAATTAACAAACTATTATAACAGATATATCATACAATTATATTACATTTATGAAATTAAGTTATATTTATATAAATTGCAATGTCCATTATAACATTAGTTATACGTTACTTCTTTATTATACATATAGCAGTTGTATTCTGTTAGGATTAGATCGTTCTTATTTGAATAGTATTTTCAAGGAATGAAAAAACTTATCATTATATTGAGCGTAATAAGTATACACTAATTAGCAGGATTGAATTAGATCTTTATTTGGAAGATACACTGGTAGTTTTTTTTTTATAGGATAGTTTAACGTAATCGCGCGTATAGGAAGGAGAAGGGAGTGAAACATAAATGTACAAACAAAATACTATTAAATGGTATTCTTCATTGCATGTTTAGCGATGTGGAGCATGACTTATTCGGCAGTGCGCTGTGAAAAGCGCGTATATTCTTTTTTTCTTTCTTCCTCAATCTTTAAATCAATCTCTCTTAATAATTATATACCGAACTCGACTTACACTCTAAGCCCCGCGCACCTGTCGCTTCCTCTGGTTTAAAAATAATCATTCATTTACTCTTATTCTTCCTTTGTTTCGTAATACAAAAAAAATCAGGTAATATATGTTATATCGTTAAAGGACATTGCACCGCGATCTCTTTCGTTTGGCTAATTGCCTAGGCGACGACCGTGAAGAATTTTTGGAATCACACAGAAAAAACAGAAGCGAGAGCGACGCGGTTTATACATAGTGTCATGACATATATCATACTATGTGAAAAATGCCTTTTAGATTTTACATATCCGTGAATCACTTATAACTTGAACTACTTAAATCTCTCCATAAAATTTTTTAATCTTTGTTAATTATCTATCTCGTTAAGTCTCTCAAATTCATACACTAATCAAAGTGATCATGTAACTTTTTTCTAGTAGTGGAAATATTAAAAGTTTTACATATTTTTTGTAGTTTAGAAAGTTATGTGACGATTAAAGTCAAGTTGTACGAACTTCTCACATTTCTGCTCCTAAAGAAAAGTTACATAATCGCTTTCCAGCAGATCGGGGCATGAAGTCAAGAAGATATAATATTTAGCAGTAGAAGGCATTGCTCGCTGTATCCTCTTTTTTCTGGTATCTTAGAAAATTCTCTCTGGAACGATTGCGCCGCAAGACGAAGAGATGGTCGTGCAGATCGCCTATATACTTATAATCATCTTAATGTTACTCTTTAAATACGTTTTTGTCTCTGCGTGAAATATTTGTTAGGTAAGTTCTTGTTTTTTTTTGTTTTTTTATAATAAAATTATTATATATTTTTTCTAATCTTTACAGATTAGCTGTTGTTGCCCTGTGAAACCTGCCTTCTGTCACAACACAATAATACTTGCATGGTAGGTTCACATTTCTGAATTTGGTACAGCTTCCTTTATATCACAATGTTCCTTCTGTTATCTTCGTATCAACTTTAATCTCTGTGATTGCAAATACCAAATTCAAATGCAAAGTTTCGTTCAATGTCATATTTAAGAAATATCCTAAGCCGTAAGCTCCAGTAAATACTAGTACACGCGTTTGAGGGGTTCCGTCGAATTTTCTTTTTATCATATGACATCGCAACATGTGACGTATGTATTGCATTAAATGCAAAACTGTCTCATTTTATAACTAATCAACTTTTTTCCCATGAAATTACAAGGCTCCTGAATGCTCGCCATATTAGATAATAACGTCAGAAGTGAGAAATGATCGCTGAAAATTCTTGTATATCATTCCCAAATAAAAAGATATCCATATGAAAAAATACTTTAGATCATTATTTGTAAAAGAAAGCATACTTGTAAAATATTTCAAATGTTGTGTTTCCCCTTTGACATCAATCAACAATTATATGACTGATAAAACTTAGTCATGCACATGCATTATCATTTTGTATGATCAACTTTATATATTAGTCATTTTATAGCTATTGATTTTCACAAAAGAAACATAGTATTCGAGCATTATACAAGTATGTTCTAGCGACCTCAATTATTGTTTCATACAAATATCTTTTTCTCTAGAAATAATACGTAAGAATTTTGTATGTAGGTTTTCTCACTTTTAAAGTTATCAATCAAGTTCCGCAACGAGGGACTAGGAACCTTAATGCAACGTGTGAGTATAATAGATAAAAAATATGTTATACAGATTTTTCTGTATATTACAAAAACTACATCTCACTTAAAGATTGTTTGTTTAATATCAAAATTATTATGTATAATACTCATGCACGCGATACTGCATGGTATCTAAACTTTGAGTCTTATTTTTTGTTGCAAATGCATTATTTCGACTTAAGCTTTTTCATAAATAAGACAGTTGAATCATGGTTGTAAATCATAATAACATTCCACTGTGCATTTATATGCTGTTGCGTTCTTTTTATTTTCTTTTTTTTATTGTTGCGTATGGGGCTTGCCACGTGGAGCGTATCCACCTCGATTACCCCCCCTTTGACCGCGAAATTGTCCGCGACCCCTGTCCATGCCGCGTTCGCTTCGTGAACCTCCCCTAGGTCCATTACCACCACGCTTGAAGCCACTATTGTATCCATTATTTCCGTCGTTGTTTACCCAGGAGCGTTGTTGATATCCGTTTTGATAATTACTATCGTTGCGATAATATGTGCCTGGTGAAACAAAGAAAAAAAAATAATAATATAGCAATGGTAGCAAAAACGTTAAATTTCGTTAGTAAAAAAATATTAATACAAGTTAAATGTGGTATACAAATTGATCTACTTTATTAATATAAATTATCGAAATGATGTTTCGACTTTTTGTTATAATCGTTATTATCATGTTTTAATAATGTTGTTTATACTCAATTTAGAATTTATCTTTTTACATCTAATTCGTTCACTTTTCAGTCAGTCAGTCGGTGTAGAGTTATTTATTAGCAATACGTCTCTTACCATATAAATTTTATGTTGATGGTTTTATTCGTAAGTGTTAAAATAATTCTCCTAGTATTATTTATTTGAGACATTAAATCTCACAATGTGCTTTTCTTTTTATCTATATTATAAATAATTATTTCTTTATTACTTTGTTCTATTTCTTTGCGAGCACTAAGCATTCTTTGTATTTTAACAACTTTTACTAGCATATCGTTACTAATTCAAAATTTATATATATATAATATTAATATTATTATAAAACTCTTATAAAATATTTACATGTATATATTGATAAATAGCTCAATCGTTGATCTTAATCAACAGTCATTAATGCTCACTTATGGCTGTATGTTTGAATTTACTCAACAGTTATCGCTTACATATGACCACACGTTAATTTTAATCAGTAGATGAAACATGCATTTTCCAATTTTATTATTCAATTCAATTATTAACCTTCATGTTATTATAGTTATTTTATTAGAAAATATTGTACACACGAAAATGTTTCGTACAGCTGCATGAATAAGTACTTTCATATTTATCACTCGACTATGGCAATGTTATATGAGGAGAGTACCTGCTCGAAATGGTTAAATTCTGTACATACATATTTTATATATTGACATATAAAAAAAATTTGAGGTAAAAACTGATATTATTTATTAAGGCTCTTATTTCCACTGTAACTATCTTGAATGATAACGTTGGAAGCAAAGAAATCCATATGTTAAATATTCTTACTCCGTCCATTAAAAAGATATATGCATGAAATGACATTTACAATTGACTAAACACGTTTTTAGAATGTTTTAAAAACTTTTTTTTTCGAAGCAATATATGCAATTAATGAATAGGCGAAAAACCAACATAACAAAATCATAAAAAAAAGGTAGATAAGAAATTGTATATCATATAAATTTTGTCTACTTTTTGATTATTAGAGCAAAAAGTTTTTGGAGCATTTTAAAAATATATTCAATCGGTTACATAAGTGTCATTTTCTGAATATATCTTTTTATTTTAATATAATCTATAGAAATTTTTAGTATGGATTTTCTAACTTCTGATATCATTAACCAAAGGTTCTGTAGTAAGGGACCAGAAACTTCAAGATTACACTCAAATCTATTTTATTACATTCTTACCTTGTCCTCCACGACCATTTTGCTGATAATTTCCCCTGCCTCTGCCATTATAGCCATTTGAGGTTCCTCTTCTGCCCCCTCTTCCTCTATATCCGCCACGTTGCTCAGCCCAAGTTTGTTGAGTTGTTTGCTGCTGTGGCGTTTGCTGGGGATCTTGAATAGACGGCTGTTGCTGATCAGGTTGACTCCAATCATTAGTTTCAGTCATCTGACACCAATCGACTGATTCAGTTTGCTGTTCCAACTCTGATTCCATAGCAACATTAGTCTCACTCGAACCATTTTCAGTTTTCTCCTGAAAAAAATATTCATAAATCGATGATGGAAAGATGATTATAAATTTACATCAACATTGAGTTAAAATGTTAAAAGTATTAAATTTACCTCCGTGGATACTTGAGGTTCTTGCTGTTGATGAGGCGTCTGTTCAAAATTTTGCGTCTGTCCTGGCTGGGACAACTGCTGCCCTCCATTTTGCTGCTGTGACTGTTGCGGCTGGAAACCAGTTGGATGCTGCGGACTATATTGCATGTTTGCTTGCTGATGAGAAGGTGGCATCGGGATTGGTGGTGGTGGATTAGGATTTGCAAATCCGGGAATGTGTGACATATCTTGCGGTGGTTGGTGCTGGTATATAACTTGCTGGGGTACGCCAACGGGCGCATTTGCAAAATTCTGATTCGTGAAGGTCTGCGATGGAATCGGCGCATTAACCGCAGGAGGAATGTGTGACACAATAGGTGTCTGTGACGTGACGTCCGGCGAATCGAGCTCAGACTCCTGCAAGAAGAAGAAATTAGGTGTCCCTATGACATCGTTGATTCTAGAAGCCGGCGGTGGTTGCTGTTGAGATTGCTGATTCTGTTGTTGTGGCTGCTGTTGTGGGACAAAGCTGGTAGCGGTCGTGTAGTAAGGAGTATCAACTGTGGCAGCTGGATGCGGTGGTATAGGTTGCGCTACGACCGGAATAGGTCCTGAAACTGACGCGGTACCAGAAACAACAGGAAGTGGGGCAACTTGAACAGGAAAATTTGGAATGGGTATCATAGATTCTGGTGGAATGTGCCTGTCGTTATTATTGTATTCTTCGTTGACTTGTTCCTGTGCCATTGGTCCATCAGTAACTTGTGTTTCAGTTAATGTTTCAGTAACCTGGATAAACATAAGTTGATCAGACATATATGACATAAATTATCCAATTTAAATAATATGTGCACATATTTAGGAACATACCTCTTCTACAGGTATTGCCTCAGATTCGTGGGCCTGATCAAAATAGCCACATTGACTGATGTTTGTGATGATGTCCTTCAACTTGTTATATGTAGTGCCAACTATTTCACGTTGTTTTCCCTCAACAAGTGCAACATAATGTTCTGCAACTTTTTGGGCTTGTTGAAAAAAGGTTGGTTCTCCCTCTTCACATTGATGTTTCATTGTTAGTTCATTATAAAAGCTGTCTAGGCACTTTAATTCCTCTTCCGACAGCTTTATAGCACCATTCTTGCCATTAACAAAATCATCTCTAGCAGAATCAGTACCCATATTTATCAAGGTATCCTGAATAACAAGCACCTCTCGCACCTACAAACAATATCACTTTTACAAATGTCTTGATATTTCTTCGAAAAATAATGTTTTATATAATTATGTAAAATTATATTTTAGAAAACATCTACTTTTGCAATATCTTGTTGCATCCGCTCAAGGGCCTCCTTCCGCGCCAACTTCTTTTGCTGTTTGACTGCATCATTGGCGATACCAACAATTTGCTTATACATTTCCCGGGTAATGTCCAAGGTCTGTAGCACTTCGTCATATTTAGCAACTGCTGTTTTCTGGTCAGAGTTTAACTCCCTCCCGTTCTTCTGCAGATCCCTGTATGACTCTAGTTTACCCTAAATTCGCAAAAATTATGTTAAGATTAGAATAGTTTGACTGGAGTTTTACAATAGGTGATTTTACGTATTCCGTACACTTGCATAGTCTTATAACTCATAACTCATAAGGCTGATATCGTATATTTAAGACAATTGCAAGCTACTTTGCAGGAATAGAATATACAATGCATGCCGTAATATAAACTCCAATTACTCAAACGCGAAATGTAATTTTGTTTCCAATTTGAAAAACAATTTCATGAACATAAAGTAGTGTGAAGATTCGGTGGTCGTCGGTGAGCGTTTGCCACGATCAGATCAGAAACGAACAGTATGAAACGCCGAACGTAAATCGCAATAATTTTATGACGCATTGTGAGGGGAATTGACTATGAGAGGATTATCCGTGGTAAATGAAATGATGAGTGGTTGCATCAACAATGTTCATTTGATCGGCAATTGTAATGCGCGTTGTATATAAGAGAAGTTTCATGTACGTAGATGATACACCGCCATGATACAAGGTTGGTGATGATAAATTGGCGCGTTTAACGTCGTTAGGATGCCGAATAACGTACGTCGTAGGATATGGCGTCGCCGCATTGTGCCGTATCCACGTGCATAAGCAACGTGTACACCAACCGAACAATCTCGAAGTATCGCCAACATCTCGAGGCGATATTCCGAAACGTGAGCACATGGCGCATCATAGATCATGGCGGATTGCACGGTGTGAAGAGAATCTGTCTGTGAGTGACAGATAAAATTTTCACTTATAATTATGGCTCGCGCCATAGCTTTAATAATCTCACCTTACGCTTCTCGAGATTGCGTATCTTGTGCTCGATTACGACGATCGCTTGGCGTATGGGTTCCGCGGTCTCCGTAGAGGCCTGTTTCTCTAGTTTAGGATTGGCAGAAGGCATCCTTCACGGGCAACAAACGCAAACTAAAGTGGCTCCTCAGAACAGTACCCGAGTCACGAGCGGTTGATGAGAGATGTAGTAGGGAGGCAGTGATATGTCTCCGAACATTACCGAGCATTGCCGAACATCGACGCTTCGTCTATGCTAAACCAGAAGTCTATGAGCGCGCGCGTACAGCCTGTGAAAGTAGACGCTTGTTCTGATACGCCCTCTAAAGAAATAGTCATAACTACGTCAATAATGGTACGAGTTTTATTATCCGTGATAGTTCGGTTCGTAAACTATTGAGATGAAATTAATTAAAATGAGAGATTTTGTGGCCGTTGTGTGTGTATATGTATGTATATATGTATGTGTTATATATGAGTGGCTATGTTTACACGGCAGAATTAATTCGGGGTTTTATGAGAAAAGATTTAGGACACAATAAAGCCAGCGGCACACGGTGCTTGTTTTCGTGCTGGATTATTTGCTGGATGAAAATACTACATTCTGATTGGTGCATTTCCGAAAATGGATGGAAATGCACCAACCAGAACGCAGTATTTTCATCCAGCAACCAATCCAGCACAAAAACAAGCACCGTATGTCGTTGGCTTTACACCAGGGCAGCAATCATGAATCTTTCACGTGAGCTTCTTTTTCATTTTTCACTTTTCACTGTAAATAATTTCCCATGAAAAATGAATTGTAAAAAAGTGAAAAGTAATATCTCTGTAATATAGATAATTAACATATAAATGTAATTATACGAGGGTCGTTCAATAAATCCTTAGAAAATCCAAGAGATGGCGCTCGTAGTATCGAAAATGGTTTGTTTTTAATAAGCATCATTACTCACTAGACAGCTGTTAGTCTCAGTTATATACATCACATTGTTTCATTTTTATTGTCGATTGAAGCAACAAACTTTTCTTTATTTAGAAAAATGGAAAAAAAGTGAGTTTCGAGTGGTGATTAAACACTTATATTTAAAAGGCTTAATACCGAAAGAGATTAAAGCTGAGTTAAATGAAGTTCATGGCACATCTGCTCCTGTGTTTGCAACTGTTACAATTGGGTAAATGAGTTTAAACGTGGCCGTACATCCACGAAAGATGAACATTGTTCAGGACGTCCAGTGGAAGTGACTACACCCGAAATGATTGACAAAATCCACGATATGATTTTGAGTGATCGACGAATCAAAGTGCGCGAAATAGTTGAGGCCACAGACATATCGCAAGGTACAGTGTTTTCAATTTTGCACGAAAAATTGGATGTGAAAAAAATCTCGGCAAGATAGGTGCCGCGTTTGCTCTCAGTGGAGAATAAACGCAATCGTATGGTTGACTCTGAGGCTGTTTTGGCGCTTTTCCGTCGCAATCCTGACGAGTTTATGCGTCGATAGATAACTGTGGACGAAACATGGATACACCACTACACTCCAGAGACAAAGCAACAGTCAAAACAGTGGGTTTTTGAAGACGAACGGGCTCCGAAGAAGGCGAAGACGGTGAAATCGGCCGGCAAGGTGATGGCCATAGTTTTTTGGGATGCACGCGGAATCATATATACCGATTACTTGGAAAAAGGACAAACAATAACTGGAGAGTATTATGCGTCGTTATTGCACCGGTTGAGCGAAGAAATCAAGAAAAAATGTCCTCATTTGAAAAAGGAAAAGATCCTCTCCCATCAAAACAATGCACGAGTGCACACCTGCGCAGTTTCGATGGCCAAAATTATGGAATTAAAGTTCGAATTATTACAACATCCACCGTATTCACTGAATTTGGCCTCCAGTGACTTTTTTTATTTCCAAACTTGAAAAAATTGCTCGGCGGACAACGGTTCACGTCGAACGAGGAGGTCATCGCCTAAACAGATGCCTATTTTGAGGACCTTCCGAAATCCTACTTTTTGGACGGCTTAAAAAGGTTGGAGAAACGCTTGGAAAAGTGTATAGAGCTAAAAGGAGATTATGTTGAAAAATAAAAAAAAATCTACCCAAAATAATTTATTTTTCTATCTTTTTCTAAGGACTTATTGAACGACCCTCGTAGCATACAAAATGTAAAGTATAACGTACTAATAATCATTATGCAGTTAAAATTTATAGTTGTAATGTAATATAATATAATGTAAATAAATATAATGACTGATTCAAATGTTAACCGTGAAATGTAAATTCTTAAAACATGAAATATTTCACGTGAACTTTCAATTTACTCATCTATATCCTTCTTTACCTGTAAGTTGTGTACGTTTTCATGAAAATTTTCAATCATCAAACGATGTGGTTAAAACGTAGAAAATGATACTATTCCTGCTAGTGACTTTAATCTTATTTGGTTATGCGATTGGTAGAAAAGAAACAACAAAGGACCATTGGCTGCGTTCAGAAAACAACGGTTACACAACGGTTGAGTAATTCGTCAACGTTATTGGTCTGAATGTAAGGATCTAACAGTAAGGACCAATAGTTACTAAGCGCTCAGCGAGCGCTTTGTTTTCTGAACGCAACCATTGTTAACACGTGAAAGGGGAACTATTAAGCCAGTGGCACACGGTGCTTGTTTTCGTGCTGGATTACTTGTTGGATGAAAATATTGCGTTCTAATTGATACATTTCCGAAGATGGATGAAAATGCACCAATCAGAACGCAGTATTTTCATCCAGTAAGCAATCCAGCACGAAAACAAGCACCGTATGCAGCTGACTTTAGATTTGTAACTGTATAGTGCAGAGCTCGGCAAAGTTTATGGGCCAGAGCACAGACTTCTGCATAACGCATAATATACAACGCATAAGAGAATCAACAAATCAGAATTCTTTACTTCTGTCCTGAGAAGGGAAATGAAAAAAACTAATTGGTTTATTCTTTTATGCATTATGTATTATGTGTTATGCAAAAGCCTTACCCTTGCCCTATAACTTTCGGCCGATTTTCGGGAGCTACGCCTCCTATCTCCCCTTATCGCGCGGTGGATCACGCAACTAACGGTCGCGGCTCGCGATCTCAGGACCGTTGAGATCATAAGGCGCATCTATGACTGCGTTCCGTTTCACGCATTATGCGCGCATTTCCTACAGTATGTAACATGAACTATATATAATTCAATTCAATTCAATAGATGGCTCTGGGTGTGTAAGCCACTGCTCCGACGCCACTCTCTATGAACTATATATAAATGCGCGCATATGCATGAAAAACGGAACGCGGCCTATTGCTGGATTTACACTGCATCCGACGTGCGTCGTCTGTTATCCGACGGTACGAAGCCGTGCGAAATGCTGTTCATACTGCATACGTTAACTAACACGATTTAAAGTCTGTAGGTGGCGTAAATGGTTAATGGTGACTACAGTTCCTCTAAAGCCAACAGCACACAGTGCTTGTTTTCGTGCTGGATTGCTGGCTGGATGAAAATACTGCGTTCTGATTGGTGCATTTCCATCCATCTTCGGAAAAGTACTAATCAGAACGCAGTATTTTCATCCAGCAAGCAATCCAGCACGAAAACAAGCACCGTGTGCCACTGGCTTAATAGTAATATGCGCATAACCTAAAAAGTTAGAATTGATATTTATTTATTCCATAGACATATATAATAGACTGAGCATAGCGGGTTTGGCAGAACGGTGAGAGAGGCAAGATATCGGGGAAGTTTTCTTTCCTTGTCTGCGCAGGTCAAATGTGCAATCATCTAGTGACAGCCAATGGCACAGACTCATGACAGCAAGAAATACGCATAAGCGTAGTTATGTACGGGCAACAAGATATGTGTAATATATATATGTGTAAGATATGTGTAATCATATTTTTCTTCACTATTGTTAACTCTACTTTATCGCCTACTTTCTGATCATAAGAAATGTCTTGTATGAAAAAAGTCTGACATGAAAAAATGTCTTGTATGCTAAAATGTCTTGTGTGCTAAAATGTCTCAAACTAAATAACAAAACTCTATTCTGTCTATCGACAACTCTAATGACATAAACTTTATAATATATTAAGATGAGTAAGGTATACCATCTTTTCCCAATTTTGTCCAGATTGCCCTTCATACCATGCGTTATCGTACGACAAATGTTGAATCATGACCAACATTTCGTCCGACATCGGACGATGACGAACGGTCAAGCGATCCGATGATACGAAGTAAAATCCTACTTTTTGATTGGTTGCGGAGCGTCGTACGACGTACGTCGGATGCAGTGTGAATCCAGCATATGAATATGGCCCTAGGTATACTATGGCTGTGTTCCGATATTTACTGCGAGTACTGAAAATACATAATTTGTGTCACGTATACTATATATTTTCAGTACTGGCAGTGAATATCGGAACGCAGTCTAGTCTATGATGGCACTGAAATTTGTCACTTGTTTCTCAAGAGGGGAGTCTGTACTCTCTGCGGTATAGCCATAACCTAGGTAGCATAACGATCTGATATCAGAAGAAAAAAACGGTTTGAGTAAGATATAGAAGAGTGTCACCGCTTCATTGTTTGTTTGATCATTGCATGAGAATATAATATAAAAAATATTCCATATTTTGTATAACCACGAAAAAATGCATCTTGATTAGAATTAAATAACGTATAAAGAAGAATGGTGGGAGGATTTTCGTGTTTCTTGTATTATGACGTTTGATAGAAAATTTTGTGTTTCGATGTTTAAACGGACTGAAAATATACCAATGGATAATGATTTTGATATGCCCGCAAAACGAGCAAAATTTGATGTTCCTATGACAAATCTCCGATACGGTAGGATACAAGAAAAAGAAATTCCCAAGAACAAAAACATGCAATACGATGATCCATGGGGTGATGATTTCGCCGAGGAAGACATTAAAGAAATGGATTTTGTCGCATCTCAAGCATGCTTACTGGTACTAAACTAAGGAAATATTTGTCTTGAAAAAAGTAAACACAGGATAACTTGATAAATAATAATTTGAATATTTGTTTTCAAAAAGGAAGGTAATGTGTTAGATAATTCAAAGCTTGGAAATAACTTACATCTGATGAAATCAAAGATTTTGGAGAAACCTGCTGCAATTGCAAGTATAACTAATTATAATGATATATCTCAATTAAAACTATCAATACCTGTAGAAAAATCCAATCTTTTACTAAAGAAATCTGTACAAGGTACCAGCCGAGTTAGTCAAGATATAGCAGATATTAATTATTCCCAGTTCAAAAACAAGTTAATAGTTAAGAAGGACCATAACTCAACTTTTCAAAAGGAAAGAAATTTTATTATACCTGGTATATATCATATTTTTAATAGAAATAAGATTATTAAAGAAGGATGTCCTATTCGAAATTTCTTTATATTTGTTTATAGATGATAGAGAATTGGAAAGGTTAAAAAATGAAAATAAAAAATTATTGAATGACTTTATAACCAAAGATGGTGAAACTGTATTTTTACGGCAACAGCTACAACAAATCCAGTTGAGAGCTGAAAATGAAAAGTTACAGAAAATGCATTTAATTGAAGACCAAGCTAACCGTCATAGATCAGAAATCAATAAAATTTGTAAAGAGAAGGAACAATTGAAGACACAGATAGAATTACGAGTAAGTATATTTTTATGTTTAAGTTCTTTTCTTTTTATGTAAATATATATCTTTATTTTATATTATATTTTTTACAATATGCTATAGAAGATGTAACTATTTATATAATATATAGGATTTAGAAATAGGAAATCTTCTGGCACGCTGTAAACAATTGGAATCTGGAAATATTAAAATAAGAGAATTACAATCATTACACACAAATAATTTTTTAAATAAAAGCAAATGTAATACATCAAACAATTGGTAAATTAATGTTTTTTGAATATATAGACTTAATCAGTTCACTGGTGATGATTTATATATAAATGAAGAAAAGAAATGTTACAACTGATAATTATTCATATATGAACATCATAAGTAGTTCCGCCAATTTTTAATGGATTTACATACTCATAGACTTAAATACTCAATTTTGTCAGTTTTTGAAAAATATTAAGATTGATATCTGCATTTCATTTTATGTGAAATCTTTATAGGGGTTTCTCTTTTTCTTTTCTTTTTTTGGGTTGCTAGTGACAGAACAATGGGTAAAAAGTATTGATTTTGACCCATCATGGGGAATGAACAAAACACATCATTTCTATAGGATTTTGACCTGCTGAACATGATGCCGTCGTTAGTTTTTCTCTAAACCCTGGGGAGCATGTTCAAATCTGAGGATTTATCATTCAATGATTGAATAGTCCGGGAAGCCTTTGCGTAAACTTTGAAGCCGTTGCAAACTTGTGTATTAGTTAAATTAGCTGAAGACAGTTTAGATTTTCAATTTAGAAATATTTTTGATTTAATAGTTGAATAGTTTGATTTAATAATTGAAAATATTTTCTTTTTATATAAAATTTACTAACAAATAATATATATGATGCCTGTATCACTTGATTTTTTTGTAAACACAATATTTTAGGGAAAAATGGTTCAGACGAAAGTTATATAGTTTCAAAGGAGACATATAATAATTAAATCACTTTGTTTATAGATTTGTTTATAGATGGTGCCACTTTTGAGATATTCACTGATCATTATTTTTTTTTTAATGGAAATCCGAGTTTTTTTATTATATTCTCTTTTCCTACTAATTAATTTTAACAACTTTTGTCTAAAACATTTTTTTATTTGCTTAACATTTTTTGAGATATTTAAGGAAAACTTGGTAACTTTATCAATATTTAACTTATGATATCTCGCTGTTTGTCAGAAAAAAAATGGTATTGGGTTTTTTACTCTATTTGATCTCAAGAACATATTGTTACAATAGCGTCATAACTTTTGTTAATTTGATGATTTCAAAATTTCCAAAAGTCGATAAGACCAAAATCTGTACTTTTCACCCATTGTTCTTTGGGTTTGAAATTTCCAAATTTGAAATGGCAGATCCAAGTAACTAATTTTGTTATTCTATTATGGAGTAAATCATATTCAATATGTTCATGTTTTTTGTTTGGGTTTCTTTTGTATTAGGTTGTTGATAATAAATTCAATTGAAATTGCAAAATCTACAATAGCGGATTCAATATAGTGTCTTCTAATGACTGATGGTATTCTATTATGGATATTTTTATCTTCATTATTAGTGGATAAAACATGTTGAAAGAAATTATTTCTTTGTCGAACGGCTCTGGTCAAAATTCCAGATTTATAACAGTCGTTAGCTGCAATCGAAAAAGAACACCTAATTTGATATGGTTCATCATGAAATATTAAAGTTAGCCCTTTAAAGTTGTCGTATTAGATCCGCCATTTTGAATTGTGAAATTTTAACTCTAGATTCGTCATTAGCGACTCAGAAAATCCTTATAGATAAGCTTTTATATAAAATATTTGCTCTCACCCACACTTTGGTACAAAATGTTGAATTCAAATCTAACAGTGAACTGGTTAAATTATCTGTAATTATAGTACATAGCATATACATATATAGCATATAGCATATATGATTTATTATATATTACATAGCATATATTAAAATTTATTTGGTAGGCCAACAAACATAGATAAAAATTTAACAGAGGTAAAAGATGTATGTATACAAACTAATATTTATATGAAAACTGATTATCAACTTAAAACATGCAATACTTGTGAGTATATTAAGAAAAGTGAAGTATAATTGTATAAAGAAAATATATTTTATCATCATAATTTAATAATATTTGAAATATTTTATAGATTTCTCTCTTGCAAGGATTTCAGAACTAATGTTTGGAGCATCAGTGCCAGAAAAACCCATTATTAATGTTAAAGTCATAGAAAAAACTGGTAAAAGAAATCTACCTATTTTGCAAGAAGAAGAAAGATTCAGGATTTTTGGTAAGTATGTTTGTAAAATTATTCTACAATAATATGATTGAATTATATATGTTTTACAGAAAATCCTGATTTGGTAAAACCAGTAGTTACTATTGTAGATGGAAAAAAATTGACAACAGAATTTGTTTTACTTGAGTTAGCAGCTATTGAAAGGAAAATTAATGCAGAGATTGAATCAGAAAGCTATACACCTATAATCAATAAGGTACTTAAAATAAATATTTAAACTAATTTAAATATAGTATCTCACAATATGTTTAACTCTCGGAGAACACACCTCTTTTTTCCATCAAGAACACTCTGGGTCAATTTGACCCTGCGTATGTTTTGATTGTCTACCATTTCACATACACGCATCTGATCAGCTTAAGAAAATTCTTAGATACACTTCAAACATCGTAGAATCAATTGATGTAGAAAAAAAATGTTGCTCGAATTATTTACATATTTAAAAAAATTAACAACAAAAAATTGTTTTCTGCAAAATTCAAAATTTAGTAAAAAAAAAATTTCTTTTTCAATTTTCAATATTTTTGGCTGAAAATTTATCTTCATATTCCCAAAATATAGTTGTATTTAAAAGAAAATAGTACTTTAGTGTACCTTTCAAAAAAGGTATTTATTTTGATAGGTGACAAAAGTGGAAATTAAAAATGTTTATCCGGAGCAAACCGATGCTTAGTACATAACAGGATCAGAATGATCCTACACCGACTTCGAATAATGTCCAACGCCTACTGCGTGTTGCACTGTACAAAGGGAACATCTTAACGTATAGTTAGTATCTTAAACTACAGCTAGAGAGGCCTCAGGCCTGCCAATTTTCAAAATGTTTTCAAGATATTTACGATCAAACTCGAGGTAAGGGTCAAATTGACCCTGTGTGTTCTCCGAGGGTGCAATTAATTTGATTTAACCGAGGGTTAAATCAAGTTAATTGCAACAAAAAAAAACTAGGGTTCATGTACGTATTTGTTTTTAAGCTAATTTTAACTATGAGGGAGTTAATGCTGAATGTTATAATGGTTCTACAAACAATATTCCATGCTATGAAAAATGATGACATTCGGGATATGAACGATCTTTATTTTTCTGCGGTTTATAAAGATCATCATATATGCATTAAATCTGAATGCGAAGCAGATGCGTGGCATGAAGGAGAGCGTGGTATTGAGGCAAGAAGATTACTCGGTGCACTTTCACATATTAGTTGGGAATCAACATATTTAAGCAGTTATTTAGCAGGGAAGTCACCATTGCATACACGTAATGATGAATGTTATAATCGTTATTTATTGCAAATGACACGTTATAATGCATGGCCAAAAAGAAACCACAAATTCGAAATTCTTGAGATGATAAAGGAATATATTGTTCTAATAGGGCGTGTTGTGAGTATATCTTGTTTCATTATTTACAGTGTGTACTAGAGATGTGCGAAATATTCGAATTCGAATCAAATCGAATCGAATTTAATTTAATTCGATTCGATTCGAATCCGAATCCCTATGATTCGAATTCGAATAATTCGAAAATTTCGAATCGCGAAGATTCGAATACGAATCAAATACATCAACGTATGTGCGCAATCAGTGCGCAACAAAGCGGGCCATCTGGGCCTGTATGTTTGAATCCTTAACTTGTAATTAACTTAACATATAATTAATAACTTAATTATAAATTACTTTAAATATTTAAATATATATTTTACTTTAAGATGATATTACAATATCAATATTCTCTTTTATATCAAAATCTTTCATTATTATTTGCATATTTAATAGTTATGTTAAATTTTTTAATAATTCGATTTGATTTCATTTGATTCGATTCGGATTCGAATTTAAAAAATGAAATTCGATTCGATTTGACATAACAATTTTTGATTCGCACATCTCTAGTGTGTACATTAGTCATTGAGAACATTATGTAGTAATTAATAAATATTAATATTTACAGAGAAGGTCTCATCAGTTTACAGGTCTTATAAATGCTATTATAAAATTATTGTGCAATGTACAAGAGAAAGTGGGTTACTGTGAAAAAGGGTAAATCAATATTATAAATAGTCATAAATAGTTATTAAGTTTATAATTTGAATATGATTTGAATATGAATATAGATCTTATATATTATGACATTTCTTTTTTTTAATTTGGTGAATTGTCCACCATGCTGTCAGTCTTTTCCGAAGATATTTATAGTTATTTGGTATTTAATTCTTTTCTCTTTTCTCTACGAAGTAGTTCTTTTAATCTTATAGTTTTTCTCTTATCTATATGATTTTTTATATTAATTTACTGATCTTTTTCAGATACTTATAAATTATATATAACGTCTCAGTTTTTGCTTTTGTATGGCTTTTACTTTTAAACGTTATATTTTTATTTTGTTAGTTTTTAGTTTGTTTTCCTAAACATCAAACTTTCCTAAACATAAAAAACTCATATCTATTGCATCTATTATATATATTATTTGGTTGATATTCTCCATCTATGCATCTATCTATCTATATATAACTACTAATAATTCATTATTTCTTATACTATGTAATGCACTTTTTTAGTCTGAATAGATGATTATATCTCCCGTACCTTTTTTTCCGGTTTTTTTCAACACTTTGTAATTGTTAATACTTCAACTATGAATATTGAATCTCTTGTTAATTGTCAAAGCGCCATCGCGACAGTCAGCGCGAGACGCGTTACCGCTCAGCCCCTACGCACCAGCTTGCCGCGGAGCGTCTATAGGCCGCGATGGGCGTGGAAAACGCCAAACTTTACGCAGTTATTACTAAAAAAACTATTATGATTTTCACATTATGGTACAGAACCTTTTTGTTCTTCTCACTTGGCTCTATGTTCCTACGGAGCCCGTGTCCCAAAGTTCTGAGACACCCTGTATATATTGTAATATATGCAATTATATATATATATCTCATTTTAAAAAACGCTTCTCGATAATTTTTCAATGAAGCATTTTCAGCAAATATGTTTCAGACAAAAGTTATATGATTTCATGGGGGGCATAAAACAATTATACTATTTTGTTTACAAATCACCACTTTCGAGATATTCACTGATCATTGCTTTTTTTAAATGGAAATTCTAATTTTTTATTACACCGTCTTTTTCTATCAATTAATTTTAACAACTCTTATCTGAAACATTTTTTTATTTGTCTAATATTTTCTGAAATATTTAAGGAGGACTTGATTACTTTTTCAATATTTAACTCACAATATCTCGCTAACTATTTGTCGGAAGAAAAAGTGGTACTAAACTTTCCTGCTCTATTTAATCTCAAGAATATATTGTTATAATAGCGCCCTTGTTAACTTAGTAACTTGGAAATTTCAAAATCATCAAATTAACAAAAATCAGGGCGCTAATATAACAATATATTTTTAAGACCAAGTAAAGCAAGAAATTCTAGTACTACTTTTTCTTCCGACAAATAATTAGCGAGATATCGTAAGTTAAATATTGGAAAAGTTATCAAGTTTTCCTCAAATATCTCAAAAGATATTAGACAAATAAAAAAATGTTTTAGACAAAAGTTGTTCAAATTAACTAGTAGAAAAAGTGTAATAAAAAATAAAAATTCCCACTTAAAAACGCAACTTGATCTTCAAATGACCTTGAAAATAGAGATCAAGGTTAAAGTCAAGGTCATCATAAGGTAGCTCACTTAAATATCTACAACTTTTATTCAGATCATTTTCCTTGAAACTTCAATATTGAAGAGTTATTTGGGGTGGGACATTAAAATGGGACATCCTATTGTATATTATACAGGATGGGTGAAAAATATGGAAACACTTAAAATCTCGAAAGATATGTTTTACAGAAAAGTGTTTCAGACGAAAGTTATAAGGCTCGAAACGATTTTATGATCTTATTATTTACTGATCTTATCAGTTTGACTTTAAGTGGCGTTGCCAAGGTCAAGATTAACTTATTTTTTTTAAGTAGGAATCTCCATTTTTTATTATATCATCTTTTCCTACCAATTAATTTGGACAACTTTTGTCTGAAACATTTTTTTATTTGCTTAATATGTTCTGAGATATTTAAGGAAAACTTGATGACTTTTTCAATACTTATGATATCTCTTTATTTATCGGAAGAAAAAGTGGTATTAGACTTTCTGACATTATCTGCTGTCAAGAATATATTGTTACTATAGCGTTGTGACTGTTGTTAATTTGATGATTTTGAAGTTCCCAAAAGTCGATAAGTTAATTAAAGGTAAGGCATTATTGTAATATATTTTTTAGACGGAATAGAGTAAAAAGTCTTGTACTATTTTTTTCGAATGGTTAGCGAGATATCGTAAGTTAAATAATGAAAATTTTTCTTAAATATCTTAAAAAATATTAGGCAAATAAGAAAATGTTTCAGACAAAAGTTATTAAAATTAATTGGTAGAAAAAGATGATATCATAAAAAATGGGGGTTTCTACTAAAAAAAAAAGAAGAAATTGGCCTTGATCTGACCTTGGCAACGCCACTCAAGGTCAAACTGATAAGATGATAAGATCAGTAAATATATCGTTTTGAGCCTTATAACTTTTGTCTAAAACATTTTTCTGTAAAACTTATATCTTCCGTGATTTTTAAAAATTTCTATATTTTTCACTAACCCTGTAAATATATTACAGGGTGTCTCAAAACGCATGATTATTCTTTGGGGATGTGAGAGATAATGAAATTCTGAGTCTAAAGTTTCTCCCATTTTTTTCTCCGACCATTAATAACAAAGTTATTAACGAGAAAAATCCATCAATGGCGTGGTGCGCACGACTGTCGCGCAGTGCCGTATACTAGCGCAGGACTCCGCCCTACGTTGACGCTAAAATTTGTCTTTATCTGATGATATCAAATAACTCATTTATCATCTATTTAATGAGCTAATTGATTAGTCATCATTTTTAATCAACAAAAACAAAAAATCGATTGAAAAGTTTAAAAATAAAAATCTTATTAAATGTTATTTTAAATAATAAGAACCAATGATGTTTCAGTAACCTGCGTTGCACTGACATTCACTATACATAAGGTGCATATCCGCGTACTCTGCCACCATATAAATCATTTTGAACTCAATCGTTTCAAAGATAATAAACGAATGAGATCGCTAATATTAAAAAGTCGGGAAATACCTCACTTCTTCCTTTGTCTTCACAGTTCGTTTATGTTTTGAATCTCGTTGCGTTTAGGATTGAGGAACCGCTACTAAAAAGTATCTCATGCAAGAAATAACAATTCTGTCAGCTGTTTCTCAATCCGCGAGACATCGAAGATGAAAATGTAAACGTTGGAAAAACAAGACAAAAGGTAAAACGAGAATTTATTGTGATTAATTAACACGTTGTAAAAGAGTATACAGAATATACATTACGTAGTTTCTGCGAACATTTTGAACCGACGCTCTAAAAAAAATCGGTCTTTTTCAAGATTATTGAAAAACCATTGGTCCTTTTCATTTAAAATAATATTTAATAAAATTTTCATTTTTAAACTTATTTTCAGTCGATTTTTTATGTTTTTGTTGATTAAAAATGGTGATTAATCAATTAACTCATTAAATGGATGATAAATGAGCTATTTGATATCATTAAATAAAGACAAATTTCGGTATCAGCGTAAGGCGGTCCTGCGCCAATGTACGGCATTGCGCGACAGTCGTGCGCGTCACGCCATTGATCGACTTTCCTCGTTAATAACTTTGTTATTAATGGTCGGAAAAAATGGAAGAGGAACTTTAGATTCAGAATTTCAATCTCTTTTACATCCCCAAAGTTTCTTTTACACACCCCAGGATTATTGTGCATTTTGAGATCCCTGTATATATACAGGGTGGTTGATTATAAGTTGCCAACCCGAAATGTGAAGCTAGATTGGGTTAAGATAAATATAAAAGTCCCATACCGTTTTGCGAAATTCGCAATAATTATCGAGTTATTAATGACAGAAATCTGAGGAATGGGAGCGCGCTGACATAGATAATTGGAGAAGCGTTACAGCTGCTTAGGCCGCAGCGCGGCCCAGTTGATCCAGAAACTGTTGCCGGTGCGCGGCGAAGGGAAAGACAATGCGCTGCTATTCGTTGTTTTATCTCGCCGGACCTATGTTTCGCCGCACGCCACCAACAGTTGCTGGGTCGAGTGGGCCGCGCTGTGGCCTGAGTAGCTGCAACGCTTCTAGAGAAATACAAAACATGGTTTTTCAAAATATTGTCCCTCGCTAGCTACACATTTTTGCCATCTCTCTGGCAATACATGAATACCACGACGATAAAACGACGCGTCTTTGGACCGAAACCATTCATCCAACCAATTTTGCACTTCGAAATTGGCTAAGTGTTGCCCAGCCAAGCCATGCGCCATCGACCAGAACAAGTGATAATCGGAAGAGGTCAGGTCTGGCGAATACGGCGGGTGCGGTAGCAGATCCCATTTCAGCATTTTGATGGTGTCCTGGACGATGAAAGTGCGATGGCACGGAGCGTTGTCGTGCTGCAATATCACTCGTTCGTGTCTCGTGTCCCATTCTGGCCGTTTTTCGAGCAATGCATGGTTCAAATTGATCAGTTATTGTCGGTAGCGATGCCCATTGACAGTTTCGCCCGGTTTCAGCAGCTCATAGTACACGATTCCTTCCTAGTCCCACCAAACGCAGAGCATTGTCTTTTTTCCGAAGCGATTTGGCCGTGCCGTCGATGTTGATGCTTCGCCAGGTGAAAGCCACGAATTTTGCCTTTGGGATTCTCGAAATATATCCACTTTTCATCGCCAGTAACAATTCGATACAGGAAACTCTTTCTTTCATGCCGCAAAAGCAAAATTTCGGAAGTGACTCTTCGATTTTCCATCTGTCTCTCAGTCAACTCATGCGGCACCCATTTTCCTTCCTTTTGAATTTTTCCCATGGCATATAAACGTTTGGAAATACCTTGGCGAGTCATGTTTAATGCCTCCGCAAGTTGATCTTGTGTTTGCATATCATCTTCATCCAATAACGCTTGCAGATCGGCGTCCTCAATTGTTTTTGGTCTTCCGGAGCGCTCTCTATCTTCAGTGTCGAAATCGCTACTTCTAAAGCGTTTAAACCAATCGTCACAGATAGTTTTCGATTATGGGTAGTTTCGATATTCGCCGTAGGCTTCCTGAAGCAAACGACGTGCTTCAGCTGCAATTTTTTTTTGCCTCTTTTCTCTCAATCTTTTTTTCTTTAATTTTCTCATTTCTTTCTCTTCTCTCTCCTCTTTTCTCTTCCTATTGTCTTATTTTCGATTCTTTTTATACTCTTTTTATACTCTTCTTTCTATACTCTTAGGAAAAAGCCTCAAATTCGTTTCCCAATATATCTGTTCTCTTACTTTCCATCTCTATTTTCTCTTCTTGTTCTTTCTTATCTTCTCTTGTTCTTTTGTATTTATTAAACTCTATCCTCTTTTCCTCCTCTCCTGAAGTCTAGATCATACAATATCAACTCGGTTATTTAACTCTTTTTCCTATATTTATTCTATGAGAAATTTGATTTATATTAAATATTACGTTTATATCTGCTTCATTTTTTAAATCCTAATTACTCTAAATGTTAAAAAAAAAATAGGAAGTTTTCTTAACAGTTCTATCTCACTATGACCTGTCTTGTAAAACACATTCTGTTAGCTCGGCGTATTTAAGTTCGAACTTTATAAATATTATTATATATATTTATAGGTTGGAATATGTTTGTTTCATATTCAAGGAACTAGTTTTCTCGAGGCCATTGTCACTTTGTTATGCATCACTAGCTCATTTCATAATGGTTTTCAGTAGATGCAATATATTTATATCAAAATTATGCAAGAATTCACGTGAGTATGAATTATGCACAAAGCAAGTGTATATTTTTCGATATTAATTATTATTACTTTAACAGAATCAATGGCAATAAAGAATTGGAAAGGCGCTTTACATTTTACACCAGGTATGTTCTGAAACTTTAAAATAATATTTTTAATGCTAATTTATAACAATGAATAATATTTTTTTAAGATGACCGATTTATTTTTTAAATTTAAGCCCGTACATCGTATATGGGCTTAAATTGGTTTTCACAATTTACAATGTAAATTGTGAAAAAATATTTCAATAATTTATGTGCAAAAAATGACTCTTAATACATTAAAATTCAGACGTTTCTGTCTTGTATTTGGCCCTCATTAATGAACATTAAAGAACACTACAATCTGGAGGAAAACCATTTGTTTTCTGCCTTGATGACCTCGTGATGATATTCAAGTAAAAACTCCAATTGTTCCTTTCAGTATAATATGTTATATCTCCTTTTTCATGAAGTGACCGTTGTTCAAAAAAAGATGAAAAAATGGTAGTATAAAATGTTAATCCTATGTACACACATACACGCATACATATAGAATGAGGAAAAACATACAGAGTACCGGAACACCTGAACGAGTTTGAAGGGTCAAGTTTTGAAGAAAAATATCTTAAACAAAAGTTTCAGTGTTCTAACAAGGAAATAGCAAGATATGTAAAATCGATAGTTGAATGAATCATATTTCATTCGAATTGGGGGGTTGAGTACATAAAAACTCTAAAAGGGTTTGCGTGCATGAGCCTTCGTTTGCAAGAAATTTGTAATTAAAAAAACAGCTGTATATGTTAGCTATATATTATTTTTTTAATTGCAAATGGGATGAATTTGATGATGCCCTTGAACTTGACTTTGGGCTCGATTTTCAAGGTCATTTGAAGGTTAATTCGAAATTTTCAAAAGAAAACCCCAATTTTTTATTACGCAGTCTTTTTCTATGAATTAATTTAAAATTTTGTCTAAAACATTTTTCTATTTGCCTAATATTTTTGAGATATTTAAGAAAAACTTGATAACATATTCAATATTTACGATATCTCGTTAACTATTTATCGAAAGAAAAAGTAGTACTATACTTTCTTGCTTTATTTAGTCTCAAGAATATATTGTTACAATAGCGCCTTGACTTTTGTTAACTTACTGACTTTTGGAAATTTCAAAATCATCAAATTAACAAAAATCAGGGTACTATTATAGCAATATATTCTTGAGACTAAATAAAGTAAGAAAGTCTAGTAGCACTTTTTCTTCCGACAAATAATTAATGAGATATTGGAAGTTAAATATTGAAAAAGTTATCAAGTTTTCCTCAAATATCTCAAAAAATATTAGGCAAATAAAAAAATGTTTTAGACAAAAGTTCAAATTAATTGGTAGAAAAAATAGTGTAATAAAAATAAGGGTTCCCATTTAAAAAACACAGGTTGACCTCCAAATGATCTTGAAGGTCATGGCCAAGGTTAAATTCAAAGTCACCATCAAGTCCGTTACTTGATTTTCTACAACTTTTGTATTTAAAGTTTTTCATGAAAATTTGATCCTGCAAAGTTATCCGGGGGTTCTGGTATTTTTAAGACACCCTGTATATGATACAAATATTTTCAAAATACTAACTTAACATGTTTACGTTTGGAAGTCATCTAAGAAAATTGAGAATCGAACAATATAAATATAAATCTTAATAATAAAATTTTCGATTGTAAGTTTATGCCAGTCTGTTTTATATGTAATATTTCTGATATCATACATCTTGTATGACAGAGTTCGCAATTAGAAATCTTCGGGTTGTCGAGATCGAAATCATATCTAAACTCTATGCGATGTTCATCCATTATTGATCTTACTGGTCATTCTTTCCCTCTTTTTGAACAATAGTCACTTCATGAGAAAGGAGGTGTAACATATATTACTGAAAGGAATAATTGTAGTTTTTGTTTGAATATCATCACGGGATCATCGAAGTAGAAAATAAATAGGTCCAGATAGTGTTTTTTATCGTTTACTGATGAAGGCCAAATACAGGGCCAAAACAAGTCTAAATTTTTAATAATATATATTGAGTCATTTTTTGCAAATAAATTATTGTAATACTTTCTTATAATTTACATCATGTACGAGCTTAAATTGGCTATCTTGAAAGAATATCATTTATATGAATATACGAAAGATCCTTGACATACTACTTATTAATTATTACTTATTAACAAATTTATTATTTTAATAAACTTTCAAATGAAGAGAAAATACGAAAATGCATATGCTAAAAAGAGTAAATCTAATATATTTTAATAAATATAAATAATATAAATAAATATATTTTATATTGCAGATGCTTGCGTCTTACAAATTCTTATAACACAAATGGAGCATTTTCATCCGGATTTTCTTACTACTTTAAATATGACTCACTCATTATTATCGTCTGTACAATATATGCTGCAAACGAATAATAATCTATTAAGAACTGAAAGTTCAGAAACATGTAACTGTTACAAAAAATTAATACAGTTCACAATTAATATATTGGGAAAATGTTGTGAAACTAGATCAATTGTAACTAATAATATCAATTGGCAAGATTTATTTTACACTTCCAACAAGTGTTATACTTTGAAGAAAATTAATTATAAAGATTATGGGTGTCGAACAAAATATGACCTGCAAAATAAGGAAAAACATGCAATGGAAATATATCCGGAAAAACTAGATCGAAATTTTTGGTCTAATATCAAAAAGACCCAACACCAAGTGTTGAAAGAAGGCATTAGATTTTTATGTTATCTCACCATTTGCGATCCCTATTTTTTTATTCAATCACTTGACATCGAAGATTCATTTAATCTACTTATAAGAAATATAACTTTTTTCGACGATTTAATACTTCACGAAAATGATCGTAAGTATTTTATGTGTATTCTTTATAGTAATATAACTATCATTATAAATAATACACCAATAAGTACCATAGTGTATTTAATGATATATGGATATTTACTTGTATATTGATATTATTTACAGTATTTTATAGGGGGTATTTATTATTAATTATTAATTGTACATAATAAATATTTTAGGAGAAGCATTGGAACGAATAAAGTCCACGTATATTCTTGATAAAGGTGTACAAAATGAAATTGAGACGCATCATAAAAATATACGTATTACTCAATTGAACATAGCGAATTTTGAAAAGAAAGTTATTCCTGCAACAAAAAATGATGTTAAAACAACTCTAAATTTCGATAAAATACATATGGCTATTAAAGCGTTATATAATTTCAAGTTAGAATATAAGGATAATTAAACATCAAATCCTCAAGATTATTTTTTAATATTTGAAATGTAATCTTTATATACAATCTTTTACAGACATTTCATTGTGTGGAAAAGAGAACATAATATGATGATGATAAAGACGAAAAAGCATATAATTTGTATTTAACGCATTAATTCCTTAGCCACTATTCTATTGCTAAAGAATATATTTCTTTTTCGGATTTATTTTTTTATCGGGCAATTGAATACCGCAAAAAATTCATCCACAAAGCTGCTATATATTTATATTTTTGGTCTTGGATGTTTGTCCAGAAAAAGCAGTTCTTTTTTCCAACGTCGCATTTTTGCAAAATGTCTGAAAAATGTTAAATGTACGGTAACAATTCAGATATTTTAAGTACATTGTCGCTGATTTTTTTTTTTGAATGTATTCTTGTTTAATATGTTATCTTTGTAACTGATATTTTTGTTACGTGCAGCATTTATAAAGAAGATTTAATCATTACTGTATTCGAGTCTAGGCAATCGCCTTTTCAAAAATCGCACTTATTTTCCTGTTGTTATGCAATCGCTATGCCAACGGAATCACTCATGTTCTATCCTAGTGATAATCGACTTTATCTATAAAATTTAAGCAATTTGTATACCAAAAGAAAATCATTGCAAGATTAAATAAAACTTTTTTAAAACTTTAAAAAACGTTTAAGAAATTAGTATTATCTCATATATCATTTCTTCAGTAATATATCAATTATCTTCTACACATTTATTAGGTCTGTACATTAAGTTCCTGGGATTTTCTTGGTGACGTAGTTTATATATATTGAAGAAATAATACATACATGTTTAATTCAAATATTTTCCCTCGTTTGTTACAACTTTAAGCCATTTTTCAGGCAACAAATGGATTCTTCAGTTGAAGAATCACAGATCTTACAATGTGATAAATTTGTCCATTTTTGTATTTCAATCTCGTTTCTGAATTGTACGCCGAATAAATGGTGCTACATTGACCGAAATAGAAGTAAAAATCAGGGGTAAGGTTTGGATTATACATTGGTTGAGTGTGGTAAGACTTTCCACTCAATTTCCAGTAATGTATCCTTACGTAGTAAACTACGTAGTAAATTACGGAGTAAACTGTCGAAACTGTTTGTCACGATGGACTTTGGATATGTTATAGATCATTAAAAAATACTAGATCCATATTATTTTAGCAGCATATCTCAACGTTTAGGATAAAAATAATGAAAAAAACAGTCTTTTATTTTTGTAAATATTTCCTAAATTACGAGATATATGAAAAAAAATGTTTTATACAAAAATTGTGGAATAATTAATACTTTTTACAACAATTTATTCACGTTAAAAAATGTAAAATTTTTAATACTCTTTCTTTCCTTTTTTACATTTGTAAGTTATTAAATTTTTCTAAGGACAAAAATTGAAGAGCATTAGATATTAAATTCGATATACAGGGTGGTCCAGTAATTATTAACACCTTGAATATCTTCGAAACTATAAGTGTCAGAAAAAAATTTGTCCAATAGAAGTTGCATCGTACAGAAGGGGTCATCAGATGGTAGTTACGGATTTTTTGTAGGTGGAGTTACTTCCAAGATATGAAGGTCACCTTTATTTCTATAAATGGAATGCTATGTTTTTATGTCTACTATCTGATAGCGGCGTGAGATCTCCCGATTGCGCCTATGAACTTTTTCTTGTGGAGTTATATCAAAGAAAAAATGTACGCGACACAACCTACAACTATCGCAAACATGAAATTACGAATTTAACGCGCTTTCCGAGATATCACTGACTGTACATTGCAAAGAGTCGAAAATAAATTTTGATTACGCATGACACAATGTATCGAGCAAAATCGAGATATGTTTGAACATTTGCGGTAAGAAATTGCGTAGACATGAGAGGCAAGGGGACTTACGTAAATCAAGCACCCCAAGGGGAACAGAAACCTCCTACGTCCATGTCGTTGTTCCTGAATAACGCTAAAAGTAGGGTAGTGGATAAAAATTTAAAGTAATAAAAGTTTAGCACAAACATTAAATCTTTTTGCACGAACAATACAGGTGGAGTCAGTCTGGGCTTTGTAAACTTTAAAGTCATATCTCTGGAACGGCTTATGCAAAAGACAATTATGGGTAGTTTTAAATGTCTCGCCAAGATCTACAACTTTTATCTCAAGAAAAAAATCAAGTTCCATTTAAGAAATTAGTCACTTTCAAATTTTCTTGAAAACGATGACACCTGCGACACGACTTACGTCGTGATCATATGTCGCTCTTCAAACTAAACAACTTTTGTCTGAAGTATTTTTTCTACAATCAAAAATAAAAAAGTTTTTGGAGGTGGTACATTAAAATGGGTCACCCTGTATACATATACAGGGTGTAAAGTCCGACCCCACCCCTGGATCTCGGAAACGGCTTTAAATATGGAAAAATGTTTCAGACAAAAGTTGTAGGATATTGAGGGGGACACATGATAAAAATATGGACTTGACCTTAAATGACTTTATCAAGGCTAGATCAATGTGATCGATGTTTTCTTAAATGAAACCTCCTATTTTTTATTGCATATTCTTGTAGCCCTTGTCGATATATTTTCAAAACACTATCTATTTTTGTTTTTTTGCACAAGCCATTTCCAAGATATAAAGCTTCAAAGTTGACATACCGCCGGCATTCGCATTACCCAAGGTGTACCGCGTGGAGGTTGCATGATCGGATTTACGCCTCTTGTGTGTGCGTGTGTATGTGTGTCTGTCTGTCTCTGTTGTGTGTGTGTGTGTGTGTGTGCGTGTGTGTGCGTGTGTGTGTGTGTGTGTGTGTGTGTGCGTGTGTGTGTGTATGTCACAGTAGCATAAGGAACTCACGGTTCGTCACTCCCGTAGTATTCTTTGACTCCAAACTCTCTCCACTGTATATGCATGTGTTGTAGCCCTAAAAAGGACTAATTTTGTATGTGTTTCTTCAATTAAACTTTCATCTGAAATTTTTGTTAATTTGATGATTTTAAAATTTTCAAAAGTCAGTAAGTTAACAAAAGTTAGGGCACTATTGTAGCAATATATTCTTGAGACTAAATAAAGCAAGAAAGTTTAGTACCACTTTTTTTTCCGACAAACAGCGAGATATCATGAGCTAAATATTGAAAAAGTTAACAAGTTTTCCTCAAATATCTCAAAAAATATTAGACAAATAAAAAAATGTTTTAGACAAAAGTTGTTCAAATTAACTAGTAGAAAAAATAGTAAAAGTATAAAAAATAAAGGTTCCCATTTAAAAAGCACAAGTTGACCTTCAAAAAACTTTGAAAATAGAGGTCAAAGTCAAGGTCATCATAAGGTAGCTCACTTAAATCCCTACAACTTTTATTCAGATCATTTTCCTTGAAGCTTCAATACTGAAGAGTTATTAGGGTGGTTCGTAACTTTTGGGACACCCTGTATATGTCCATACAGAAAAAAATATTGTTTAATGAAAAAAGAGAAACATCATTTGACTCAATTAATTGACCCAACAAACACAATGTTACATATAACGTACATGTTAGTTGTAATTTCCTACTCAACAATGTAATGGTTATATAACACACGTGTTATATAACAGTTATATTTTTGAGTAAAAAATTTATTATATTTATTTATATTACATTATTTATATTATATTTATTTATTATATTTATATTATATAATAATGTGTTTGCTGGGAAACGTCCACATCATGGACTACTACAAATATAAACATTCACTCCAATTGTATCTTCACAACAACATACTTTTCGATGTTTTTATAGCCATATATAAACAAAATCCATATATGAATTTTTTTCCCAGGCATTAATATTATTTAGCGTTATCATTAAAACATAACTATTATGTAATTTAACGTTTACTGGGTAATAACAATTTCATATTATTCACATTGACTCACTAAATATATATGCATATACCTGTCGTTCTGGTGAAATCCCATGGCCGCAATCGTCGTAATCTAGGTCTTAAAGTATCTAGTAATTCCAATACAGTGTCCGATAATAAACGAAATAAATTAGTAAACACATCGTTATGTAGTTCAAATGAATCGTTTATATCGCGCCAGGCTCTTTTCTCCTCTCGACGTCTTACTTGTCTTACTCTATTTTCTATATTTAATAGGTCCCATATTAAATATTCTTCGGCCATACTAAAAATTCACGTAATATATATATAAAAATTAAATTTAAATTATTTATTTGTAGATTTGTCTATTATATAGCACATACAAAATACATGAACAGAAAAATATTCACAAGTCAGAGCCGGAGTCACTAATTGAAACTTTTATAACCAATAATTTTCTAAATTGTTCTAAATGTCTGTCGATCAGACACTACCGATGGATATAGGACGGTACTCGGTAGGATTGTCGATTACGACCGATATTTATCGATATTTTAACCGACGCGCATCGGTGAGGAGTTATCGAGAATAAGGCTCCTTGCACAATGCCAGGCAACAAGCAATAAGAATAAAAATAGACCAATCACAATCGACTATTACAAGAATAATCTATTGTGATTGGTCTATTTTTATTCTTATTGCCTGTTGCCTGGCATTGTGCAAAGGGCTTAATTCTGACCGACAAACGTCGGTAGACAGCGTTACCGACACCGACAATCGTCGGTAGGCGAGTACAGAATAGCACGCCCCAGTTCAGCAGTGGTGCAATTCTGTAACTCGTTATTGGAGTTAACGACAGTTTCGTTATCGTTGTGCAGCTTTTCTACGGTATACAAAAGCTGCGCAACGATAACGAAAGTGTTGTTAACTCCAATAACGAGTTACAGAATCGCACCACAGTGCAGACAAAACAAACAAGCCTAATGTATCGCCGACACGTTATAAGCTGTGTTCCGAAATTCACTGCCAGTACTGAAAATATATAGTTTGTGTTACGTATACTATAGAATTTCAGTGCTAGCATTGAATATCGGAATCAGAGAGAAGAAGGAGAGGTGTCATGGGCCGCTTTTAGCCGAGCCTAGAGACTCTCTAATAGAGAGTCTGGACACCAGGGCTTCGGCGTAATTGGTTCACGGACCGGTGGCCTGAAATGGCGGCACCAATAGAAAACCTTGTTTACTTAGCGCGAACGTATAAATAATTTGAATGTTAGGTAATGTATCTTCTGGATAGCGTCATATATTATTTTATTTAGCATAAACACATAAAAAGTAAAGAATTTTATAAACGAATTCAATATTTATAAAAAAACGTAATATTTTTCATGAATTTATGCAGAGAAACAGATATGGGATTCATACCCTGAACTTAATTTTATTGATAAAAGTACCTGTAAAAGTACCTGTAAAAGTAGCTTATAAAGTTTCTAATTGGTTACAACTCATTTTTAAAGACACTTCGATAAAAGGGAGGTTAAAGTAAGGACCTTAAAATCAATATTTCTATTAATAGAATATAAGTGAAATGCATTGTAAATGGGATATAAGAGAAATAATAACATAACGAAATATAAAATATATAATATATTTAATGCATAATATTTAAATAACATAATAATATGTACAATGTAATATATACTTTGATATATTTATATATATGGAAAGCTATCGTATAATTGTCGCATGCATTGCCATAGTCTTACTATTATAAATTTTAGTAAGCAAACGACGTTTACGATTTGCAATTCGCAGTCTAAATCGAATCGTTATATTATTTTTTATGTTATAACTGATACTTTTTGCACCATTGTGTGTAGCTAAAAAGAACACACTGAGTTGGCCATTTTCAAGCCCGTGTCTAGACTCTTTATTAGAGGGTCTCTAGGCTCGGCTAAAAGCGGCCCATGACATCTCTCCTTCTCTCTGCTGTTACCATCCATACTTATTGCGAGCTATGTTTCATATTTCGGCTACGATATTCTTAAGAGAGCGCTAATGTACAGCGAGATTTCTCTGGTACGTACATTAAATTCCGTAAGACCAACAGTCTTTATAGGCTGGTATTCATAGTCAGGTCTTATATTTAAGACCTGACTTAAGTCTTAAGTTCACTCTCAGGTATCCCGTAGCCAATGAAATAATTTGTACAACATCTGAAGATGAATTTAAGATGGTCTTAAATATAAGATCCGACTATGAATACTGGCCATAGTATCTCGTTGATGACAATGGGTGCATTCAGTACTACACCGTATAGTACCGCTCACTGAGCGCTAAGTGAGCTCTTGCATCTGATTGGTGTACATTTTTAAATCTAAAAGAATATACCAATCAAATGTAAAAGCTCATTGAGCGCTTAGTGAGCGGTTGTAGTACTGAATGCACCCAATGGCCGCGTTCAGCAGACTCAACAGTTGGACAACATTACTAGATTTTCCACTAAATCTCGCTCCTGATTGGTAAATACTTCTGGGTCTATGAAGAATCTAAAAGAATGCTCCAATCACAGACAATAATCACTAAGCGCTCTCTGATCACTTTGTTCTACTGAACGCGGCCAATGGTTGCGTTCAAGAAACAAAGCGCTCATTGAGCGCTTAGTAACTATTGATCCTTACTGTTAGATCCTTACATTCAGACCAATAACGTTAACGAATTACTCAACCGTTGGCTGCGTTCAGAAAACACAACGGTTACACAACGGTTGAGTAATTCGTCAACGTTATTGGTCTGAATGTAAGGATTTAACAGTAAGGACCAATAGTTACTAAACGCTCAGTGAGCGCTTTGTTTTTCTGAACGCAACCAATGTTCTTGGTCTATGACCCGAAAACAGATGGCGCCACGTTCGATTCGGAGTCGCCGAGGGAATAAATAATCGAAAGCCTCAAATCACAATAAAACAAAAAAGAGGTCGGAACAAGAGATACGAAAAAGTAATCTCTGCGCGTGAAAAATTGATAACAGTAACTGAATTGAATGGGAAATGTAGTGCATAATTCATAAGAAAATTTAGCACGTTTAGACTTCGCTATCGATATTCATTGTCACGTCAGTATCGATAGGCGCGCTAGCCACGTCGTGCTACTCCTGAAGAAGAAGTAGCAAGTAGTCGATGACGACGATGACACTGTGTCGATCGTGCGATCGCAAAATATAACCTCTTTCTTCGCGTAAGATGCTACTACTCTTATCAGTGTATCCGGAGGCAACGCTGTTTCGAGAAACCTGATCTACGTCTAACTGCGCTCCTCCTTCTCATACCATATCTCGCCTGACATTGTTAAAACGAATACAATTTATCGCATCATGAAAGTGACCGTGAAGAAACTACAGGGAAAAGAATGCGTCGTTGACGTGAGTGTCGGAGCGCCTTTGTTGCTTTTGTGTTCCCTTGTAGGTTGCGGATTTCCGTTAATCTTTCTTGTGACCTAGATTTTTGTTTTATTATTTATTATATTGATTTAACATCCGCAATTGATCCGAACGACAGCACTTGAAAAATTTCGTCAGATCACAAGGGGTTAAAGTAGCTCATAGCTTTCAAAAGCTATTGTCTTTCTGACCATGATAATTTCGTTTTTCAAATCTTCTCTCAAATCGTACACTTTCGACTTCTGCGAATTTCTTCGCGAAATGATTGGCAATTATTATGTATTTTTTATTAAATAGCTTTTTGTATACATATAGATATGTATTATATGACAATGGAACGTACCTTTGTAATTTTAGATACTGCCAACAGAAACAGTGTTGGAATTAAAACACAAAGTAAGCGACATATTAGGCATTGATGTCCCTCACCAAAGATTGTTACTCACTGGCAAGACTTTGGCTGGTAAGTAAATTTGTAAAACTATCTATAGTATCATACATGTATATGTATTTTGCAACAAATATTATAGGTTTATATAATATTTCAGATGAGAATCCATTGAGCTTTTATCCAGGAATCAAAGATGGCAGCAAATTAAACTTATTGGTAATCAAGAAAACAGAGGAAGGATCCAGCGAGGCTAAAGCTTTGCAACAAAAGTCGGGTACTCAGTTACTCAAATATGAAGTCTCCAGAGTGTTGAGGCATTACTATACGGTATCCGAGACAGAATCCATAGTCAATGAGCTGATAAAGGACCTGAAAAACAAAGTGAATAATCTTAGTTATGATGATTTAGAGAGATTAGCTACAGCGTTACTTCAGGACCAAGAGAACATAGCTTAAGTATCATCTTGGATTATCTAATTCCGCTTTATTGGTCGATCTTTGTAATGTGAGTTTATTTAATTGAAGCGTCGCTTTGTATATTACGCCCTGCCCTTCTTACAATCGGCAGTGTGTTTAAAATCGCGCAAGTATAATGACCGAACGTTCAAAATACCGAACGTACCTTCGCGTTTGAAATTTCAAGATACAACGTATCATTGTGTTCGTTTATTAAAATCATTGTACACGTACACATAGAATATAATTATCGTGTCGCGTATGCGTTATTACATACACGCGACTAGTCGAATGTACAGTCGGGATTTTTCAAGGATCAGCTAGATCCAATTGGCGGAAGTATCTCGCCACCAGACAAATGAATAAATTCAGCGCCCCCAGCTCCTGCGCGTCCAACTCCCTCTGAAAAAAACAGAAACGCGAGAACAGCGTGAGCACGTGAAAACTTTTGTAGATATGAGACAAGACTAGCTTAGATATAGAAGAAAAGTTCAGTCCCTTATTTTCTCAGCCTTTTTATAATTCGATGAGCGCGTTTTTATTATCATCCGGACCTTTTTCTAACAACGGAGACGAGATTGCAACAACACCGGAGCGATTAGAAAATTATGCAATAAAAGCGTTTTGTTAATAGAATATCAAGGTTTCTCCCCTTCTTTTCTTTACCCTATGCTGCTTTGCATCGGCGATACCGTTAATGAGTCAAGTTTGTAGTGAAAGACAAAGAACAGAAAAATTAACTGAACTTTTCTTTACAGTACATCAATGCCTTGGAAATAAAAAAAGAAGAGAAAAACAAAAACTAGACCGGCGTTGGTCGATTTATTTCCAACATATCGATGTACTGATTTATTTCGATAGAGCAATGAGCATTACGGAATCGGCGCGAATACTGGAACATATTCGTGCCAACGAACGCAGGCAAGAACAGGTGTCAGGATTCAATGGTTGTTCTAACATCACAAGCAGCGTATAGATCCATTGGCCCATTTTGTACTCGATTTTTCTCTGAGTCTCTAAGAAATGCACAAAGTATTCAAGTACTTGCTGTACAGTCGGTTGGTTGAAACAAAACAAGGTGTTCAGCGTTGGCTCAAGCCTCTCGTCGTTGTTACATCCTATGCATAAATTGATCCACCTACTTTCGTCGTTTATAGCCGGCTGCAATATTAAACAAGAAACAAAGAGGAAGAGAGAAAGAAAGAAAGAATTAGTCAAATGAGAAAATATTTTTATATCTCTTTGCATTATATTTCTCTCTTATATGGCTGCAGCATGTATCTTTATATAGTTCTTAAAAATATTTCTATTTAATTCCTTAACTAAAAAGACTTTATATGCTATAAGACTTATAATGCTATAAAATATACATGTACCAGACGAATATTAGGTGGTTTCCATTTGCGTTTATATGTTTGCATTTCATCTCGCAGTTGGCTTATGTATAATCTCATGTTACAGAAGTCTGAAACCTGGTATTGTTGCCATTCCGAGGTAGGACTTAATTTCGGTGGTGCTTGGATACATCCTGCTAACTTTTGTAGTTACATTTATAATATAATATTCTGATCATCACTTCAATTCTCAAAATGTAGAATACATGAAAATCAACTTACTGGTTCAATATAGTCCTTTGTAGGTTGTTTCATACATGATGGGTCTATATTGGCCACTACTACATCAGCACATTGTTGGGTCTCTATTCTATGATATTGATATTTTTCAATCGATAACTTATTATTTGCTAGTAGCAAGAGCTTTATTTTTCATCAACATCTTAATGGATAAACATGCACTTGTTTTTGTAAAAGAAAAAGGAATAGAATGGAGAAAAGTAAAATAGATTAAAGATTTCTTTCTAATTATATTTTTTTATCAATATTTTGTACTGTTGCTACTTACACTACTCGTTTGATATATTCTTCTCCAGAAGTAGGTGGCAATGAAAGGTTAATATCTTCATCGATATCTCCAACTATAAACGCCGGCTGTTTCAAACAATCCATTATAAAGTTGAATGCTTTCACACTTTTTAGTCAGAAGTTTTCTGACTTTTGAGCCTTATCGATCTATAAAATTTAAATTTGATATTAACTCGGTATTATTGTTAGTATATGCATGTATATGCATCGTATTTATATATATGGAACTGCATGGACTGCAGCGAAGTTTCAGGAAGCATGTGGTATTTACTAACAGCTGTTCTGATTGGATGTACTACAGCTGTTCTGATTGGATGCACTACAGCTGAGACAGCTATCTCGTTTCCTCGCGTGACGTGAGAAAATCGATACAAACAGGTTGAAGAAGGAGAGAAATAGCCGAATGTACACCGAAATGTACACTGAAAAGGAATCAATATACTATGATTGTGAAAACAGAACTTATAAATGATATACCTACGAAACGTTTAGAATCAACAGAACTATAAACAAGAGTGATCTTTTTATGGGAGAATATTCAAGAATAGCTTGAATAGGGAATAAGCAGAACAGAATATAGTGGTGTCACACTGTTGTGTACTGTACTGCTACGCCATTCTGCAGGTTCATTCGATTTAAATCCTTTCGTGCAGAGCGAATCTGCAGTTTAAGGTTATTCTGTGTCAATTGTGAGAAATTTACTTTATCCCACGGTGAAAGGCGGAGGATACGTTGTATTTCAGCAATGAGCGAGGACACGGACCGACTGAGTAAATACGTGAAGCACTCGTTGAAAACAATACCGAAGTCGAATGTAAGAGAGTGTTTATGCATTTTGTAGCAAAGATTCTATTAGTCAAACTATTTGAAAATCTAGAATATTTCGATCAGAATATTTCGATAATTCAATAAAGCACTTTGCTCTTCACTTACAATGTACATATAAATGTTGACAGGTGTTGGAGTGTCGCGTTTGCGAGGAGGTCTTCACGGTAGATGGTGTGAAGGTACCTCGCTTGCTGCACTGCGGACACACAGTGTGTCACTCCTGCCTGCTACGACTGAGAACTTGCATGTCGGACCAACAGTTTCTCCTGTGTCCCTTTGATAGACAGCCTACGAGCATTCGTGAGAATAGCGTGTATGGTTTGAAGAAGAACTTTGCACTCATCGAATTGCTCGAAAGGCTTGAACAGTCCAACAGTGAGAAGACCTTGGTATTGGAACGCGAGAGGCTTCAATCTAATCAATTATGCGACGAGGACGAGGCACATACCGCGGTTCTATATTGCACGGTCTGTGCGACACATCTGTGCGAAGCATGTGACACAGCCACACACTCGTCCAAGACATTAGGCAAACATAGACGCGTGCCGCTGTCGGAGAAGCCTCGTGAGAAACCTCGGTGCCCGATACATACGGCGCACGTCGCCGAGTTTACATGCACCCAAGAAGGCTGTCACAACTCCTTGATGTGCTACTTGTGTAAAGAATACGGCAAGCACAGCACGCACAAGGTAACGTCCACAGTCCGGCACCTTCTGTACTGTTGGTACGTTGCCAATATCGTTGCCTATGCTTTGCATTGTAGCCAGCATTGGTGGAGGAGGAAGCTGAAAACATCAGGAAATCTATTATTGCGGCGTTACAAAAGATGACACAGTTTATGGAAAGCATGAGAGACACAGCGCATAGAATAGGTACTGTGCTCACTTTGAGGTCTCTTCCTCATCTAAGTACTTATTTCCTTTTCTGACAGATTACATTCTACTGCAAATACCTCACTTGAATATATTTCAGAAATAGTAATTGAGGAATTAGAGGGTTGGGCGATTGAAGACGCGAGGAGGAGGGTGCGTTATCATTTTGAGGAGTTGCGCGCCGTTTTGGCCGAGCAAGAGAAGACTGCGATGACATACGTCGAGACGGAGACCCGCGGCAGGCTGTGCGCGTTGAGGCAGCAACAGAAGGATCTCACGACCACAAGGTCGCAAGTGGCTGGTGTATGCATTCAGTGCGAAGGCATACTTGACTCGGAGGATTGGAAGTTACTCAGCAGCTCGGAGAAAGTCAAGGAAGTGTTGGCGACTCTGGAGCAACAGCAGCAGCATTATGCGCAACTGGGTCCGGACTTTCTCAGCCCTGAGTCCTCTATACCCATCATCTTCAGCAGGGTTCGTAAAATTTCTTTGTGATCTATATAGGATTAACTGTGCAACTCACCCTGATGATCAACCCGGTTCTCTTGGAGGATGATTTGAATTTTCTTTACAATTTTACAACAGGATAACAGGATACATATTGGGACCAAGATCGACATGCGCGTGGTGATCTTAGGATTAGACGGAGCGGGAAAGACGAGCATTTTATCCGCAATGCGAGGTGTTACACTATCGGGCCCACCGATCCCTACTATCGGCTTTAACGTCGAGAGCTTGGAGTATCAGAATCTTGTATTCACCCTTTGGGACGTCAGTGGGCAACAGAAATTTAGACCGCTGTGGAAACACTATTATCACAATACGCAAGCCGTTATTTTCGTAGTGGATGCTACCGACAGGTCTCGGTTTGAAGAAGCGCAGAATGAATTATCCAAAATACTTTACGAACGAGAGCTGAAGGATGCTCTCTTTTTGATCTATGCTAACAAACAGGTAAACGTGACACTATTGACGTGCATATTACACGCGATCAGAGTTGGAAAAATTTTCTTTTTTTTTTAGTAAAATAGTTCGTTACCGTAGTTCGTTTCTCATTTTGAAGAATAATCTGCTATCTTTATCGTTATTTGAAAGGTAATGAACTGTTGCAATTTCTATTCTGTTACTTTTTTCATCAAATCTTGGAGATTGAACGCTTTTCCTTCGACGTACTTCTGAATACAGTCAACTACGGATGAATTCGATTTTGAATAACTCTCATAGGATAAATTTTTTAATTAGATATTAGATGTTTAAAAATGCCAGAATGTTTAAAAATTATGTTTAAAAGTGTCAGGAAAATGTTTAAATCCTTTTGCAAATGAGTATACGTATATTTTATATGTGCAAAGTAACGATTGTATTCGTTAGTTATCCAAATATATGATTACATCAATATTTTTTCAGGATGTCGCAGGTTGTGCGAGCGTCGAAGAACTTACCGATATTCTCGGTTTGCATAAACTTTGTTGTGCGAGAGCTTGGCATATTCAGGGCTCGTCGATGGTTACCAATGCCAGTGGTACATTGCAGGGGCTCGACTGGCTTACGCAACAACTCGGTACTCAATGGACCGAGTGTGTATAGAGCGTTTCTCTTCTTTTTATACCTAGCTTAAAAGCTATTTATGCTGGAATATCAAGTCAAAAAGAAAAGACGTTTCACTGATTTTATAGCACAGATTTTATGAGAAGTGAGACGTAGATTGAAGTTAGGCAAATAAAAGTCGCATAACTACACAGACCGGCATTATGATTTTAACGCGTTATGTATAACACACGTATAACTTGTAAATTATACGGTTCACATGTATAACTTGTAACTCATAATTTATAATCCCTTCTTTCTAAACGCGCGCGGTTTACATTTCAAAAAGAATTATTCATCATAACGATATCTTATAGATCAAAGTCATCTCGTCATGCTTGTACAGATCTGGGTTGGGCATTTGAGGATCCTCCTTGTTGATGAGTACTTTCATTGAAACATTGCGTGAATAGAATACATATCTAGACGTAAAAGTATAATTTATAACTTCATGCATTAAGACTACTATGCTGGTCTGTGTAGTACGTTATTTCCTTTCTCTACTCATAAATTCAAATTTATACTTTTTTTTATCCACTCTATGAGCATGAAGAATCTCGACGTAACTTTATGAATCTATTATATCGCCATGGTATTTGATTACCCCGTTGAGACATGTTACGCAAAAAGAAAAGAAACTCATTGTGTCACGGAACGGTTAATTTATTCGAAAAGGAAAATGACTTCGATTTATTTTCCGATATAAAAGCGTAACTACAAGACAAGCTATATTCAAACGCGATACATTAATAGCGTAAACTCGCATATATATATATATACACACACGATTGGAAGCGATATGCACAGTGAAGTTAAATTCTATGACTACGAGTAACAGAAAATGGGTTATTAGTGGATTAAATTCCGCTCTCAAAAATTATCCAAACGCTTGGGCACATCTAGAAAAGTCTTATTTATTTTATTATATGGTTATTGGTTACCTCTGATACATGCTCATACCAATTGTTATCATTCAGTCACTTGCACACACCACATCATTCTTACGTTTTCTCCCCTTTTTAAACTGGAGCGACTTTTTTAGTATGCGTACATTGTACGGAGAGGTTGAAATAATATATAATATAATATAATATATATATATATATATATATATAATATAGCATCGTGTGTTAAATTACAATTTTTAATTACTTTTTAATGTATATAAAACACTTGACAAACAAAAACTGAACAACTTAGTCTTTTGTGGAGCTGCGCCGATGGTGGACACAGGCTAGACACGACTCCCTTTTTTCTCTCTTCTCATCTTCTATATTTTCCTTTTTTCTTCCGTATTCCGGCATACCTTGGGTATCTCGCGGAAGTATCGATCGCTTGGTCTAAGGCGCGTGTTGTAATAAACTCGGGAACTTCGGGAACAATTTGCACTCAAATGGAAAATGTATACTGGACTAGGATAAAAATGTTTTCTTTAGGCGCCACGATACCAAGGCCAAACCGCTACGGAAAACCGTGAAGAGAACCGGGCGAGACTTTGCTTTAAGCTTAAACAAAACTCGATATGATGTCCTCGTACTACGCGAATGTTGACGATGGACGACGTGATCGAGTTGTTATCTTTGTTCTTTCCTGCTTATTGCATGTCTTTTAGATTGCGATTTTGTGCCTGTGGGAGGATGATAGTGCGTGTTGCGGCCACGTAGCTCCTGGAATACAGTCTGTATTTGTGTCCACACGCGCGACACTCTTATTTACAACTCATCATGCTCCTGTGAAAATGAGAAAAGAAATGTTTAATATCGTTGATCGTCGTGTAACGGAGAAAAATGTACTTAAAGTGCACGCATTCAGTGTTATTTTGATGTCTTCAATTATAATAAATATCAGAAAGAGAGTTCAAGATTAGCATCATGTGTGCGCTGGTTTTCACGAAATTTTACTGAAATATATCTAAATACATAGAATTGACACTTACTTCAATATCTGGCTGAGTGCTCTCTTCCTCATCCTGATCTTCATCATCTTCATCATCCTTACTATCCTCGCTTTCCTTCGCCTCTTTGTCTCTTTGCTTCCTCTCCTCTTCATCCTGCGCTTCCTTCATCTTCTTCTCACCCTCCTATAATTTCCAGAATGAATTTAGAATTTTCCATAGACGTGAATCTACGATACGATACCTCGGCAAAGTAATCAGTAACGAGGAATTCCAGCTATTTATCGTTCATAGGAATCAGAAGCTTTTGTAACATCATACAATATTGCCATATTGATCGGCAATCAAACGGATGAATGAAAAAGAATATATTTTAAATGAATAAAAGTTGAATACTCACAAAAGTAGGTTTCCACACATCCTCTCCGAATTTGCGTGCAGCTTCAGGATCGTCAGTGACGAGCACATTATCAAAGATAGTACCAGATTTAACTTGCCATAAATCAAAACCTACAGCGCAGATCTCGTCGCGCTTATACAGATCTGGATCAGGCACGTATTCGGGATTAGGGATTTGAGGGTGGATCCAAGGTCCCTTATAATTCGGATTGCTAATCTGTTTCGCTTTCCATTCACCCTAAAAGAATATTATATGATTTTATAGAAATAGTTCAACTTTTAAATGCATGTCGATACGTCAATTGAAATTTATCAAGTTTTTACGAAGACGAGTCATAACAACGGAGCAGCTAGATGGAAACACATCAATATCGTCAATCAGTAAGAACCTTGTAATCAGGATTATCGATCATTGGCGCTTCCCATTCGCCGTCCATTTCATCATCCCAATCATCGGGCTTAGTAGCTTCAGGGTCAGGAATGTGCTCAGGCTTGTCCCAATCTTCTGGTTTTTTGTCCTCGGGATCATCAATAGTAGGTTTGTCATCCCAATCCTCAGGTTTGCTCTGAGATGGGTCTGTGATCATCTTCGCCGGCAGGAAATTCCAGTCCTTTTCTAAGTCACCAGACGATACTTCTTCGTTATCAATAAGAACCTGAAGACAAGTATTTTTATTAAAAAATTGTCGGGAATATAAAATAAATATCTGCGATGTCATTGTTATTGTAACAGATATGTCGATCTTTGAATCGATGTACAGTGAGAAGTATCTCACGTACGTATAAAATCAAGATAATCTTTGCTTTTCGAGATCCTCTAGCACTCATCCTCCATGGCGAATAGTGAGAGCAAGTGACTCTAGGCTCGATATAATAACGAAAGCGTTCATATTACAATTAAATGTTTCATTTAACATTCACCTGGTACGTATTATCAGGCTTAACAATCAAAGTGTATAAATGCGTGTAAACATCGTCCTTGCAACGAATTTCCTTATTAATTAGAAGGTTCTTGCCCTTGTAACTGAAGATGACATGAACCTTCTTGGTACCTGGTCCACAAATGTCAGGTCCTGTGTGAAAACAAATATTGCACAATTATAAACAATAGTTATATGTGCATTCCTCAAAATACTTATTCAAGTTTTTTATCATAAATTCCAAATTTTAGATTATTGTTAGTTTTATTTTTAAAAAATGTACAAAATAACTTGAATTTTATTTGCATTAATTATCATAAATAAATGTATCTTATCAGGTGCCTGCAATATGTATAATTAGCATACACAGGGCATATGAAAGATGATTACTCTCCGAGGTCCTCTAGCACTTACCACACATTGGCATGGCCAGTGACTCTAGGCTCGGATTATTTTAACATTGGTTATTATTTGCATAGTCCCAATAAAAACAAGCACTCACCGAACATAATCTGGTATGGACTCTCGCCATGCATGTCTTTTTGATCAAGTGAGCAGTCGAATACCTTGACATATCCACCACCGCAGTCGATGTTTTGTTCATGCTTAACAGTAAACTGAATAACGAGAGTTTTGTCCTTATTGCTAAATGGAGAAAATTTTCTACTAAGAGCATAGAACCTCGCATCTTGTGACGTTTGGATACCTGAGAAAAGATAGACACCATGTATATTGCTTATTACTTGTTATGTAAGCAGCCTTTATATTTTATTGATAAATTTTCTCTGCGCCCTTTTAATACCTTTGTCATTTTCTGGTTCGTTCCAGAATTTTCCATAACTTAAAACGAATTTTCCAAATTCCTTTCCAGGATGCTCTGAATAAACCCAATTCTTCTCCCAAGAATCTGAAATGTTAACAATCTTTTCTTCACAATCTTTTATTTCTTTCTCTCTGAAAATATATTTTGTTTTAAACAGGGACGGTTTAAGCACAATAACTAAAAATATTAACTTATCATACTTGTAAAATAACATAGCAAATAAGATATCGTAGATATGAAAAGATTTTATCATAATGTAAGGTGGAAGTAGGGAAAAATAAAAACTTGAAAATGTGCAGGGAATGCTTACAATGTACGTCAACTTATATTTGCATATTCACAGCTTGGAAACTTAAATTCCATAAGATAACATCCCCGTGGACGGATAAAAAATTCATTCAATTTTAATAATCTCTTCTTCTCAGCCATATTTTTTATTTTTATTTCCAACATTCGAGATAAATTAAATATATATCCAAGTGCAGGATCGAGGTGAAACGAGAAAATCGAGAGAAAATGCAGGAAGCACGGACAAAAGGAACAACTTAAGGTTCCTCTGGACTTTTTACAGTTGGTGCATTCGAAATGAGATGGCCGTGACGCGTGGCATCAACGCGCAATGAAGAAACCCGAAGGCGGCAGAAAATCGCAAAAATAGCTGACACGAGATCTCTGCGAGATCGTGAGCTCGTTTCATCAGATCGGCTCCGAATCGAACGGACTCGTCGCGTCGTTTACCGCTAGCTGAGGTAGGCCGAGCCGAGCGCGCACAGATCGACGAATCGATCTGGCGGCGTCATGTCGGAGCGGCGAGATGCCGCGCGGCGATTGCCACGAGAGACGACTTCCGACTGCGTGTCGCAGTCTCTCGAAGCTTCTTATTCTCTCTCTCTCTCTCTCTCTCTCTGCTTCACTCCAGCGCGCCGATAGCAACGCATATGGCCGATACGCCGTTTAAAGCGAGATACGGTACACACTCGCCGCAAGGCCGGCGACGTTGCTCTTCTTCTGCTCTCACCCCGAGCCTCTTACGGGAACACATACTACGCTTTCAAGTCCAGCAACAATCGCAATAAGCATTCTCCATGTAGTCGCGAGTGTAACAGCCGCCTCGTCGAGGGGGAGAAAGAGAGAGAAAGATAGGCAGGTGAAACCGAGTCCGATGTTGAGTCAGAACGACGAGATGGATCGCAAATCGCCGGAACACAAGGGCGTGCGGTTGCCAAGGAGAGGCAAACCGTCGCTGCCACGCCGTCGCTGCCGCGCGTCCTCGTCGCTCCTGCGGCGTGTTTAAACGCGTACGATCGGAATTCTCTCTCCCGCTCCGATCAAGCCGTATTGTCTTCTCGATCGGAAGGGATGGGACCGATGCCGCGGCGAAAGAACGGATGGACGAACGAGCGGGGTGTGGTTCCCCGTGAGAAGCCATCAGGATCCGCACGGATTCGTTTCGGGGACCATTTCGACATGGGCTTCGTGGCAGGAAAAAGGAAGCAGAGACGAACCGCGAGAGATAGCACATTGCCGGGTCGTCGGGCCGGGTTGCTTGCTCCGCTTGCTCGCTTGCATGCTTCGCGTCGCGTCGCGTCGCGTCGGCTTTTCCGGTGGAGTTTGCTCGCGGGCGAGTTCACTTACCGTCGCTGAACTTCTCATCCAGGTAGACCTCTGCGGTAGCCACGGCGAGCGTAGCAAGCACGACGAACGCGCTGAAGGACCGCATTTTTTTGGACACCGGGGAACGATGAGAGTTCGACGAGAGTCCTACGAAGAATCTGCTGCCGCCACGACGAACTGGCCGATAATGCCCGAACGGCGACCGTGGTTGGTGAGTTTAGCGGCCCGTCAGGGCAGACAGATGGAAAGCTGCGATTGGTGGAGGCGCACCGTCCAATCATCACCGACCACGCTTTACCAACGAAGCGCCGCACCGTGGCATCGTCATGGCCATGCCGCGCTACACATAACCTCACGTCATCCGCTGATTATCGCGCTCGCTTATCAGTCGTCGATACGACAGTGCTGGTTGGCGAACGGAGAGCGAAGACGCACGTAGACGACCGGAAATACCCGAAGCCTCTGGGAACCTCTGATTGGCGATAGCGTGGCCGCCATGATGGAAACGTTACTTTTTGAACGCGCTTATTCTCTTTTTCGGGAATCGACGAGATGTTGCAGGAATTTCGTAGATTCGCATGGAAATATTTGCGATCCCGTCGTGAGAACTAACGGTGAGTATATAATATAATGCATTCATATTTATCTGATGCGATCGTAATTGCTTTCTGATGTGCGATAATAGATGTGTCACGGTGATTGTTTCGAAGTAGGTAGATTTAACCTATTGAATAAAGTTGAAAAGATCGTGAGACTCAATTGTCCGTTCATACCTTTTCAAATCACTTCACGCGATTGCCTCATTTTTAGTTCTAAATATTTCTGTATGTTACTATCAATGTCGGAATAGTTGACGTATATGATTTGAATCGAAACACAGTTATTGCTAATGTTTGCGGGGAAATAAAAGGGGTGATAGATTGTTCATTCATTAACGTATTAATATTTCTTTTTGTGGAAACTTAAAGCGATCACTATCGAAACTTTGCTTCGTCATGATTATATGTTGAAATCAAGATAAACTATAGATTTTCATTCATTTGCATTTCGCTCTTAATGAGACGAACGATTTGCGATAGATATCGATATCAAGGACGGTGATATATTCCGTACACGCCGACTGTTTCCTTGGTGACGAGAAAACAAACTCGTCATGGCAAGAGCGAACGAAACGAGCCATCGTGACTCACCTCAAAACAGAACCGCTCGCACCTCGTTAATTCATTAATAATTAAAATTTACAAGTGACACGACGTCAAACGGGGAAAAGCTGAATTGGACGATCGAAGCTGGGGAAGAAAGAGCAGAAAAAGATGCTTTCTTCGAAGGCAAATGCAGCGCTGACGCGTGTGAAAGAAATCGAAGAGAAATACAAAATGAAGCGTAGAGAGCAGAGATGGAACCGCAAAGAAGTGAGTATTCCAAAAATAAGACAATGCATTTGCGTTTGTAACATTTGACTTACGGCAATTTATCATTATTAAGTCTCCCGCCGAGGAATACTCCGTTTGATTCAGTATCGAAAAGTGCACAATTTTAAACTAAAATTGAACGTTTCATCTTGCAATGTATGGCATCTTGATTTTTAAACAATTGTATGCAAATTTGTGTATGTGTGTATCTGCATGTTTTTAAATATTTATGTGATAAATATATCTTTTGTACGGAAGAAAAAATCTCGATTCGTGTAATGGGATAGTGACTATTCAGGTAGCAAAAATTTCTGAAAGACGTCCCGAAATATTTTAAAATGCCTTTAGGAATTTCTTTACCTGAGTGAACAAAAGCTCAGGGATGAGGGATATCTCTGTTATCACAGCGGAAAAATTCATCTGAACATTTTACTTACCTTGAAACTTGGAACTTGAAATTGGAAATAAATGACAATAACTGACTGAATAAAAACCTACAGGAATTTTTCAGTTATTACAATCAATTTTGCTCTTGGCTACCGGACAGTAGAGATGCAATTGTACGAACCGAGTTTTTTATATACACAAGAAAGAGAATAGGGGAAAAATAAATAAACAGTACTCGTTCTCTTATTTAGTTTTCTTCTTGTAATTGGCAATATTCGCAACACAATATTTTACATTCCTCCTGTAGGATACGGATAGCTCGATAAGCAGCGTCTCCATAAATCTGTCGGAAAACATATCGACGCAATTAAAGTCATCAAGGAACTCTCCAAGGTCCAAGCTTGATATAAAAATGCCAGATATGAAATTTGAAGAACTCGACGAACATGCGGAACTTCCATTGCAGGATAAGCAATGTGAAAGGATGAACCGATCTGTCGGCAAAGCCGACCTTGATGTCACGATGTCACCGGAAGATAAATCATCGTCACGTTCTACAGGAAAGCAAGAAAGTTTCGCTTTGGATATAATAACGATTCAAGAAAATAGCTCGATCGAAAGCGTGCCCGATGACTCGATGATTTCATCGAAATCACTTTCGCGCTCGAAAACGTTGCAACGACGGCCCTCTACAACTAATGAGGAATTTTCCAGACATGAAGTAAGATCGAAATCAGGTTCAAATTCTGAGAAAAGTAAGCAGCCTGAAGAATTAATCGGACAATCATCATCTGCTAATTTGTCAGTCGTAAGACGATCAGACATATCTGAAAAATCGAGCGAGAAGATTTCCAAGCCACGTTCTAACCAGAAATCGAGAGAACATTCGATCGAGGAAAGAAAAGTTGCCAAAACATTGAAAATGCTGAGTTCTGGCCAAAGTTTAAAGAATTTGAAGCATTCGAGGTCGTCGCATGGTGATAGCGTTATCGATGAGTCAATTGACACATCAGAGGACAATAGTGAAATTATCTCGGAATCTTCTCATGTCGGGAAAAACATCACTGAAAAGACCGCAAATAATTCTGTGAGCGACTCTGGCAATTCCAAACGTTCGTTAGCTAATAACGCTTCTGTGGACGTTTCAAGCGGACTGAAATATCCGACAGGTGAAAATGGATATGCGAACGACACCTTCGAGGACATTTCGAGCTCGATCGCGCAATCAAAATCAGGATCGCAAAATAAGAGAATAATCAATAGGAAAGAAAACACAGTCAGCATAACAGATAATAAGGAAGACGTCAAAATTAGTTTGGATAAGGAACCGTCGAATTATGCCAAGAACACCGAAAGCATTGATGCGAAGACAGACAAGAGAGTATCCAGGAAGAGTTCTCTGGAGATAACTTCAGCGAGCCGGCAAGAAAGCGGCCGGGAAGAGCGCGTGAAAGTGTCAGATGAAACCAGAGAACGTCTGATGATGGATGTTATCGGATTACCTGTTGTGGATGATGAAGAGCGGACAAAACAGACGAAGTCTAGTTCATCAAGGGAGAAGAGCGAATCGATAAAGTCTAGTTCGTTGAGAAAGAAGACTGAATCGACGAGGTCTGGTTCGTTGAGGGACAGGAGTGAACCGACGAAATCTACTTCGTCGAGGGACAAGAATGAACCAACAAAGTCTACTTTGTCGAGGGACAGGAGCGAACCGACGAAGTCTACTTCGTCGAGAAAGAAGAATGAGAGAAATGAAGAAAACGAGATTATCCCTGTGGAGAGCTTGGATCTACAGATTCCTCCAAATATCGCGGACGTACTGAAAAAAATACATAGAAATGCAATCAATATCAGACAACACACGAGCTTGGAGACCATGAAAAAAGCGCACGAAAGTTCGTCTACGAGGAAAATCGAGCCTGAAGTCTTAGGGACGACGTCGAGGCGAATAGCAACAAGGAAAAAAGAGAGTCATCGTCGTTCTTCGGCAAGTATTGATATTTTTCTGCTGTAGTCCTCCCGCATATTCAAATACAATTCTTCCCTTTATAAGTAGTAATAATTGTCTTTTCAGGTTGAAAACAAAGATCGTGAATACAATACTAAGAAGAAGAAGAAGAGGAGGAAAGTTAAAGTTACTTACTCGAAGCCGGTTGAGACTCACGTTTGCGCCGGAAGTCATAAAGAATACAAGACTTTGAGGTACGACAGGAAACAAATTCGTGAACTACAGAAGCGGGTTGTTGAACTGAGACTGCAGCAAGAACGGGAAGACCTCCAAAAATATCTACACGAACTGAAAGACTTAAGACTAGGTGGATCGGGTTCTACTCCGAACTATTTCAGTCCCTTGGAATTTCCAAAGATCGCAGAATTTACACCGCCTGGTAAGCTATAAGTTAAAAGACCGTTGTTTTTCCTTCAACTTGGACAACGACAGACATATGATTTAACTTACCAAGAAGTTGGAACAACCGGCCCTAAAGCTCATCCCTAAACTAATCTCATTAATCCGTTTTACCTTACAGTACATTTATACGTTGAAGTGAAATGTATTTCTTTGTCGAAAATTAAATCATTCGTTATACCACTGCTACTTATTGTCGAATATTAATTTTACTTACTAATTACTAATCTCTTAAAATAAAATAACTTTTATATTTTATTTCATATATTCTCTTTCTATTACTTTATGTCATTCTATCGATTTATGTCATTTTATCGAATGCGCCTAAAGTCAAGCTGTACCGTAGTAAACGCGCGAACAATCGCGACTCTAGCAATGAATAGAAGGAATTCGCATTGTGCCGAAACAATGAGAACGTAGACCGACAGTGGAGTCGACAGCAGAGCCGTATAACGAGCGCATTAAATTCATTTCGCATTTGATTGGAGGTATGTTTGGATGCGTTGCATGTCAATATATTCAAACATTCTCCGCACGTAAATAATTTCTCATCCAATCACGCGTATGAGTGAATGTTAAAACGAAAAAAAAGCGAGCGTAAATATTTTTTTTGTTCAGATTCTCTCGACTTTGATTCGAACGATCGGCTTGCCGTGCTCCGAGAGAGAATTTCGGCGATCAGACGACACTTGAAGGATCAATATATCTTGTATCTTGATTGCTGCACCGTGGCGCGAACGATCAATGCCCGCTACGTTCCCACGACGTTGGAGGATACTAAAAAAGTTAGTACTTTTTTCTCGGCTAGTTCGATTGTTAATTAGCCTTCGTCAAACTTGAAGCAAACTATGCGCTCATGTTAATTGCGTAACTCAATGTTTTTGCGTATTTTATGAATCGCTATAAAAACACGTATCTAATCGCATTTTATTAACGTTGCGACGTCGCCTTATCGCGACATGTGTGTACAGACAATATAACAAGTTTTTGTTTAAAAAACCTCTACTCTATTTTGTTGTCATGCATTATATTGCCTCACGCCCACGGTGGCGAATCTCGATATTCCAGCACAGAGCAGTCTGCACACTTTCATGATGCAAGTAATTACGTAGACGCTGACGTAACGAAATCGGAAATAGCCGATACGATGACGTATACGAGGGAGTTAACGTCATCAGCGTATTCGCTCGTTGTTTTTTTTTTTTTTTTTGCGCGATTTTGCATAATACGGTTAAAGGAAAAAGGGTCGGAGAAATTCTCTTTTACGAGCCTAGGAAGCGCCTAGGCGTGTACGTGTGTTAACCGGCGTGTAGGCAGGCGAGAGAGCATGTTACGGCGAGGACAATGGGGACGCAATAAGGAACCGAATAAGGAAACGAACGGTTAACAGCGCGCACGCAGCCGCGAGGAAGTTTTTCGCTTGGACATGCTCAGCCCAAAGTGTCTTTAAACGTGATATACCTCTTTCACTCTCTTGCTTATAGATGATACGCGAGCTGCGGGAAACGACGATTAAGATCAGGTGACATCGCCGCGCTACGTGAGATGATATTAGTACACGAGCATGTCTTCATCGAAGCTGGTAACTGAGCTGCGGGGAACACTTCGGGGAATCGTGAGTACCTCAAAATGGAAACTTTTAATATCTTTAGCGTCAGGACTTTTTCGATGTTGCAAGTCGACGCTTCGCTAAACTCGATTAACTTTCTAAAGCAAGCGTAAATACATCGAAACGAGATATCCTTCGTTGAACTGATTCGGAATTACGTGTTTGCGTTTAAAGATAGTTTGAAGCACATGGTATCGTTGAATTGAAGACTCGCGAAACGATCGACCGGAGGAAACAGTTAAAGAATCAGGTTTATGCGTGATTGTGTCGCATAACAGGGAGAATTACGTAACATGAGTTATATAATCGTTGTCTTTTTGATGCTCGCGTGGTGGTTGGCAGTTTCTGTGCATTGTATTAATCGGGCAATAAACGAGCGTGTTTAAAGATCTCCAGCTGTCGTGACTTTGCTGGAAGGTAGGATTTTTTGTTGTTGTCAATAAGCCCTTTTGTGCGATGGGATTTCCTATCGATAAGGCTAAGCAGTTCTCTTAATGAAATCGAATCTGAGATTTCTCCTTTATGCAATTACTAAGCCAGCTGTGCAACATATTCGTGCTTCCGGTGAGCGCGAGTTGTGAAACTTTGTGAAAATCATTCGCACATCGCCAGCTCCTACGCGACTTGTAGAATGAAATGAAATTGCGGCACGAGGGAAACCATACGAGGTTAAACCAAAAGGAAACATTTTATATTAAAATTTACAATTTATTTACATATTTTATTTTCGTACATACACAGTTAAAAACGTTTCGTACTTTTGTTAACATCTTTTGTGTGTAGAAAATTTTGTGTTAAATTTTTTACACAGTCGTGTATTAATTTAACATATCGTTGTTGTGTTACTTAGACTTTCTTGTGTTAAATTAAGATTAACTATTTTCAAGCGTTAAAATAACACAATTTATATGTAAATGCATGAATTCTTGCTCTGACATATGTTATATGTTAAAGTCAACACCTAAGGTGTATTAATTTCCTCATTATAACAGTTATCATGTGTTATATTATATAAAGATTGGATTTTTAACACATAGATAATGTCAATCTAACATTTTCATTTCATCAAATCATAGATCATTATTTCTCCTAAATGTTGAAGTAACATTCATTGTACGTCAATTTAACACAAACTGTGATCTTCTTGACGGCATTCGAATGTTAAATTTTTGTGTTAATTTTTTACATATCATGCGTGTTACTTTTTAACATATTTGCTGTATGTTAAATTAATACATAAATGAGAGTGAATGATTTGAGACACATGAAATATGTTAAATTTAACACATCATTTCTTACAATGTATGTATAATTTTCCGCCACTACGTCTATCGCATCGATGAGTCTTTGAACATCGCGCAAAAAACTTTCGGTTCATCGATCGATCGATCGATCGGTCGTCCGATGCGACCGATTATCCGATCGATCGTCGCTTCGTCGCATCCACAATATCAATACGCAGCGAGAGAAACCGATTTTTGCGACTTGCATTGACACAATGGCCGGCGCCAAGAAAACTGGGAGGGACGACGACCGACGATCTCGAGTTCCAAAACGGAGAACAAACACAGCCCGCGATATCTGTAGCCAGCAGGTGGACTGCCTTTGACCCCGCGCGTTGTTGGGCAAACTTCAGAGCGTCGCATCACTAGCGTGGGAGATGCGCGGCGCGCCGTCCGTCGCGTCGCGTCGTGTCGCGGCGCGCGCGAGCGTACCGGCGCGCTTTCATTGACGCGCCGCGCACCGTTCTCCCGTGCAGTCTCGAGGTAGCTTCGCGACCGTTAAGCACGTAACCGCGTCGCTCCGTACTCGGGAGAGAGCGAGGATAGAGAGGCGAGAGGGGGAGAGAGAGAGAGAGAGAGAGAGAGAGAGAGAGAGAGAGAGAGAGAGAGAGAGAGAAAGAAAGAAAGAAGAAGAGAGCTCGCCGGCACCGTCGATCCTGCGAAGCAGCTCCGGAGCCGAACGCTGCTTTCCTCCGACGCCGTGTCACGTGCGGTCAGCTGCGGCCTTCCGCGTGCGGGGTGAGACCTCGGTGACTTCTTCGCCGCCGCGAAGGAGGGAATTGGCAGGCGAGCGAGTGAACGCCAGGGAGCGCCGGCATTTCCGGTAAGTCGGCTCGTTTACGGTAATTTGCTGAGTGGGTGAAAGCGAAGCGCGGAGGGTGAGTCGGATCGAAGGAGTATACAAGGTGTTGCTTAACGAGCGATGAGTGCGGTTGCATATCCTCCATCGAGATGAAATATTATCTTGGTCAACATTTATTTGGTCGCCATCTTTTCTGTCTCGTAGCTGTTGAAGTTGGCGATAGTTGAGACTCTCGGATAAAGTCGAGATGTCAAGCGTCAGCTTCAGCCCTGAGACGGGCGTAATTTGCCGGAGGATTTTTTCTCTCGGATTGTCACTGCCGGCTGAGGGATCGCTTGTCCGTTTGTATCAGTTAATCAGGGTTAGAATCGAAGTGCCCAGAGAAACGGAAGTTTTCGATTAAAGATTCTATTCACCCTCCGATGCCATTCACCCGCCCGTAAGTGTGCGCTTAAGTAGTAGCGCGGGAGTCAAACACCGGGGTCTCATGATCGTGACTTTCTTTGCATAAGCCTTTATCAGGAAGATTTTACTACACACTATTTACCGCATCCGGAGATTATAGTACAATGAAAATGAAAAGCCACGTGAATGCTCCGTACACTGACTCGTGGAAATCTCGTGCGACTACTTGAGTGCTAAAGAGCGTAGCCAATTAGCAACAGCGGCCAATGAGATTCTCTTTCGATCGGCTCGGCTTAACTGCGATTCAAAGAGACGGAGGTGGGCAGATGAAGAAAGATTCCGAGAACTTTGATGTTGCGGAATATATGCGAATGGTTTTCGAAAATATTTTACATACGACAACGGCAATGGAAACCGAAAATAGTCGCTTTAACCGTTTATCCTTAATTAATCGTCGCGTATTAACAAGTAACAGAAAGGAAAAGTCAAGTCGTGTTGTGATTTATTATGATAGACGACCGGGTAGAGATAAACGAGCGGCAATCACGCAGACGATTCCGCGCGCGTATCCACATTCGATTTTACTTTAACCTTTGAAAGCGCAACGACCTCGATTCTCCTGTTTTCGCGAAAGCGTGGGCGTAGGTTCGCAAAATTGGGGCGCTCTCGTTTAGAACCGGCCGAGGGCAGCCCATTGTCAGCGCGGATCCTGAGCTCTCGGGGCGGCGCACAGTGTTGCGAAACCTCCAAATAGTGGCCATAAATCATATTGTCGCTATAATATACTATAGTTGAATGAAAAGCATACTATATTGTAAATACTAGTATTTTATCACTAAAACAACATGTTTCTTTAATTTTATTATTTTATTTTTTACTTTTTTTATTTTAAAAAATTTTTGTTTTTTATTTTTCTTTTATTTTTTTGTTTTTTTTTTAGTTTTTATCTTCTGTTTTTTACTTTATATAACTATTAACTAAACAAAATATTTTATAAAACTATTCATTATCCGAAACTGCATTTGCTACAATTGGATTTGCAAGCAATTCAATAACTTCATTAGGGAAAGGATCGGCTTTTTTATTTGAAACTTTTTTTAAAAATGAAATGATGGGATCTGAAGAAAGAAGAAGTCTTTGAAATAAATCTTCATTCGTCGCAATTCTCGAGTTTTTTCTTGTATGATACTCTCTCATATCTCTACAGTCTTTATTTTTATTATTGTTTACTACATTATTTAATTAGAGCTTAAACATTATCATTAATTATTATATTTGTATTTAACATTAGCAAAATTAACTAGAATAAAGGATTTTGATAGAGGATATAAGAGGATTTTATGTTGAACAATATTACCTGCAGTAGAGCGTCTGACCGTAAGCGCACTGAATGTCGAACTCTGCTCATAAAATTTATCATATTTTTGTATGCGCTGGATATCCCTCTTTCTACCTTTGTATAAGGATTAATAGATATTTTATCTTTATTTTCACAAAGGTACAACATGGTGCGAATTGATGCAATTTTTATATATCACGATATAAGTGATTAACTGTATATAAAAAATGAGTCCTGTAAATCTCATTTTTATTGTATATACTTATAACTTTCTAATATGCTCTTTATTGGAAATAAAACTACACAGATGAAATATTAAACAGGGAACAGCATTTTCATGTTAAAAAATTGTTTCAACGCAAAATCAGTTATATCATTTGGGGGGTTATAACCCAGCTATTCTTTACTTCGCATCACGTGTACATTTGAATTCGCTTATCTTCGTGATACAATTGGATTTCATCAAAATGTTACTACAACTTATTAGTTTGGACCTTTTAGAAAATATATTGGAAATGGGAACCGAAAATTTCGCTTTTTATTTTTTCCTATTTCGGCTACGTTTAGCGATTTCTGCAACACTGTGCGGTGGGCCCGGGCGGTAGACTATCCTTGGGCGGGCGCAAATCGAGGTCGATAGTGTGCGTGATACATGTTATCGATGCACGCGATTTGTCCGGGCTCCGGCCGGTGCGACGTCGGGCCCCGAAGAGCCTCGTGAGAGATCACGTGCATAGCCGTTTTCTAATATCCGTTTCTACGGAGGCGACCCTAATGCGCGCGCGGCCTTTCTCCGGCTCGGAGACGATAAGAGTTCCCTCAGGTCTGAATCGCCCGGCATACTGCGAACGCGAACTGGAGCATTCTCGATAATCGAATCGCCGTCATTTAAGGCTGAACCGCGTGCATATTCCGTACGCGGAGAATCGCGATACACCAAAACTACGAACATTTCGCCCATGCATCTGGTTCACCTTTCGTGCCAAAGGAACGCTTTTCTCGAAACTTTCTCTCGCGACTGAGATACTTCGAAGGATAGATTTCCTATCGCTGTTAAATTCACTCGCGCGAACTTTGACCTGAAATAGCACACTTGATTGACGTCGATGGCCCGCTATTGTAGTTTAATTGCCGGTGGGCTGCTTCTCTCTCCGAGAGAAACCGAAAGTAGCCATTCGCATGTAATTCGGTCATTTGCTGATAAAATTGCGCTTCTCGAATCAAAATTTAGAATCTATTTATTTAATCTAATTTAATCTATTTAATCTATTTAATCTAATTTAGAATTTATTCTTAAGTCTATTTGAACTTCTAAATGAAGACCGGACGAAAACTCGATGACGAGATCGTTCTTTCTGTTGCCGTGTCTTCTGGTGGTGCGATCTTCCCAGTTGCCACTAATCGAGTTTTCTTCTAAGCTCGAGACAGAAAATTAGTTTTCACGAACTGAATTCTTTTTCTTTCCATGTATATCTCGAAATTCTCCACTGGAGAAATTAAATTCCATGGAATTCGCGGAGTTAATGTGGAAGCAAAATTTTGGCTCGAGCTAACTCGCCTTTCTACCCGACGTAATTGTGAAATAATGACGCAGCGTTAACGCGGATTAACGGAACCCGTTGATGATAATGTTGTTTGTTCGATGTTGATTTAGCCTCAACGCAAATTGAGTAACCGAACGGTGATTTAATCGGTATTTATTAGCCGGTATTTGCGGCTACAACAAACATATAAAAGAAAGAGAGGGAAAAAAGACGCATTGTCTGGTGTTTTTGCTGGAGAAACATCAGGATTAAAACGCCGCGGTTAAAAACTCGCCTCGAGCGCGCCTCGAATTGCTTTTATCCTTCGAAGCCCACGCGCGAACGCGTGCGCGATAGTTAGAAAACTCATCCGCGGTCCGCAGGTCATTCGTTTCACCCGTGCGACCGCGGCGAGTCCGCGCGATTCGTTGACCCCGTAATAACGAATGACCTTTCGGGGAAATGTCGCCACGGGTCAGTGGTAAAATTCAGCCGCGCGTATTATTAGCGCGTTCTCTCGCGGTATCGCTAATCATCATCGCACCGTCGCCTTTGTTTATCGCGATCGATCGCCCAGTATAACTCCGCAACTCTCTTGACCTTCAGCAGCCGCAACGGCCGGACATTTTATGCACGGGGTCGTCGCGTGGAAGCGACGTTTATTGCGCCGCATCCTCGACCCTTCCTCATTAGGGGATCGATCGGCGCGTGTGCGGCGATATTTATAAGCGCGTTTCTCAATGAAATCGAGAAAATATCGCGCCGCACGACCGGCCGGTGTGCGCCCACGTCTCTTTGAAACTTCATTTTTTTCTTCTTTTTTCCATGACGAACACCCAAACACAGCGATACTACGCTTCCTGTGCTTCAGCTTATGTCACTTTGCATTTTCTCGGAAGTAGCGTGGCAATCGCATCTCATCCGCATCTCCGGACTCCCATCGGTATCGCGATCGACCTCATACGTCGCGTCCCTCGTTGTGAGGAGGAAAAAAATTCTCGCCAAATCCTGCCGTCTCGTCGTCGCGTTTCCTCGTCGCGCAGGACAGCCTTGAAGGAGCGCCGGCCGGCGTCTCCCGAGGAGAGGACCCATTGTCTTCCTACGCTCGACTCGTCCTTCCTTCCGTCTCCTTCCTACTCCCCGGTTTTTTTTTCTTGTACTCACTGCATGGGATTGACCGCGGAAACAAAGAACATCGTATTCGCGATGTAAAGGAGAGAAAAGGGTGGCGTCGCCGATGAGGAGAGAAACGGATCCCGCGGATGAGCGAAATTGTCGATGCGTGTTTAACTCGGTAATAACATGTCTCGGTGGGACGTTGGTGGAGCGCCTCGGTAATGAGGAGCAGAATTTTTTTTTATAATCCGCCGCTTTCGCGATCTTGACGCGAATGAGTTTTTCCCTTCGGTTATTTATCGCGACTACAGCGGGTATCCTATCGCTCGCGACCGCGGACACGGCTTCCCTCTTCGACAGGCGAAGCCAGCCGGAAATTGGCGCTATGGGGGCAGTGAGTCATCGACCATTTCGTGTGGGGTGCGTCCGTTTATGGGGTGCGCGCCGGCCAAATTAATCAGCCCCTGGCGGTCGTTACCACTCCGTCATTCGAGACTCGAGCGATGATACTCGGATCGTAACGGAAGTTCAGTATTACGATTTCTACCGTGTCGATTAAACTCTCACGAGTCGAGTGCGCTTTCGTTCGGAGCAGACGAAACGTCGTCGAAACGACGCTGCGTCTTATCGGTGCGCTG